ACACGGTGTTTATAAATGTTTATAAAAAACGTTTGTTGTTTACTTTTCGGGCCACTATTGCTGCGCTTGTTGTGAAAGGTAATTTTCAAAATTGTGTTTCATTAAAACTAAAAACTTCGAAGCACAATTAAACAAGACATCTTAGACGACCTATTGACAATATTTATTAACGAACAAGAATCAGATTATTATGCCGTTATCAAAATTGTTAAAATTACAAGACCATACAATCGATGCATTTATGAATACAACTTCTATTTTTCACATCATATACAATTTGTAGTAGATAAATTTCGTACGCGTTGACCTACTTAAAACTAATTATAAATATTGTTAGCGGAGATGGGCAAGTTACAGTACGTGGTGTAACTGGATACTAGTTACAAATTACTCTAATTTTAGGTAAATGATTGCAAGTTACAGTTACTGTAACTAACTTACATAATAAATTACACGTTACAAGCTATTGAATTTTTACACAAATAGTAATAATACGGTTTTCAGTCAATAAAATAAAATCAATTTATTTATGCAATACGTCAATAGTTACAAACTAGAACTAATATATTATAAGTATTATAATTATTGATAACATATAACCAGTATAAGTGTTCAGTGATTTGGCACGTATTATTCCGCTCTTATCACAAATTGAAATAATATTGTTGAGTATCGTACAAATAATGATTCAAGATGATTTTTGTAATTTAAGTTACGTGCATCCATTGTTACGAGTTACAAAACAAATTTTAACTCGTTACATTTAAAGTTTACTTGATAATTGTGTAACTGATTTCGAGTTACAAAAGTACCTAACCGAGTTACGTAACTTAGATACATGTAAATGATTATATATAAATTACAAACTAATAAAATCGAATTTGTATTTTTATATTAGACGCAAAATGAGTAGGTGCAAACAATATTTTATTAATTAATATTTTTATTAGCTATGTACAATTGGTACCATCTCGATTTTCGTCAATAACAGCCCGTGTCCTAAGAAAACCACGCGGTCACGCGGCACATGGATCGAAATTCGTTTACTTTCGGGACAATATTGTTATGATTGTTTGTAGATTTAGTAGTAATATTCGGATTACATTATTTGCACCGCTTGCCCCACTCCCCATCACCCTAAGGCCGGCATACCTTGGACATACCTTTTGGCTCTTTTGGTGTTGTAACGCCCCCCCCCCTCCATTAAAAAAAAAAAAACTCATGTATTTATTCATATATTATACATTTATATTTTATAAAAATGCAGCAACTCAATTGTGGAGGCGAATGAAATCAGTTAAGGATATTATTACAATTAAAATAACAATAATAATTTATTTAACTCAAATAATGTAAAAATAAAATTTTAAATTAAAATTGTACACAATATTCTCTGTTCTCTTTAAGCAAGCTTGTGGCGAGATAATTATATAATTACGTGTAACTGATAGTTTTTTTTTCCGGAGGCGACTATGGAGTTTGGTAAACCGGAATTGTCCGGAAAATAATCGGACGGACTGTGACAATCCGGAAATTTTCAGTAATCATACGGACTGTAATAATCCGGAAAAAAAAAATCATTTATGCGAACTATAAAATTCCGGAATGTATACATTTAAAAATAAGAAAACGGTGGACTGTAAAAATCCGGAATATGAAACTAAATATCCGGACTGTAATCGGCCGGAAAAATGAATGCTCAGACCAGAATATTCCGGACTTTAAAAATCCGGAAATTATAAATGCCTAAACCAGAAATTACCGGACTACAATAATCTGGAATATAAAAATACGCACACTGTAAGGTCCTGGACACGAATTTTCCGGAATTTAACAAAAAAACACCGATAGATGGCAATGCTTCGCATACACAGTACAAATAGAATAAACGAACTAAAATTAAAAGAAGGTTCATGATTTTATAGCTGTTTTCAGAGATGGATAGATATGCTCAGACCCGGTGTCACGATTATCAGTATCTATAGTGTTTTTAAAATTCCGGATTATTCTTGTGCGTGACATTCCAGAAATTTCTTGTCCGGGACATTACAGTGTGCGTATTTCTGTACTCCGGGTTATCATAGTTCGGGACTTTCTGGTTTAGGCATTTATGTTTTCTGGATTTTTGCAGTCCGGAATATTCTAGGTTGAGCATTTATTTTTCCGGCCGATTGCAGTCCGGACATGTACAGCGTTTCATATTCCGGATTTTTACAGTCCGCCGTTTTATTATCTGAGAAATTTACATGCCGTATTTTTACAGTTCGTACTATTGTTTTCCGGGATTTTCTAGCTGTCCTAAAGTTTGACTATATTTTACTGAATAATATTATTTCCTAGGCTGTAGTGGGTTGTACACCTAGCTACCTACCTTTTATACCTATTATATACGTCCTACTTGGCTATTATTTCGTGTAATTCGTAGCAAGGGCGCCGTTCCCGATGTTCACCGTGAAACGATGACAAACACACCGAACGGACAGACGATTTCTTTTTCTTCGGCTATGCAAAAAACAAAACAAAAAAGAATAGACAGTACTATATAGAGGCGACGGCGGAACGATTCCAGTTTGAAATTTCTGCCGTCTGTAATATTGTTATTATGCTCGTTCGGCCGTCCCGCGGGGCTATCAAAATTCAAATTGCCACGTTAAAATTCACGCGTCGTATAAAACGCAAGTAACGTCGTGTAGTGTATTCGCGAGGACACTGCAGGCAATTGTGCGCGATAATTTATAGGCGACACGCGTCATAACGTACCGTCCTCGTCGCGTTCATTATACAGTAATATAGGCCGTGTTATACATACATAATAAATATAATAAATAAATACATAATATTCGTGTTTTTTTTTTTCTACGTTAACGTTGATTTTACCGGTAAAATACCGACGAATTAGGTAAATTTTATGTATCCCGGTGGCGTTTCCGGAAATTTTCGATCGGAGTCAATGATAAAATATACGTATAAATCATAAATCACGAACAAATCGTATAGACAATAAAAAAAGTCATTTTTTTTTTTTCCAATAAATCAATATTTTCCTTGTAACTCGATTAGAAATTTCCTATTTTAAGTATGAATACAATTGACCTTAAAATTACCTTATCTTAAACTTGCATTAAGAAAAAATATAAATACTGTTAATTTCCCTTCGTCAAATGTTCGCGTTTAAGTATCATATATTATGTTCGTTTACCTGCACGAAACAAATTATAGAAGATTTGTGCCTACGGAGGAGACAAGCGGATAGTGTAGATCGTACACCCGAAACTACACGGTAGTTAAACTACTGGTTCAGGCACCCTTTTAAGCGATAACTGCAACCGTCTCATAAGAGTGGCCAGTGCGGGCCTGATAATAGGTATACGAGTGATAAACGATAACTTAACGCAATCGAAAGATGTATTAATCATTGACTGTGTACCGCATCAGGTCTGTAATAATAATGAACTCTTAAAACGTATTTTCCCATGTACTTTAAACTTTAACTCGTGTAATGATATACCATAATATAATATTAAAAAACATTAATATTATCTACACTAGATTTTATTATAGTGGACACCACTTTGTTTTATCAGTTTATTAGTCAATTTTGATTAATACAAAATAGTATGTATTACAGTTAAATATCTCGTATCATAATAAGACGTGATAATGAGAACCGGACCACACCACTCCACTGTTTTCCCCTTTCTTTCTCATAAGAGACTCCTCGATTCATTCGGCCACCGGATCCTGCCTTGGCAACTCGTCATCTTTTTCGTCTTCCCGCGAGTGCGAATTATGGTTTCTATCAGAAATATTGCTCAAATCAAAACATGACACGAAATCAATTTTGTTTCTTTTAACATATAGCCATTATTAAAAAAAAAGTCATTTCTTGATATCCAAAGTAGTTTTTATTGGAATTAATAAATAATGTACGGCTACTGCAGGGTGTCCCGGGTTAATTATTTTAACCATTGTAACTTATACATTTTCTGCCAGAAATATTGCCAAGAGAATTTTTTTGTTGAATTTTTAATCTAGTTAATGAGTTAATTAGTTTTTTTAATAATTGAGAAAAACCGAAAAATATTTCGGTGGCGTACCTGTGGAGAAGGGAAGTGGACATTAGCCCCCTTCCTCTGTGGGTCATATAATTATATGTGACAATATGTGTGCATTATTTTTTTTTAATTTTTAAAACATTTTCTATTTTAAGAATGAGTGAAAATATATTTTGCCCTCCCCCCCCCTGTAATAGAGACCTAGGTACGCCACTGAAATACGTATAAAGAATTGGATAATTTAAGAAAATATGTAATTTATAATTTTAAATTTTATTTTTTTTTAATGTAATTCAGTTAAAAATATTCGTAGAGACTTGGAATTTTGACAGAAAATGTATAATTACTTTTTCTAGACGTTATCAAATTTTCAAAACATTCGAACCATTTTTAAGCTATTTTGAGACATTTGAATTTTGCATTTTTTATTTGATAGGTAACTGTTGGATAAAATTGTTAAACTAAATAGAAATGCTTGGAAATTTCACAGGAGATAGTCACCTACATTATAAGTCGTACTTAGTGACCAGAAAAAAAAAATTAAATGTAATGTACTACCTAGATGTATTTTTTTTTTCTATAAGTTTTAAAATAAAATGTTAAAATCGTAAATATTACAGCCTTTCAAAACACGTATGTAACCGAACTTTGCTCTGAAACGTTTTTCGTTATCAATGGTTTATTGTCGGTTATAGCTGTTACAGGTATAAATTAAATACATTTATTTATCCCACCATCCCCACTACCCGCCTACAAAAGTTGTACACGTGCATTATATTATAACGATAATATGTACATGAGCTTTATGTACAGCGGTAGCCACAGATATAGATAATTATTATCAGATATAGATAATTGTTATCAGATATGGATAATAATTATCTATAATCTTGATGCGACCTGCTCTAGTACCTATAGCGTTTTAAATTGTTATCAATCCGATAACGCTCTTATCACCGGTACGGTTACACTCATTTACACTCAATTATAAACGAGCGTTATTGCCACAGATTTCGTACAAGTACATCGCGTTATTACAGTCTATTGCTCAATGTAGTCAGGTACTCTGTTTCACGTTCACTTCACAATATTGAATAACAAATATTCGCATTTGACGTCTGCACTCCGTAGGACGTGGGTGCTCGTTGTCGGCCGTTTACCAAACACGCGAATCTAACAGTTTCACTTACAGTGTCATCATGCGTCTGAACTCTGTCGTCCCGGATTTCTCGGGCCCGTCTACCAAAGGGCCAATCGATTTCTATAATTGGCTCGGCGATTCGTAAGCAATTTACTGAATTTTAAACGTTTAAAACGGTTATTTTTTGTTATTATTATTAATTTTTTTTTTTTTTTTTCGACAACGTTCAATTTCGAGCAAAACGTTACATACCTACCTAAATTAAATAATTTTAATTATTGAATTAATCATTAACCAAATTTTTTTCCTCCATAGTTGGTGCGTTTTGTTTGCACATCCTGCCGATTTCACTCCGGTATGCACCACCGAATTGGGCAAAATGGCTGTTTTAGTCGACGAATTCACCAAGCGCAACACCAAAGTGTTAGGTTTGTCTTGTGACAAACTCGAAAGCCACGTTAATTGGATAAATGTACTTGGTTCTTTGTACTAAAATTATACGAGCTCAACATAATACTTACCTGCACTTTATGAATTTCAGGATATTAAATCGTACTGTGTGGATATCGAGGGGGAATTCCCTTTTCCGATTATAAGCGACAGCTCGAGAGAATTAGCTATAAAATTGGACATGCTCGCCGAAGAAGACAAGAACAATCCTGATACGGCCATGACTATTCGATCCCTTTATATCATCGGTCCTGACAAGAAAGTTAAACTCATGATGGTCTATCCTACAAGCACTGGCCGTAACATACAGTATGTCAGTTAATTTAAATAAAATAATTGTATCGGATAATTGAATAACTATTGCATTGTGCTAATAATAATTTTTAACAATAGAGGGTCCTACAAATGTTTCACAACATTTTGAACTTATAATGTTGAAACAATATTATTATCCCTGAACACATTCATAAAATTTTATAAAATACACATTAGTGTATGTTTTTTTTCAATTCAATTTTGGAATACTTTTGTTAAATGAATTTGCATTGCATAGTCTGTTATTACATACATTTGATAATACAAAATTCTCTTATTCAAGTATTACATATGTATAATTTTTTTTTTTTTAGAGAGGTTTTACGTTGCATCGATTCTCTTCAATTATGCGATAAAAAGAAAATTGTTGCTACACCTGTAAACTGGGTTGTAAGTGTGAACCTTGAATCTTAATACATAGTAATTACTGTGTTGATAAATATAATTTTAAACCTGTGTTTTTTTTTTTTAGCCTGGAGAAAAAGTCATGATCCTTCCTTCAGTCGACGACAAGGACCTCAACGCACTATTCCCAAATGGCCATGAAAAATGCTCAATGCCTTCTTCGATTAATTACTTGAGAATGACTTCTGATTATTAATATTTATTTGTTCTTTTAAATATTATTGAATAATTTGTTTGTTGTATTATTTTTTTATTAGAATTATGAAAGTTACAGATCGAATTTACAATAACACCAATTATTTTGGCATTAACAGTTTAATAAAAATATATAATAATGTAACAAGTTAAAGAAGATAGTTTTTAAATTATGAATGGATAGAGGAATGTATTGGTTTTACAATTATGTTTATAATTCTTATTTTTTTTTTTTTTTTATGTGAACACTACCAGAAGCATACTTTGATTATCAAGTATAGCACATTTTCTTAAAGGAAATTTTCTCTGGGGGGTTCTTTAGAGAGGTAATTTTTGAAATTCTTATTAATATTCGAGATAACGAGAAAAACCTCAGTCTTTAGGTTAAAAAAGATTGAAAGATTAAAAATAAGGTTGTCATTGGCAATTGGTTTTATTTATTTTTTATTAATTTTTATTATTTTAATATTTCTTAAACAATCTATGTTGTCATGGAAACACACATTGTTGTAATCATTTGACCATAATATAACATAATACTATATATTTTATTGTTGAAAAAGCAACAGTATCAACTTAACTTGGCTCAGAATTGTTTTTTTCATTAGTAATGGTATATCATTGCTTACAGATATATATTAAATTCCCATCTGTAGCCTACTTTCCCAACTTCCTACAACCTACAACAGTGGCTGCACTAACAAAGTATGCCTTTCTTTTCTTTTTAATTTGAATAAGCATTGGTGATATTAATTATGTGATCGATTAGAATTAGTCAAATTACATCTAATCTCTAGTTATAATATTTTTTAAACGTCCTGAGTTTAAATAATAATTATATCAAATAGAATTAATAATAATAATAATTTAAAGCAGGGGCGTCTTCAGACCTTGACCATAAGGGGGAGGAAATAATTACATTTTATAATAATGATTGATAAGAAAAAAAAGATGGACATACTTTGCCCGATGGGTGAACCACTGTTATAGATGAGAAGTTGGGAAGGTAGAATATTGAAGGAAATTTAATGTATATTTGTACCCAATCAAATTTAAGTATTGCCAACAAAAAACCATTCTGAGTGGAGCTCGGTTAATAGTATTGTTCTAAGAAAGAACAGTTATTAATAATACATATTTTATTTTTATTGCCCAAATATATGGTGCAATAGTCAATATTTAAAACATCAAACAATGCAAAATATTTATTTTTACATGGAATAAAATGTATTGAACCCTTTTATTTGTCCCCTGGGTTTAAGTTGTTTATATTTTATGATATCATACAAAAATAATTGTACAGTTTCAGGAATAATATTTTTGAAAACATTCACAGGTTATACATTGATAAGTATTCTATCTAAATGTATTATAGTCTTATTAAATCTATTAACTTTGTTTTTTTATAAATACTCCATTTACTTTGGCCTTTGATTAATCATTTTTAATTGTGTTGATTAAAATATTATTAGTTTTTTACACTTGCACAACACATGTTATTTCAGTAAAACCAGAAGAATAACACATTAAGAGCAATATAAAAAAAAGTTCTGTGGATATGTTAATATATACTTAAAATATATGTCAGGTATTTATATGGTTATGTAATAATGCCAGTTTTATTTACAAGTAAAAAACAGAATAACAAATTAATAATTATAGTTTTATCAGTATGGGGATGAAAATTTAATTTCTAAAAGACTATGAACTCAATTTGATGAAAATTGGATATGTTAAATTTGAATAAAATGTAACACAATTACTTACACTGTTTTCTTAGAAACTCATTATCAATTTACTTATTTACAATATATATATATAAAAAGAAAGTTATAAGACATTATTGATTCCATACAATTAAACAACATTTCATCCAGAGGATAATAATTTAATATTGGACAAATTCAGAATTATATTACTGTTTATTATATTGCCTATAGATTACACATTTGATGTTTATTATGATGTTGAATTTTTGTTCTATAAAAACGACAGAATTATTTATAAAAATTAATCATTGTCTAAGTGTATTCTGCAGGTTCTCTCTATATTTATAATTTATAATATCATGAAAGTAAGTTGGTAAACTTAAAAAAACTATTATATTATCAATAACTATAATATGAATAAGTAATTTAAAATTTTTAACACTCAGTACTTCTGTAAAACTTCTCAAGAAAACTACAGGTATCTAATCCTCCGTTGTGCCGCCAAATGTAATATAAAAAATATTATTGAGTATATTTTTATTGAGTTTTCCCTGAAATAGAAACTATTGTGTTGAATTATATTATCTGTTATATAACGTAGCCAGAAAATGTCTACTTGGGGAACCAATAATTTATGAAATACTTATAGAGGGTTTCTCCTCCACTCACCCTTAGGTGGTATACCATACACAAATCTTATCAATTTATAATTTACTTTTGATTGGTAGTTTGTTAAAAAATTGTTTTTTACAACAAGTTTACCCATTACAATAATAAAAAAAAAGTACCCGATTAAAAAAAAAAAAAAAAATAGAGAATTACCCGTATCTTCAATTTTGGAATACATTTTTTATACTATGAAAAATAAATCTACTTACATATTTAGAATATAAGCTGATTAAATTTCTCAACTTCTATCATCAAAAATTAATTTATACCTGACTACTAATCAAAAATAATATTGATAATTGATTTTTAAATTAACTATAATTTTTAAAAAAAAATTACATGTATACAAGTAGAAAATATTAATAATACAGTACCTATTACAATAAACTTATATAAATATTAAACAATTCAATATAAAATAATTTTTTTGTTATTGTGATGTTCTGAAATCAATTGTACAAAAATATCTAAATCTAGGTTCTCAGCAATTTTCTTTTCTATGCTTATTGAAGCCAAATTATTTAAACGATCATTTATCATTCGATTCCTCATGTAATTTTTCAGTTGTCCCAGACATGAAAAAGTTCTTTTGCACGCAGCACTGGATACTGGAATAGATATTACAATAATATCTATCCAATAGATTTCATTAAATGCAAACTTATACTTTTCAAGTAGTTCAATTAAATTCATCAAGTTGTTTACTTTAACATTATAATGACTTTGATATTTTTTTTATAGTTGTTGGTAAAATTTTTAGTTCTGCCCTTAGATAGGGCTAGTCTATTATTGTCTATAAAACAGGTATTTTTATCAAGACCATATTATTTATCTTTTTCAGATGACGTTATCCACGAATATAAAAATTAATTATTATATTGACAATTGTATTACCTAGTAGTAATCACAATAAATGCATTTCAATGTGCATAATCACATTGAAAAGCAATTTCAGTTAATAATTTTTTTTTTTGATAATTTGGTAAAAATAATTATTTTTTTAATTTTGGAGGGGGGGGGCTGACCCTGAGTCAGAGTGAATTTATGGTGGGCACGGCCGATCCATCCCTTCTGGCTACGTGCCTGATAGTAGCGCTCAAAGGTTTTAAAATAAATAGGGCTTAAAATACTATAGCCCACTCCACAACTCGCTAATCACATATATTAATATTATCATAAAATAATAACTTAATACATATCAATTCAAATATGGTGGTGCAAGTGCTATACATTTGCAATACCCAATTTACGCATTGCGTAACTAAAAATAAGTATGATAACAACACTAGGAGTAACATACCTATACATATATACACAGTATATCCCACGAAGATATACCCCTTGAATATCTCCGGAGATAATAAAGATAATCAATTTCTTGAGTTTTTATATTACTTACAGGGACGAGGACTACAAATATTTATTTTTAAATTAATTTTTTTTTTTTTTATTCTACTAATCCGTATGAAACCTATGTTATCGCGTAACGCAGTTCCCTGAATAACATCCCGGTTTTCATACGGATAAGTAGATTTTTTTTCCCAGTACTTTTTTACAGACAGTTTTAATGGCTCTTTTTGGACAAATAAGCTTAAAATTAGGAATCTCAGTTTTATCATGGGTGAATTGAAGAGATCAAATTTTAGTTGAATTTAGATATGATAATTTAGAAATACCATGTTATTAGGGGAATGTGTTTTTTTTAGCTTTTTACATTCTTATAGACCACCTAAGTGAAGCCAAATGGATGAAATTTTGTAAATACATAATGTAACTATCAAGGATGTGCCTTTAGTGGTTTTAAATTTCAACCCTTTTCCCAATCATTTTTATGCTTTGGTTTTATGCGTTCACAGGAAATACTGGTCAAATAAAAATAATTTAAATTCAAATATCCTTACAAACTATATTGTAGAGTTAAATAACGAATATCTTTGATACTCACACTATGCGTATATAAAATGTCATCTCTTTGGCTTCATTTGGATGGTCTCTAGGGACGTATGAAGCCTAAAATTTCTAAATGTATTGGTAAAAAGATTTATACCTATTATATTATGTATGAACATAAAACAAACATAATATAATACAATAGTCTCTATTTTCGGGAAAATTTTGAAAAAAACGAAATACATCAGTAAAACCAATACAATCATTAGACATTGCCTCTCTCGGAATCTTAAAAACAATGAAAGAAAATTGAAACGTATCAACTGGTGTTGAACAATAATTTATTGTGGGGACATTGTTTCACGTATTCATAATAATTTGTCTGTGTATGAAAGTCAGTCTATACATATTATTAAAAAGCGGCAGCTAATCATTTTTATAATACATCCAACGCTTAAACATTAAATAATAAGATTATAATAACGTGTTTCGTATCGAACGAAAAAAGTGTAAAGTATACATTTTTTTTTTGCTTTTTATGCTAGATAGGTACTCGCGGTTATAGTCTGCCGCCGCGCCGTTTTGGCCGCGGGAATATAATTATTATTACACACTCATATAGGTATATAGGTACCTACTCACATTATACATAATATTATAATATTCTTATAAGCTATGACGATAATCATTCCGGCAATAGAGAGAGGATATAGGCCCGTCACCCATTTCCATTCTTCCCCTAACGCGTGCGTATACTACGTCACCGTTTTAATTTTTTTCAATTTTTTTAGTTGGATTTGTTCGTTGATTTCCTTGAGGGTTTTGTTGTCGGTGTCTGGCAGGAAAAAGTAAAAGTAAACGAGGCTACTGAAACCCAAAGCGCCGAACAACACAAACGTATAATTGAATCCGATCCAATACCTGAGGTCCAAGTAGAATTTCGTCATAAAGAAGCTCATGAAAAAGTACACGCCGGAACCGATGCTACAGCCCATGTTTTTACTCCTACAGCCGAAAATACAAAAATGGCCGGTTAAGAGAACGGTGATTATTACTGATTTGACATGAAATATTATACGTACTTCATCGGGAACACTTCGCTCATGAGTACCCAGCCGATGGGCATGATGCCCAGCGACGACGAGAAAGCTGACAGGAAGAACAGTGACAAAATCGCACACGACGTGTATTCGTTGTTGACGACAAAAAAGTCCATGGATCCGATACACAGGTAGCACAGCGAACAGATGGCGATGGTCAATTGCACCAGACATCGTTTGCCCAGCCGTTGTACCAGTAATACCGTAAATATGTTGCCGATCATACTGAACGCCATGTACGCCGACTGCGTAATGATAATAATTAAACGATTAGGTTTACAATATTAACATATTATGGTATAAAACAAATTGAACCTAACTAGTTAGAAACCTAAAGTCAGTAACCGCGAGCGTGCGAACAAGTGTCGTCACATGCGTTCGTTTTCGAAAATCGTAAATGAAAAACCGTTGAACAAGTCGAGAACGATTAACGAGTTTGGCGTCAATAAGTCGTACAATAAAAATCCGAGAATAAAAAGTGTTATTTAAAAATATTTTGACAAAGTGTATATACTCAAAAGTCAAAAAAAAAAAAAATACTACTACCATAAATATTGCTCAAATAGAAAAACGACAAGAGATTGTTTTCGTTGAATTTTAGATTCAGAGTGGAGCGAAGAAGCTTATGATTTTACAAAAATATTTATTTATTTTAGCGAAGTACTTTAAAGAGGTTATTTTTCGATTTTCCCAAGAGTTTTCCAGCAAATGTGAAAAACCGAGGAAATCGGTACAATATTAAACGAATATTATTAAAGAAAATAAATAATGCTTATTTAATTACTTTACCATAATACGACACATACAGAGTAATTTACTAAACGTGTTCACCTCATTTTTTGATTAAACTATGCATGTATTCAAATTTCGATTTTTGGAATTTTTAAGTATAGTTAAAGCCAATATTTTCGAATACTTGGATTTTTCACAACATTTAAAGAGTAATCCGTGGCGATACCAACTTTGATTACTTTGACAGTGAAATTGTTAGAATAAACATAAATGCTTGAAAATTTGACTGGAGGTTCATTATAAGTCGTACTTAGTGATACCGAAATAAAAAAGCTATAAGTAATTGTTAAAATATATGAAGTGTCAATTTTATTAATTTTTGATACTCATAGAATATAAATTTGCACCATGACTTAATGCATATAGTTGTGGAATGGTAAACTGGTGAAGAGGGGATGTTTCGTTCCCACGGCTCTGTCCAATAACACTTAGATGGTGGTGATCAACCTCTAACATCTGCGTTTGCTTAATGAAATAAAAAAATTCAAAGCAACACGAATAATCATCTATTTATGAATTAATGTATTAGGTATTATGCCATTTTTATTATATTTTTTAGACATTATAATCAATTTGAGTGCATTTGATATATGAAATAATAGTTTAGTAATAAATATAAACGCCTATAATCCATGATATAGCATAAGTATACACTTATAACATTTGAACTTTTTTTTTACTCTGTAGGAATGTACATGTATAATATTTTCCGCCGTGTAGGAACTAACATACGCATCTTATTTTTACCATCTAGGAACTTACATATGCATTTTTTTATATTCGTGTAGGAATTAACGCACCCCATTTGTAGGAGAAAAAATACGTATGCAATTGTTTACCAGCTACTCTTGTGTAAGACCTTACTATTATCCTTCCCAACTATCCACCTACAACAGTGTCCACACCCGCCCCCAATATCAGCTCTTTTTTTTCGTTTATTGTTGTGGTTATTACCGTGGCCCACTCGGCGTCTACCGTGCTGGAATATGTTCGGAATATGTCCACCAGATACGGCGTGAACGGTACGCCGGACATGATGTTTGAGAAGAATATGTAAATCATCATGAACTTGAGCGGTTTCCACAGTCCCGGGTGCGAAAAGCTGATCCAGCTGTTCGTCTTCTTTTTTGGTTCTTCTATAGTTATAAACGTTAACAATACATGACAATATTTAAATAACACGGCAACTATATTTTTAAAGACAAAAATTACCCGTTGTGGTTGACGAAGACACGTACTCAACCATCTCTTCAAACTCTTTGGCGCATTTCTCTTCAGTTTCCCACCCCCGGAGTTTACACAGGGTTTTTCGCGCTTTGTCCGTTTTACCTTTGGACAGCAACCACATAGGTGAGTCTGGAGTCTGCGAATACAAAAATAAATATATGGTGAAATGATACGAACTTAACTTAACAGTTACTTACCAGAGAGAGTGCCACAAAGTTGATGAGGGGCACGGCGACAGTGATCAACAGCGTTTTCTTCCACTGTGTGGTAATAGCGTACAGGGTGGTGATGAAAAAGTAGCCACCGAAATAGAACACATTTAGGGCGGAAGTAAGCGAACTCCGCACTTTGGGATCGCATACTTCGCCACTGTACGATATGCAAAGGCCTGTAGCGAACCCCGTGCTCAGGCCCATCAACATAGAACACACGTACAGAGCGTTTACCGTGACTGGAAACATAACGACAACCACCACCGACATGAACTGGATGAGATTAGTTAATGCCATGCATACTCTGTGGCCCATATTCGACTGGACTAGCGACAGGAACAAGCTGCCTAGCGGCGGAGTCAAATACACCAGACTGCCTGTGTATAAAATCATCTTCGTATAAATTTAGATATTTTTAAAGTTAAAATTTAGAATCGATTGAAATATAAAAAAATAATGCTAATTTCCTTTCTAATTAAGGAAGATAGGATACAGAAGGGAATTTAATGTATATCTGTAAGCAACGATAAACCATTGCTTACGAAAATCGTAATATTTTACTAATATATTTCGTAAATTTTACCGTTTTTTTCGGTTTTACATATTTTATGAGAAAACTCTTGAGAAAATCGAAAAATGACCTTCTTAAAGTATCACCCCAAGGAAATTTCTTTTTAGAAAATGGTCTACAATATATATATATCGGAGTAAGATTTCTAGTAGAATTTTCGTAAACAGTATATAAAAAAAAAAAAATAAACATCTTTGTAAAACCAATACATTTTTCGCTACACTCGGAATCTAAAATAAGTGTAATGTATACATTGTGTTTTTTTTTTTTTTAGAGTTTTCGTGTACAATTTTGAAGAAAATCGTAAATATTCCGGCCTTTTAAAACATGTTTAGTTGAACTTGGTTCCCAGTCGTTTATCGTTAGCAATGGTTTATCGTTACTAACAATGTATATATTAAATAACTTTATGTATTCTGCTTCTCTAACTTCCTACCTACTACAGTGACACATCCGTCCCCAGTATAAGCTCTTTTTTTTTTCGTTCATATATATGTATTTTTCACGAATTATTTTAAAACATTCGCAATAAGTAGGTATTATAATATGCTAGTTCATGGAAACTATTCGGGTTATCATGTATAATAATATGGTAAAGATTATAATTTATGAAAAAAACAAATATCTTAGACGACTTAGGTTTGAAAATCATTCGTACATTATACTCGAAACCGCACATTATGGTACAATAACTACGAATATATAAAATATAATATGTGTATTCTACGAACTAGTCCAAAAATCGATACCGAGATTAATCTAAATGATCTATAACCGTGATATAATATTATTGGGAGCGTTATAAAAACGTGAGGCCACCGTGATATCGTGTAGTTGTTATCGTGATTTTTCGTGATCGAGGGTCGGTTAATAATAGAACAAAGTTAATGAAAATAAGTATAATATTGAGAATTCTCGACCATGTTTTATCTGTTACATTCATGAGACTTTTTTTTTTTGCTATCAATTTAATTATAATAACGATTGTGTACAACGGTCATGAGGCGTAATAGTTATTTGTATATTTGTTACTTGTTTGAAATGTACTTTTTTATGTTTTTTACTCATTTGTTTGTACCAACTAGATAAACTTTTGTTTTTCTAAATAAATTATAATTGTTTAATTGGAAAACCGGACCGAATTGCATATAAATTTTATCTACCTAACTCTTTTATTACTGTTTTAAGTATATCTAAAGTTTATAACCAGCGGTGTGAGAAGTTTCGGGAATGTTCGCCAAGTGAGCCTTTGAAACCCCGATATCATACTGGAGGCCTTTCAAAAAACAAGTGGCCGCCCGGAGAACGAGCAATAGAAATTATTTGTGTAAATAATTTTTTTTTTCTCATTTTATAATATTTTATTATTATCAACAATTGCTACGTAAAAATTACAAAGAGATTCGGGGAGATTAAGAAGTATTGTATACCTTTGTAGCTTTAAACAAATTTTCAGATTTTCCCATGTACCAGGTTGTCCAGGTGTCTAGTTATTTATTTGAGTTACTGTTCATAAACGCATAATATTATAATATTTTAGTTTGAAACAATAATTATATTTACAATATTCTTTAATCGCCAATCAAATTGCAGGACGTACCTAATATAATTAGTGTTTATTTCAGACCTCCATTCTTACTTTCCCCCCTCCTCTGAAATGAGCACTGAACAAAGTGTATTAATATGGTGGTGACTGGTGAGTCGCACGTACTACTCTCTACCTCTAGTTATAACATGTTTTAATACGACGATTAAATACGTAATTTGTACAATATTACTGCTATTACACTATTATTTTGATATAATTGTACCAATGAAACAGTTTGGTCGAATTTCACCAGTTAATGTACGCTATCAGTTGAAAGTTATCACATTTTGATACGATATTGTAGTATACGAAATATGTAAATAGTAGCGACGTCACGACGATATACGATAACTTGAATAAATAAATTGGTACGCGGAATCTGTGGGCATGCACCAATTAATTAAAAACCTTAAACAAGACGTCAATAAATGATTTCGAAATTATAGAAATCGTTCAATTGGAAATGACATAACAATCGTGTTCCCGACGATGACGTTTAATCGAAGCGGAAAAAAAAAACCGTCGAAATGATTTCAAATCGCGCAGTTGTAGCTCAGAATAGACATTATTATAAACTGTTTAACATAATTTTCAAATATATTGCAAAATGTTGTATATTCTGCTTTAAGCTGCAGGAATATCGACGGATTTTGGTTCTTCGCCCGGTTCTTGTAATATCATCCTTAATCCGGACGTGTATAAGAACGTTGAAAACTTTGTCGCGGTTATTCAAACATAATGTTTATCTAGTATACAAAAAGTTAGTGGCACACTTCAATCGCGAAAGTTTACAAGGATTCCGCTAAAAATACTTAAACTATAACGACCGTTGTAAACAGAGGCGCCAGGCAGTGGCGTACGCAGGGGGGGAAAGAGCTAAGGGACTGAAGTCCCCCCCCCATTGATCGCTTATATATACATAAATATATATGTACAATTAATCATTTTCTAAATAAAATTAGTTTAAATTTTTGTGAAAATTGAAAATTCCACAAACGTTTAATTTTAATAAAATACACAGAGCCTTATGGGGGAATAAAATTTCAAAGCCCGTTTTCCAACAATTACAAAATGTGACATTTACCCTTTTCGCACTAAGCCATAGATAAATATATATAATTTATAATACACACATATTTTTTTTATATTTTTCAAGTTTTAACTGTAATAATAATTAGTAAATAAGGACTTTTTTTCATAAAATACACTATTTTCTGAAGTAAATTATTTAATTTATCACCACTATCTATTAGTGACCTTATTATATTATCACGGAATAAGATATTATTAGGTTTATAAGATTATTATTTTTGTCCAACTGTGGTGACAATCGTCATAAACAATGGTTTTGTTGTTATTACAACTTTGGTGGTTGGTGTTTTTGTGCATACGCGAGCTGCCACACGCCAACGCAATCTTAGATAATATCTATCCAACAGTTAACGCATCGTTAAGTTAGCCCACGGATGTTGTAGATAATAATAATATCACCTTTAATTAGTGAAAAACAATTAGGGATGTAGATAATTTTGTTTTCACTTATTTCTCTTCATTATCAATGTAATAATATTTTGTATACTTAGGTTTTTCGTCGTTGTTTTCGTATAAAACGTATCTCATGGTTTAGTACACTAAAAAAAAAACCTTTTTAATTATTCACTGTGGTAGAAAAAAGATAGAATATTTTTCGATTTTTAATTTAAAGAAAAAAAAAGTTAAGTTATGCAACCCATAATTTATACAATTTTTTGGCTTTTTTAATACTCTACTAGTTTAAAAACTGTGTTTTACTGCCCAACATTTTTGTAGTTACCTAAATATTAAAGTTTTTTTTTTTCTTTTTTTCGTGTATGTTTTATGTTTATTATCAGCCAGAACTAAGAATACAACTACTTTATTTTTCCAACTTGTGATAAAACAACTGATTAATTATCAATTTTCAAGCGGTCAACCCTCATTGAAGCGGTTAGTCAACCTGGTAGCCACTGGTGCCAAGTTTTGAAAATGTCATGGGGGACTCAATATTTTATTAATACATACAAAACCCCCCTCCCCAAAAAAAAAAAAAATTTTATCTTTCTTAATTAATTTGTTATAAACAAAATTAGGATTTTGAAGATGAACATGACAAATATTGATTTTTAATATAATATTAGAATTTTGGGGGCTGAGCTCCGTCTTACCGACCTCATGAAGGGATGCAGCTCCAGCTCCTGTACATGGAGCCCTTAGTTGTAAATGATTTCGATACATACACAACACCGATATTGGAATATCGAAAGAGAAATGTCACTTCGAGTGTAATAATATATTTTATTGATATATTCACCGTCGCTTGTAATTCTCATTTTGTCGTATTAAATTTTGTTTTGGCTCGAGAAATCCGAGTTGATACGAGGGCGTAATGCACAGTAGAGGGGAGAACGGTGGCATTATCGAGAAAAAGACACTGTAATGTGCATTTTTTTTTCATTTTTCTTTCTCTGTAAACAACTTTTTGACAAGAAAACTTGGTCCACAGTAATAAGTGAAACACCTTTTCTTAAAAGAAATTAAATAGAACTTTTTTGATTTTCCTAGGGGTTTCCGAAATAATTGAGAAAAACCGAAAGAAAATTATAAATGTATAATATTATATATAAATAATTATAATTTTTTTTTTGTTAAATTTTCAATTTGGTGATTAAGTTGGTGATCAAGAAAGTCTTTTTTTGATTATCTTTGTAGTTTTTTTAATTATTAAGCAAAACCGAAAAATAAGTAGAAAGAACGGGACAATTTACGAAAATAAATCTTTTATAATTTTAAATTTTGTTTTTTTTTTTAAATTTAATTCATTCAGAATTATTCATAGTGGCTTAAAATTATGACAGAAAACGTATGTTTTTTTTTTTTTTTTAGACGTAATAAAAATTTTAAAACATTTAAGCAATTTTTGAGCTATTTAAAGATATTTTAATTTTGCGAGTTTTTTTTATTTGGTAAGTTAATTAATCACTCTGAGGATAAAATTGTTAAACTAAATAGAAGTGCTTGGAAATTTGACAGAAGGTTCATTATAAACCATAATTCACTAATTAAAATAAAATAAAATGATTGGTTATAATATAATGGTTTATAAAATGATCATTAAGTTCAGTGTAGTATTTTTTTTATATATATATTTAAGTTTTAAATCAAATTTAAATCAAAATTTGAACTTCACTCTGAATTGCTTTTCATCCTACAATGGTTTATCGTTAGTTACAGCCTACAGGTTAAAGAACTTTATGCATTCCACCTTCCCACCTACAATAGTGGCCGCATCTGCCACTAGTACAGCTCTTTTTTATTTTTTCTGCCTACAAACAAGTTTTTGAAAAGAAATCTCGCTCTTTCGATTTATCAAATGTAGCATATTTTTAATAATTTTTGTCGAGTATCTCGAATAGCTTATTATATTGTAATAAATGACTCACCGATCCACGATAACTGTTCGTCAGTTATGCTGGGTATGGTGTCGTCGACATTGACATCTATCCCGTCCGTGATATTGGCGTACCGGCTCTTGTTCATGGCCCCGATGATGACAGTCGGCATCATCATGTCTATCCCTTGCTGGACGTTCAGGAAATACGTCGTCGTCAGCAACAAACACTGAAGAAAAAGGAATTTATAATTAACATTCCGGCCGTATACTACGCGTATGAGTATAGGTAATAAGTATGAAAATAGATTTTTTTTTTTTTTTTAAATTTCTATATACATCTATAGATTATGTGAATTCCAGAACTACTGTATGTGTAGAAAGACGTGACAGGTATTTAGCGTTGGCGGTGAAAATTCATGGAGAGTATAATATACTGGAAACCGGAATATGATCAAGAGGTATACGCTGCGAAACTGCAGAAACAAACGCCGAATTTTATCGAGACGATAACGATAGAACTATCGGTTGGCCGTTCTTCGAGTTTAGAATTTGTCGGTTCCTTTTGGAATAATATTGTTGTTTTAACAATGGAAATAATATTCGAAGTGAATATTTGATCTATTTTACGCCGCCGAAATTAACGAAACGAGCGTCGAACGCTTGCTATTCACTGTATTATGCAAATAAGGGTGGAGGGGTGGCAAATAAAAAATGAATTGGTTAATTTGTGTTATACAATTTTGAATTTCGATTTTTATTTAATTTTTTTTTTTATGCTGGATTACATCATTGTTTCGTCCGAAAGTACGGAAAGACATTGTAAGATATACCGATTATATTTACTGATTCTGATTACTTATCCGAATCAATCCGAATTTGCCCGGATTAAACAAATGTTAAACAATCTGTTTAATTTGGATTGCATTGACCAATTTCAGATTTATCAAATTCCTATTCAGCACTAGTACTTAAATCTCGCATCGAATCATCTATGTATATATACATATACCTATAGAGCTATGCAATTTAAATTTTGATTTTTTAGTTAGTTGTTATACTTAGTACTACTTAATACCTAGTAGTAATATACATTTTTACACACTCGGCATTATTTTTTTGTTGATTAGATGCACAATGTAACTTTCTTCAATAGAATCCTTCCTATTTAATTATTAGATATTTTTTCATGATTTTTAGTGATCAAAGCACAATTCTAAGTAAAATATTAGCGATATTTCTGTGTCATTAGTAAAGTAGTATAGTATGTTTGAATGTCCAGTAAAATACGAATAAAAATATAGAATAATGAAACCCGAGTTATTCACGTTTCAATTGCAGTTTTAGTAAATATTGTCAAAAATAATATATGAAATTGACACATCAAACATGTTGAATGCCGAATAAATTAAAATTACCGGTTAATTTTGGACTCGGAAAAGTGGTTTGACCACTAAAATTCGTGAAAAAAAAAATACGAAAAAAATATCTACTGGTTACAAATAAGGTGTGTTATTTAAGAAAAGAAATTTTTATTGAGTGAGCGCATACGTCTAATCAAACGTCGAAAATGTCGAGTAGGTATATAGATACTGAGTATAACAACTAACCGTAAAAAAAATTAATCAAAATTTTATGTCTGTGTGCAAGGATCGATGTTAAGTGATATTTTCAACATTAACGTTTCCACGCTGCATACACATTTATGTATTTTTATCTATATGTTCTATACATATATATACATAAATTAATAAAATAAACATCTTAATTTTAATATTGATAATAATTTATGATGCGTTACTTGTGCTAATGTGGATTTTATCCCGTATCCAAAGTCCACCGAGTCTTCTTTCATTTGGATTTCGCGTTAAACACCGGTAACTAGTATATACTGAAATTAAAAAAAAAAACTCTAATAATAATTGCTATGCCTATATTATACGGCCGTGTCTAATTATTAATCAAAACGGCGCACTCGGAGAACGAGGCGCTATACGTGTTTGCATATAGAACGGTTTGGCAGTAAAACGGCGAAAACGTAAAAATACTAATTATATTATTAAAAAAAAAAAAAAAAAAAAAAAAATCCTACACGATATACAAATATTATAACGTGGAATATATATATGATAATATTTTACACTATCTGACCATGCCGAATCGCTTTTATACTCCCGTTCGAATATATTTGAAAAAAAAAAAAAAAAAACGCCCTATATATCCGCTGCGCGTCTTATATATTTTTACCGATAGGACGTTCTACGCATTGGAATGGATGCGGGCGGGGAGCGAAGGGGCAATGGAACGGAGGAAATTAATCGAAAACGAACTCGGATTTGTTATGCAAAACCACGTGGGGGTAAGCTTCTATTTCGTGTGCGGTACGTTAATGTGCGACCGGGTCGCGATACCGAAAATAGTTATTATCATTTTCATATAACTGTACCACACCTTCTGCATTACGTGTTTTCGTAAAATATTTCCAATTTATATTTCCCGTCTATAGAATATGTAAAACAAATAATATACATAACATTATTCAATAAAAAACAAAACAATTTTACTATCATTATATAGGTAGAAGGTACCGCATATTAAGTACGATGATTTTTTTTTTTTTTAATTGCAATATTAGCAACTATAGGTAGAAGGTACCGCATATTAAGTACGATGATTTTTTTTTTTTTTTTAATTAACATTTTAATAAACAACGAGCAAAACGGAACACTCTCCTGGAATAACAATATAAACTAATAACTTTAATAAATCGAATTTAATCCATATTCATTTAGCATACATTTTGAAAATATTTTTTTATTTTAACGCCCCCCCCCCTCTCCTGAAATTTCACTTATAATTACGTGACGTAGGAGTTTTATATTATTCAAAACGTTTTTAAGTATAGTCAAATCAAAAACGACCATTTGTAATATATGTATTTGTATCATTAAACTGGCATTTTTCGTCGTGATAATTTTGAATGAATTCTGGTAGACTTAGAAAAAGAGTCAGCGAGAATAAAATGGCTACGAAAATTTGATAGTTATATAGTTATAGCAATAGTTTCTGTAGATTCTTACCGGCATTTTGAAAATATTATTATTAGCCTTAGCGTGGTGTGTTATAGTCCGATTTTTTATATAGTTCACAACAAAAATTCTAACTAATTCAAAACTATGTTAAAAATATAAATCTATAATTACTGAACATAATGTGTATTATTTATTGAATAAGATACTATATTCGATGGTATTTTTTTTTTTTAGTTCTTTTACATTTCCATACAACGCATGAAGCATTTTTTGTCACGTTTAATTCAATACATAAAACTCCATAAACAATTCGATAAGTCTACTTTTAACCTTTAGAAGATATAATTTTGTAAATCTGTGTCAATTTGTCGTCTGATCTTGGGTACTAAAACAATGAGGACGATATTGGGTTTAGACTTCAGAGCATAGTTACAAATGTATTGGTTTTGCTAGAATATGAGTTTTTTCTCCCCGGAAAACACTTTTTGACTTAATATATAAAGATCCAATTTCCCCATGCAATACATTAAAAGATGCGGATATTTTGCCCAATGGTATTTAATTTCAAATTTTTTACAAATTTCTCAATACTTTTTCAAAAAAAATTGCTTTTTATGTTGTTTTTTTTGGATAGACAAATGTTTCAATTTTTCGACGCAATACATCAAAAGATGCAAAATTTTTGCTTGACATGGTACTTTATTTCATATATTTATCGACGGTTTTTTGTTGTTATTTTATTTGAATTACAATGTTTTTGTCGTATTTAATGAGAAAAAACATTTAAAATTCCCAACAGTCTTTCTATCAAATTTAATAAAATTAACAATAAATGTCGGATATATCGGTTTTGTTTTTGTTAATTTCTGGGCTACAGGGCAATATACTACGACTTACACTACTAATACTACTCCACTCAGAATCTTTCTTTCGTTTACAATGATATGTCGTGGAGCAGTAGCTACTTGTTATGTTCTATTTTCGAGTTTTTTTTTAGGGGTGGGTAAAATAAACGCAAAACAAATATTTATTCTAACAAATATAAATTCCAGAATATGAATATTAAAAAAATTTTAAATTCCCATTGTTATTATAGATGAATATGATACTGAAACGGAATCAGTAAACAAGAATTCGTGTATACAAAAATTTAGTTTTAATAAATATAACATTGTTCGATATTCCTCCCCCGACCAATTCAATATAAGCGTTCTATTTGACTCGAAACTTTTGAGACGGTTTAAACAAAAATATCATATTAATACAATTATATGTTAAATAATATTGTTAGGTAGGTAATTCTATAAACGAAATGGTTATTGTTGACTTACTGCGATGGCAAATTGTGATACGAGATCGACAAAAAAAAAAAGAAAAAAGGAAAGTATAAAGATACTCTCTGGGTGTGATACGTGTAGGTGTATATAGTATTTTTCTTCGTATACGATGTATTTGTTAATGTTGTTAAATCGCCTTTTCTGTGTTTTTCGGTAGGTAAACCGATTATAATTGTATCATAATATAGGTAATACTCCGCCGATATTAAAACGATAAAATTACCGATTTATTATAATAATAGTATAAAAAAAAAAAAAATGTCTTTCGGTTAATAGTAATTTAATAATAATTTCATTATAGTTAACACATTCACATTTTTTTTTTTTTTTTTATGTTGATGCAATATTAATTATACATTTGAATATTTAAAATGAACGTCTCTATGCGATGATAGTATACACTCGCGGCGATTGATATCAGCTCAATGGTCATTTAAATTTCGCTGTTAAATAACCGGTCGACGTTTAATACTGCACTGTGTCTAATAATAAATACAAATTGTATGTATTAAACAACTATTATCTAATAAATTTTCAACAGATATATAATAAAATATACACAAAACTCGGATGATAAGGTTTACAATACGCACACAGTATACCGAAAACCGCTGCAAAAGGTCGCTGTGTTAATTTCCATCGATAACAAGGCGAATAATGATTAATTGATACCGTTACGGGAATAGGCATACTAAAATTAAAATTAGATAAATAAAATTATAATAATTACCATTTAAATTAGGAATCGTTTAGGTATTATGTTATAATGTTACTGGGACTCTCAGTATTTAAAATTCAAAGAAGGTCTTAAAAGTCACCCCTCTTCCACTAATGGTTATAACTTATTTAACACAATTGTCTAACACTACAAAAATGATTTACGCAAAGTGACTTTTTTTTAACATGTAGTTTTATATTAAGAATTGTTCAAAAATGTTATTTTATAAGTTACAGCTGTTAAAGGGGGGAGCTTTTAAACCCGTCTACTATTTTTGATTTTTATAATATTGTGTAATTGCTTTTTTAAGGGTTTTTTTTTTCAATTTTATACGCATTTTTGTGAATTTTAAAAATCCCGAACCCTGGTAACTATAGTGGGTGAATTGGGAACAACTTCGAAGGGGGGCTGTATTGAGGGACGTTTCCGAGAACTAACCAAACCTAACCAAACTTTCAGGAAACCCATTATCTCGAAAAGCAGCAGCGTATTTACAATATTTGGAAGGAGGGGGGATGCTAAACAAATGTTGAAATTCCTACAGTAAAACATCTTTATGTTTTTGGAAATGATACAATTAATATGAGTTTATAACTGAAAGAATGTTGATACATTATTAGTTCAATAACCTTGATTAATATAAGTGATCCGTTTAAATAATAGAACTTAATGGACGTGTGAAATAAATAAATAATACATACAAATATTGAGTTATCAAATCAAATAAACGTCAATATTGAACTAACTACCAATTAGCAACATTATGTTTGTTTAAAATTATAACAATTCGTTATAATATTCATTATATCTCACTCCTTATTTTAGTATGTTTCAGAAAGAAAAAATATGGTCTCTAAAAATACCGAATTAATAATATAACAAGAACTTTATTTTTTTTTTTTTTTTTTTTTTTTTTTTTTTTTTTTTTTTTTGTGGGTCACCGGGGATCGCCCTTTTGTTAATACACCATCGGACTTTCAAAATGTATTTTTTATCACTTTTTATCAACTAAAATAAATAAAGTTTAAAAATCAAAATCGTATAAAACATTTTTCGGCACGTGTCGAGTTATTTTAATTAAAGAACGTCTCTGGAATGTAAGCATAAGTATTTAAAAAAATCGTTTAGGCACATTTTTACGCAAATTTCTACAGTCGTAACCTATCATCGATGATACTGCTTTATTGTATGTTGTTGCAATTGATATTATTATCTTGTACCTGCGTGTGTTTCGGTTATCGTTTAATATTTTATAGGTTCACATAATATTGCCTGTATCGTAATATGGGTGATCGCATGTGTCTGACCTATAACATAGTATAACCTATACGTACACATACTTTTTGCTGACGTCTTGGATAGTTAAAATACCGTCATTCCTCATTCATCGAAATTATCAATACTTTGCTTCGTATAAGAAAACTTACTCGTGTTACGCCACTGTCAAATTTGAACCACGAAATATTTTAGATTAAATGAATCGAAATATAATACCATAAGGTGTAGCCGCAACTAGACCACCAACCTTGGGTTACAGACCCATAGAAGCAATAACCCCATAATCTCCTTTACACAATACTTATAACAAGCAACTAAACATTTTATTTACAATTACTTTATACAAATGTATCATAATTTTTTAACTTTATTTTTTATACACACACATGCATAATCAGTAGATAATTTTTATTTTGTTCTATTCATTAATATTATGAAATACATGAATAAAATATTAAGTCTAGACTATAAAACAGCTTATTAGGTATTTTGAGGGGGGCGCATTTTAAACTTGAGGGTGCTAAAGACCCTATAGTAACTCCTTAGTTGCGCCTATGTATAATATGTTGGTACGTTGATTGTTTTGTACGGAGAAAAATGTCTAAAACGGAACTCTAAAAAAAATGTTCGTTCGTAACACATTTCCGTTCTACAAAAGTTTAAATAAGTATAATAGAAAATGGGATTTTTGGACTTTTTTATACTTGTTCAAATAGACTTGTTGGAAGGTTAGATATTTTTTTAGAAGTTCTATTAATTATATAATTCCAACATTACGCGCCTCGAAATTTTGGCAAATATGACCGAAAATCTATAAACATTAATATGAATATACAATAAATTACCTATCGTATTCTGCATACCAAATTAATTGGTAGACTAACCTTATCAGTGGTTTTCGATTCATTAAACAACTGATTATGGTATTGATATTAATTCTAATATTTGTAATCTAATGTTATCTTAACTAAATTTGAGTTGATTTAATAATAATAACCTTTACAAACTGATTAATTTCGCAAGTAAAACGATCGAATTTTTACACATTTTAATCGGAGTTCATATTAATTATTACATTGTTTAGTTATAAAATGTAATATTTGAAACCAATCAATCACGTGAAAAATAATAATTATAATGTCCTGATAAAATATTGGGGCACTCTAAATTATATTACTACCTACGTTTATATTATAAGAGAAGGTTAATCAAAATCGCATAAAATACTCTTTTTAAGCTGGTTTGAGAAAAAAAGATTTTTGTTTATTTTTGTACACTAACACGGTTTTCTAGTACAGCAACAAAAAATTTAATTTTACATTGAATCCGGGATCTAAATGTTATAATAACGTTCTGAGCAACGAATATTATAATATTCCGTACGATTCAAATTTATTGATCTACATATTTTTACTGTATACATATTTTATTTATTAATATGCAATATTACAGACCGTAGCTCAATTACATACGAAATATCTAACACATAACACGTATACCATTAATAATACGAAAGAGCCAATAAGAAGCGCATAGAACAAATATCTCTTCTAATAGGTACTAAAAGAAAAAAAAATGAATCCATTTGGCGGTTCTCTAAATATTTGTGATTGAATCTAGGCATAATTAATGGATATTTATACCGGAGATAATGAATGGACGTTGAAGTTAATGGTATAAAAAAAAAACCCAAAATGAGTCAACATTACCATTAATTAATTGTATAACATCTATTCGGTGAATTCCTAAATCAATCTGCTAATTCAGTAGATTGCTTAGCATATTGATAGAATTTAGGAACACTCTTTTTGTAATTCAGTTGGAACATATTGGTAAATAACATTATTTAAGGTAACCAATAAGCCATAATCGCCAATATTTTATTTTTTATGATTTTTCGTTATTTTCATCGAGATCTAGAAGTACAAACTATAAAAACATTCGATTAAAAATTACAATAAAATATAATATAGGTACATATACTAGGATTAAATGATATACAAATAGTGTCAGCATCTAAAATTTAGATGCTGACATTTAGATTCTAAATGTTTTATAAAAGTATTTCCAGTTCATAAAATTCGTGTTTCCAATATATTGTACATGCCAAGCGTTGGAATTGGAATTTGGAAACACATTGGCTAAATAACCATTATTTAGTCGTGGGAAATACGTTAGCACATTAAACAACAAATTTTAACGCAACATATTTATTTTTTTTTTTTTGTCAAATATAGGTTAGTAAATTAGTTTTAATTTTGACGCGTACAATGTTTATCACATCTATCTGGTTAAACACTATTCCATCTAAAAAATATCAGATTGCTGATAAAGCAATCCGATTGATCACTTCCCTTCCAACGGATTGGTCAGCAGCTGAGTTTAGGAACAGTTAAATCTAGTGGCTGATCAATCTGATGAATATAGGAACACACGGATTATGTTATTATTGTTATTATACTCATCTAATTGTTGTTCACGTGATCATAATTATTACGTGTGTTATTATTGTTGATAATTATTTGTTAATTATAATAATCTTAATAATAATAACTGTGTTCACAAGCCACTCAAAAGTCAACAGCTTACCGATTGATTGTCTGGGGGAGTATATTAGTATTAATGAGTTATACGAAATCTATAATATATAATGAGCATGATTCACGATTGACAGCATAATATTTTTCGCTGCTAACGAGCTAAAGCGCTAGGAAACAATTATAAAAATAAGAAAACCTAACGACAAGCATTTCCGAATAATCAGTTGGGCCTTTATGCGACCCATGGTTTTTAATAATTAATAACCCCGTTGTTATACATAATATTATGCACGAGTCGACAAGCTCACCGATCCAGGAAATTTGTTTCTCGGACGAGTCGGACAAAGAATTATTGTAAACGACCTTGCCTAACCTAATGAACCTCCTGTCAAATTTTCAAGCATTTCTGTATCTGTTAACAATTTTATCCTACCAAATAAAAATTACGTATAAAACTTTCAAAATTAAAATGACTATAAATAGCTACAAATTTAAGTTTCGTGTTCAAATTTTAATACCACACGAATATTTTTAACTGAATTTTAACAAAACTTTTTATAAAAAGCTCAAAGAATTGCTTGCATAGCTACGAGCAATGGCTTATCGTCTGTTTAAATTAAATTTCCATCTATATTTTATCTTCCCAATTGTTTACCTACAACAGTAGCCCACCCGTCATGCGGAGTATGTCAGTCTTTTTTTACATTGACTTAATAAATACCTAACGAGTTAAATTTGAATATGTAATTAAAATTCACGATAGGTGAATTTCAAATTTTTTATAACTTACAAAATATTAGTGTACAAACTGTACACTAATATATTATAATGTTCAGAATTTTAAACAAATAGTCGGTATAATTTAATATCTCTGAAAAAAGGCCCTTGTAAAAAAAACAAAAAAAAAAAAACTATTAAATAATATAAATGTTGATATTTGATATTTTCAAAATAATATTTAACTTACTTCAGTAAATTAATACAGCAATTAAATTTAACGTGTTGAAATTTATTTCTATTAGCTTAATTAAGATAATATCATTCATAAATTCCACTTATTCGAGAGATCGTAAACCATATCTTTTTTTTTACAACTTTACAAATCTATAAAACATTGTTCAAAATTTCACTACACAATTTTTTTTCTATAAGACATAATGTTTTTTTTGTTTCCAGTGTGACATTGTGACGTACTCATAATGTTAAGAGCATAACAAACGTAATGTGATTTCGGTTATATACATCAATAGAATATTAAAATAACAGAAACCAATTATAACCTACAATCAGTTAGTCTGAACGTCGATTTTCGGACTTTTCTTTTTGAAATTTTCGGATATCTCTTTCAGCGTTTTATTTTCGGTTTCCGGCAGTTGAAAATACATGTACACGACACCCGTTAGTCCGAAAAAACCAAATAAGACGAACGTATTGTAAAAACCGATCAAATTCTCGATATTCAAATAAAATTTGGTCATTACGAAACACGTGATAAAATATGTAGCCGAACTGATACCGGCTCCCATGTTTTTCGTTCTGAAACGCCAAGAAATTTTTGTAAGTACATAATATAAAATATATGGTCGTTTATTGACAGCGTAGCGTTTTTACTTCATCGGGTACAGTTCGCACATGAGGATACCGAGTATGGGCATAATGCCCATCGAAGCGGCAAATATCGACACGAAGAAAAGAATGACTTGTGCCCACGAGGAGATCAGTGACGAGGTCCAGAAATGTCCGATAACTCCGATGCACAGGTAGCATACCGAACTGATAGCCATCGTGCTCATTGACAAAAATCGCTTTCCCAGTCTGCTTATAATGAATATAGTCGGGACGTTGCCAATAACACTGAGCCCCGTGTAAATCGCCTGTGCGGAAATCAAATGATTACAATATTTGAAAAAATTATTATTAAAAATATAGTAAAGTTTTTTTTTTTATTCATACGTTTTAAATAATGCAGGACCTTACCGTCGCCCAAGCCGAATGGATAGGTGTTTTGAACGTGTCAAACACGGCCATCAGATACGGAATATATGGTACACCAGACATTATATTGATAAAAAACGTCAATATTAGGAGCATTATCATAGGCTCTAGCGATTCAGGTTCCATTAAACTGTAAAACGAGTCTTTAAAAGTAACCAATTTCGTTTCCCCTATAAGCAAAAAGATTGTTAGATATTTGCAGTAGTATCCGCTACAGTATCCAATGCAATAATAATATTGAAAACATAATAAGCATAATTCACAAAAAAAAAAGAAAACAAGCCCTGATACTAGGGCCGAATGTAGCTCTGCTGTAGATGGCAAATTGGCGAAGTAGGATACATAAGTTATAAAATTATTTAATTTATATAGGTAAATAACTATAAACGATTCAGAGAAAAGTTCGATTATACATGTTTTGAAAGGCCGTGACATATTATGATTTAACATTTTATTTGAAAACTTTTATAAAAAAAAAAAAAAATACTACATTACACTCAAATTTTTTTCTGGATAAAGAATATCCTGTTAAATATTCAAGTAATTCTTTTTAAACATTTTTGTTCACAGAATACGTACCAAATAAAAATTGCGTGAAAAACTTGCAAAATTAAAATGTCTAAAATTAGTTCAAAAATGGGTCAAATGTTTTCGACATATTACTTCGTCTAAAAGAAGTATTTTTTCAAAATTTCAAGTCTCTATTAATATTTTTAGCCAAATCGCAACAAAATACCCAAATTGAAAATAATAAAAGCATTATTTTCGTATATTTTCCCGTTATTTCTACTCATTTTCCTGGTATTCCCTAATAATTATGAGTATTTCTTAGACAATTGAAAAACGAATTTATTTTTTATCAAAAATGTTAAAAATGTAACAATAATTATTTATTGTCATTTATATATTGAAACAAAATTTCCCGTAGAAAACATGAAGCGTAAAAATTTAAAATAATAAAATCGTAAAGCTTTAAATTTTCATTTTACAATTTTTTTCCGGTTTTTCACAATTATTATGAAAACCGCTTGGAAAATCAATTCTGCTTATAGAGTCAACTAGATGAAATTTCCTTTCAGAGAAAATGCTACTCTGATACATCGGAATAAGATTTTTGATAAAAATTGTGTACACAGTACAAAAATAAAATCCTCGCTTTGCTCCGAATCTACAAATCATAATATAATAAAACCTGTTATGGGATTGTTCATGTTAGACGTGTATTGGATCATATCTTCGAATTCTTTGTTGCAACTTTCTTCGGTGGCATCACCTCTGAGTTTTTTTAACGTTTGTTTCGCCTCCTCCGTTCTGCCCCTGGACAACAACCACATTGGCGAATCGGGAGTCTAAAATCGATTAATTTTAATGCTGGTATAATATATATTTTCATAATTATGTATTATTAATAAAAGTGCGTTTTTTTTTGATAAACTTATCTTTAAAATATAATATGGAATAAGTAACTTGAGTAAACGGGGAACACGGATTAAGAAAAATGTATTTAATTTGATCAACTGAATAATACTATATTGTTACCTTCATCTCAGCTGAGTAAAATCCTCCAATAAAAAAATATATTTCCCACCGTATAATACCGTATGTTCTCTAACGGACATCATTTCCAAGCAGTCTATGATTACCTATTCTATCGAGACACGCGAAACCTTAACAATAATCATGGATATTATACAGTGGTTAACGTGGGAAAAACGTCAAAGAATGTTTTTTATTCATCATAAGTTGTGGGGCTTTCCCGATAACTAGTTAAACTTAACTAATCCTTCAGGAATCCCGTCATAAAGAAAAGACTTCCAAAATTATTATTTTTCATACACATTTGACTGTAAAAATGCTACCGATGTAATAGGGTTTAAAAATAAATTGCACCACCCCCTCAAATATGATCTTATTTATCTATACTATATCTGACACCTGCTCAGTAAAAATAAAGTAAAACAGATTATTAACTGATTACATATAACTAAATATTAAAAATATTAAAGATGCTAATAAAACTAATTCGAGTTTTTAAAATTTCATTAAAAATATCTCAGGGACAATAGCTAAAGCGTCCCTCCGGGCTCTGAAAAAGTAAGTCTTAAACTAACGAAAACATATAATTTTACCTTAAATGATCCGTCCCCTATCGTCTCCCATTTTAACCACTGACAATATACCATTAGATAAATTGTGTATGTTATCTGTAGTTCACCTTGATCAAGAACACGGCGGCGGCTATCGGTATGGTCACAGTAAGCAGCACCGATAGTTTCCAGTCGGCCGTGATGGCGTACAACGTGGTCACGCACAAGTATCCGGCAAAGTAAAACAAGTTAATGACGGTCATCAGGACGCCGCGTAGCTTGGGTTCACACACTTCGCCACAATAGGATATGGTGAAGGTGGTAATGAAGCCCATATTAAAGCCCATCACGGCCGAAATGGCGTATAGAAACTCTGGGGTGTTGGCGAACATCAGAATACCTATTGTCGCTATGTTCATGACGTCCGAGAACATCATACATTTCCGGTGTCCAAAATAGTCTTGCCCTAGGGACGCTGCGACGCTGCCCACTGGTGGGAACAAGTACACCAGACTTCCTGTAAGTACCGTTTCGATACATTATGTTACAAGTTCGTGTAATTTGTAAGTACTGGTTGGAAATGTAGCTTAAGAAGACGAATCTTTTTTTACGCCAACATTTTTTTAGAGAAGTAACAAAAAAAAAAACAATCTGTTTTGCATTTAATCTGAGATTTAAACATTATAATGACGTTCAGAGCAACAAATATAATAATATTCCGTGCTGTTCAAATTCATTAGTCTTGCCAATATATATAAATAAAGTGATCTATTATGTTATTTTTATTATTGTATTCATCTTGGTATTCATAACTTTCTCTCGTCGTAACATATTATTATTGATAATTATTTGCAAATTATAATAATCATAATAACTACATTTACGAAAATTTACTATAAGGTCAACAACAGATCGATGGATTAACTAGGTGAGTCATCTAGAGTCTGGGTATATCATTATGATATATACGAAATCTATGATATTCAAGTACCATAACCACGGTTACAGCGGTCACCGTCGCCGGTCGTTCACGATTAACAGTATAATATTTAATATCAAAAAATAAATACTAAACACGCATTATCAAACTACCCGTCGGACCTTTGCGCGATTCTGGATTTTTATAATTAAAAACCGTTAATAATTATTATATATAATATGTACGAGCCGGCGAACTCACCGATCCAGGACATTTGTTCTTCGGACAGGTCAGACAGAGGATTATTGTAATCGGTATTTCGATTGTCGGTGACGGCCCCAATGATTACCGTCGGTGTGATCGAATCGATTCCGGCTTTCATTATGAATAGATACGTGGTCGTCAACGCAAAAATCTAAGGAGGAAGTAAAATGTAATACACTCGAAATATTTATATAGTATTTTTATGATATCCGAGGGATCATAAAGTTTGATAATAATATTTTTTTTTTCTTTACAGTCGACAATAAATTCGGTGGCTTCCATTGAACGCCGTTCTGGTATAGTCATGAATGTGTATTATAAATACCTGCGCCAAAGTGGATTTAAACCCGTAGCCGAACTCGTCGATGTTCGATTTTATCGAGAACTTTGGCCATTTCATTTTTCCGCGTGTAAGATGTTCAAGTATAAATAATTTTCGTCTCTTTTTCCGCGCCAATTGATCTGTAATCGATTTAAAGAAAATAAGAAAATAATATAATTTCCTATAATTTATAGTTAATGATAAAAAATATAAAATATAATGTTATAACTTTTGTAATATTATTATATTAGATAATATATAAAAATAGGGAAAATATTCTTGGGATGCCCCAGTCTCCAACATTTTTTTTAGATTCTGAATGGAGTGAGGAATGTATTAGTTTTTTTTTCAGCGGACAACTTTTATACCAGCGATTTTGCTCCGATTTACAATGATAGCACTTTTTCTATAAGGAAATCTGACTGGGAAGGTACTTTAGGAAAGTCACTTTTTGATTTTCCCAATAATTTGGTAAAACCTATAGATAGTTACATAACCGATGTATAAACACTTACAAGTAAGTATACTTAAGTATAAGTATAAGTACTATAAGTATACTTATAGTATAAGGGGAATAATTTTAGATATAGTAGATTCAAATTTTAGAGTAATATATGATAGGTGTATATTCAGATCTTAACTAGGAGTACAAAGGTGGATAAAGGTGTATGAAAATTATTGCAATTAAGTCTGCAACATCTGTATTTTATAAAAACTATAATAATTAAGTGGGCAATTTCGAGCATTATTAGTTACATAACTTTAAGATTCTGAATGGAATGAAGAAGTTTATAGATATACAAAGATGATTATTTATTATCTGCGAACAACTTTTATGCCAGAAGACTTACTCTAAAGTATATGCAATGTGGAACCTTTTCTGAAAGGAAATTTTTTTGGGATGATACTGTAAGGAGGTCATTTTTCGATTTTCTCAAGAGTTTTCTCATCAAATTTGAAAAACCGAAAAAAAAACTGGAAAATATAAGAAATGTGCACAACTTTTCTACCAGCAATTTTGAACCGATTTACAATGACAGCACTTTTTCTAAAAGTAAATCTAACTGGGAAAGTACTTAAGGAGGTCATTATTTGATTTTTCCAAGAATTCTCCAAGCAAATGTAAAAAACCGGGATAAAACATGGGAAAACCAAGAAAAACGTAGAAAAACTAGAAAAATCGGTACAACATTAAACAAATATTATTAAAGCAAAATAATATAGAAAGCCAATTTAATAATTTTTACTATAAAATCACATATATATATATATTATTTAGAAAGCATCACTATCAACTGAAATCTGCTCAGAATCGTTATTTTGTAAGGAATGGTTTATCGTTGCTTACAGGTATACATTACATTATTTATAATAAATAAATAAATTGTATATATTAGTTTAAAATTCAATTTTATATATTTTCATTTTTAAAAAAATATATAAATATTAAACACAAATATTTTTTTGAATAAACTACCTTCATCAGCACATTCAATTATGAGTGAAAATTCATTTCAAAAATAATTTGAGCATGTAAATTATTCAATTAACCTTATCAGTGTACCAACTATATATAAGATTTCTTTTCATTTTTGTAAACACTGGTAGAAAAATTATTAACAAATACAAAAAAATAAAACACACAGTAACACAATCGTTGTAAATGTAGCTACGCTAAGGATCTAAAAAAATAAATGATTGAATAAAATCTATTTTAATTTTTTTTTAATTTGGAAATATTAGTGTTGATATATTTAGGTACGGTTACATTTGTCTATGTTTATAATAATTCAAACTAACTTGAGCTATTTTTTATAAGATATCAATAATTATTAAAATTTAGTATAGAATTTAATTTGTACGGTCTCTGATCACCGTTAGAAAACAAAACAGTTCAACATTGAACTTAATAAATATAATGCTTGAAAAAAACATCGTTCGTCTATAATAACTAATAACTGTAAAGTAACTAGGTATATTTCGCTATACTATGTTTACCGATATTTCACAGAAGTGCCGTTATGTCGAAATTCATCAGTATGAGTATAAAACGTCGAGACGAAATATGATTGACAGTTGTTGATGTGAATGTAAAAAAAAAAAAAAAAAAACTAAACAGAACTAAACCGCACTAAAACGCCTCGGAAACCTGAAGTTACATTGAAAACACGGAATAAAATCGCGACGATATTATATAATATTAATATTATTGTCTGCCGCGGATACCGAGTAGACTAAAACGTACGTATATTCCATAATTCGCTAAAATTACTGTACCTACTTACCGTGACTTCTGCAAAATGATTACATTGTGGTAGGGATAAAATGTTAACACTTGACTGTGTCTATCAAATGATTTAAATCGGTTCGGAATATTATTATCTCTTTTGTGCTTTATTAGGTACCTACCTAATAAACGGTTCGCCGAAAAATACATATGTTACATATTATTAAACTTATCGGTTATCAATTTTTTTTTTTTCATTTTCAGTTACATAAACCTTTCCAATTCTAGTCAAGGTAATAATACCGGCTACTGATTTACACGTTATGCACGTTTACCAGCTGCTGCGTAAAGTTTTGAATTGTTCATATTTTTTCGTTCTATGGGTACTCGATAATAATCGTATATCGTCCCCATCGAACCAAAAGTGACCAAATGAAAAAATATGTTTTAAATTAAATTCCTCACTTCTTCACAATAATTATTTTTTTTTTGGTCTCAAGGGAGTACTGGGCACACGTTAATTTCATAAAAATAAAGTGTTTAAGTAAAAAAGACGTTCTAGGATAATGGAAACTGGTGCAGCCATTGGGTAATTTAATGTGTATCTTTAAGCAACGATAAAGCATTGCTAACGAAAAAACGATTCTGAGCGGAGTTCAGTTGATAGTGCTGCTTTGTCAACAATATATATGTTATATTATAGTAAAATAACTAAATAGGCATTATATATTTGCATTAATTATATTTGTTTAATACTGTACTGATTGTCCCGTTTTTCCTGATTTTGCCATGTTTTTCCCGGTTTTTCACAATTGCTGGGAAAACTCTACAAAAAATCGAAAAATTACCTACTTAAAACACCTCCCCAGTCAGTTCCTTCTAGAAAAAGTGTTATCATTGTAAATCGGAGCAAAATTGCTGGTAGAAAAGTTGTCTGCAGAGAAAAAATCGTAATATTTTTCTAATATATTTTGTATATTTTCCCGTTTTTCTCCGTTTTTTACGATTTTTCACATTTACTGGAAAAATCAAAAAAGTACCTCCCTAAAGTACCTTCCCAATCAGATTTCCTTTCAGAAAAAGTGCTATCATATTAAATCGAAAAGAAATTGCCGGTAGAAAAGTTTGCGCCACAAATCGAGAAGTATTTCGCGATTAAAATAATCAAAGCGAGTAAACGCTTGAATCACTTGAGTCGGTACATCCGAAATGCTTTTGTTTTTTCCTTGTTTAGATAAAAGGAGAAAAAAATGCAAACAATTTTTTTTCAAAACACTGGTTTGAATTCGGAACTTTTAGGATGATAACAGACATAAATAACCAATACATCACGACAAATATAATCGAAGAAGTACAATATAAAGTTATTTACAACATCTTTAATATCCGCAAAATATCAGAACTTCAAAAAGCTATAATTTCAAAGCTTAGTCGGTCCGCTTAATTCTAACGTTTCCATCGTTTTTAAATCGGCAATATATACGTGTTCAAAAAAAAAAAAAAAGCTAATACTGGAGATTGGTGCAGCCTGGCGCGGCTATTAGGGGGAGGGGCCATGGGAGCGATGCCACTACTCAAAAGTCACGAAAAAAAAAAAATTAAATTATTATACTAATATGTCAAACAATGACAAAAATGATATTTTCTCATAGGTTAAGCTGTTATTTTTAGTTTTGATGTACATTTAATAATAGTAAATGCATTGTTTTTCGGATAGTTCTATTTATAATTCAGTAATTTGTATAATTGCCTTAATTCACAACGTGACGGATACCGGGCGTTGTCTTATATCGTAATCGCCCGCATTTATAGGCCTACCGTGATAAATATTTTCATTCGGTATCGTTTTAATCAGTTTGGTTTTAAGATAATATATGTATAATGAATCATTATTCAGTTAGAGAAGATTTCGTCATGTTTGTCGATGCTTTGATGAGGTTTTGGTTTTACTAGAGAAACCCGAAGATAATGTGGAAAATGGAGAAAATGGTGAAGAAAAAAAAAGAAATTTCAATAACTGGAGAAGTACTAGGTAAAATTATTATCAAGCAAATAAATAATATTGATCTTCATTTGGTCTTCATGTGTGGATATAAGAACTGATGGATGTAGCGTAATGGTGTACGAACTTCGTGGAGCTGTTAGTGAAATCATTAAAGTAGCATCTAATGCCCGCAGGTACCGTTTTATAATCATTCACTAAATAATTTTATATCACGATCTTCAAGCGTTAAAAGTATCAGATATTTTATTGGAGTAATTAAAGAAACTGTATCATTTTTTTCTGCATCAACCAAAATAACAGCGGTTTTAGGAAAATATGTTGGGCATCAGTTGGCTTATGCGAAACAAAATTGGTCGTGAAACATGAAGAAGTAATGGGTTTCAAGCAAGATATGCATAAAATTATTGATGCATTGTTGGAAACATGGAGAGACTTTAATACTTCTGGAGAAGCTAAATCCCTATTAATAATATTATGTGACAGTGAAATTATTGTTTCACTTTGTAGTCTCTCTCATATGCTTAGCTACTCTTTTCCACTAAGTAAATTTTTTCAAAAAAACTCTATTGATTTACACGCAGCAGCCAATATAATGAAAGATATACTAAATATTCTGTCAGAATGCCGAGAAAACGTTTCTACTCAGTTTACAGAAATTTATAAATCGTCTGAGAGTATGGCTAAAACTCAAAAAGTTGATTTGAAAATCACAAGGAATTATTCAAGACAAACAAATCGTACAAATTATCCAACCAATATTACAGTAGAATATTATAAATTAACCTAAATTATTTCATTATTGGATAATGTCATTAATGATTTTAAAACAAGTTTTTTACAAAAAATAATTGAATGCTCCATGTTGCTACTGTTTCAGGTGGAAAAGGTAGGATAAATACAATTATTTCATTTATATCTGTAAGAAACGATAAGCCATTGCTGAAGAAAGACTTTACCAAGCGCAGTTCGGTAATACATAATTTGAAGTGGTGTCATTTTTTTAACTTAACTTTCCTACAATTTTTTCCTGATTATTATGAAAACTAATTTGAAAATCAAAAAACGAACTACATCATTAAAAAAAGGACAAAAATTTAACAAAAAAGGTCACTTGTCGTTTTTTAATTGGAACCATATTTGTGCTAGGAAACGTGGTAGGTACTTATTTAAAATAACGAAACCATGAAAAAATCGTATTTTTTTCCCCGGTTAATCGTTTTTTTTTTAAATACCGTCTCGAAAATCATAAAATGACCTATGTATTTACCAAATAGATACAAATGACTTTCAGAAAAAATGCTAAACTTATACAATAGAGTAAGTTTTCTAAGATAAAAGTGGTCTATAGTATAAAAAAAATAAAGTACCATAGTAAAAAAATTTAAAAAAGAGAAAAAAATCGTCCGATTATTTTGAAAATTTTACCACATTTAGGTAAATCTCATATAAGTATTATTACTAAGTTTCAAGTTTTTACGTGTATTTATAACTGAATTACAGTAAAAAACTCCAAAAAATTCCTTAAAAACTCAAAAAGGCAAAAAAAGATTTGTTGTAATTTTTCGAATAAATCTTTTTTTCTGGTAGAAAACATTATCCGTGTTTTTAAAAAATAATGAAATCGTGAAATTGGACGTTTTCCTATGTTTTTTCCAATTATGTGCTTTATTTAAAAAATAGTATCGGAAATCAAAAAAAATGAACTCTTTAAAGTACAATCTAGACAACTTGAGTTCCGTCTAAATTTTAAGTCCATAGAGTCGATACAAATATTAAAATTTTTATAAAAAGCCTAAAAATGGCTCAAATGTTTTGAAAATTTAACTGCATCTAGAAAAAGCAAATATAAGTCTTCTGTCGAAATTTCAAGTCTCTACGAATATGTTTAACTAAATAACAACAAATAACATATATTGTTATATTTATTTTAGATTCTGAGTGAAGCGAAGATTATGGATTTACAAAGATTTTTATTTTACTATTATTATTATTTTTTAAATGTGCGCAACTTTTTTACCAGAAATCTTGTTCCGATTTTTAAGTGTAGCGTCTTTCTTGTAAGGAAATCTGACTGAGAAGGTACTGTCTTTCGATATTCCCAAGAGTTTGCCTGCAAATGTGTAAAACTAGGGGAAACGTAGGAAAACCGGTACAGCATTAAATAAATATTATTAAAGAAAATATATAATGACTATTTAATTATTTTACTATAATATACTCAGGATCGTTTTTTCGTTAGTAATGGTTTATCGTTGCCTATAGGTTGGTATACATTAAATTACTTATAACAGTGGCTGCACCCGTCTCCATTATCCCAGGACACTTTTTTATGGGTTTTTTTTTTGGTATCGCTAAAATTTCGCTCAATACATAATTAATGATTGTAAAACGAGAAATAAATAATAATGCACGCTGTTCATATTATCTTTACACAGAATTAAAATCCGCTGCATAGTACGATATGTATAATATATACAGATTAGGTTGTACATTGGTTGTAAATAAAATTAACCTAAAAGTTCCTGATTAAAAAACTACACTATATGCCGGCCTCGTTCCGAATTTTTTCGGGAAAAATTACGTTACGGTACATTTGAAAGTTTATTGGTTAACATTCCGATGACGCGGGATTAGCGGAATTACGATTTTTCTGGTCGGCTTAAACGTGATTATTACTTTTATTTTTATTGCGGCTGCTATATATCGATAAAACAGTATAAGTTATAACGTTATAAGTATACACAGACTAAAAAATAATAATGTGCAAGACGATACTGCAAAATGAATATTATATATATATATTTAATAAAAATAAAGCTTTAATTATAAACAGTTATTACTTATTATCAAAATTATGTTTAAGCTATTTCGTAGCCAATTTTCACGTGTCTAATTTTTTATGACCTACAAGCATCACCCCACCAACATAAATTTATTAAAAATTTATAACACTATTAACTAGAGGCCGGATTTGTATGTGATCGCATTTATAGTATTGGGAAGGAACGAAGCACGGATCGCGTCGCTTTTTAAATATAGAAACGAATAACGGGAAATAGTTCCTATATACGTGAAACTTCAACGCAAATTTCCGTTCTTTTTACTAGGAAAAAAAAATGAAACGCGCGTTACTTTAATACATTAAACCACAGTTATAATGGTTTAAAATGATAAAAAATTAATACAATTACGAATTCCTTTTCAAAATGAACTTTTCCAGTGGTCACGTCACACGCAACACTGTCACGTCATGTTTTTTCTGAGACTGTACGAATATAATATCATTAAACAATATTCCGTTACAATGTTATTACGATTGCAATATTACGTACACGTAAATGTGGATATGCAAATATGTGTAATTTAAAAAAATTATAGGCATGCCTACAATGCAAGTACCTATATAATATTACAGTTACGAGTATAATTACCTCTAATGTCTCGTGAATGTTTTTTTTTTTTTTTTTTATTGTCCTTATCGGTATTTCAGTAAATTTTTATTATTTATTGCGTTTAAAATCACGCGATAATTTTTAGTACCTATTCGATAAAAAACCTAAACGGAAGAATAAGTAATTTTGAATTCCAACCAAGGTTGAACAATGCAATCGCGTTTATTACACAGCATTCAAAATTAAGAGATTATCATTTATCTCTACAATTTGAATAGACAAATATGTATATTAGATTACCAAATAGGTAACAATGAAATGTTTTCTTAAATAATCGAACATTAATCGACTTATAGGATACATATAGCATTTTTAAACGTTCGTGGGTATTTTCACGGGGTAAGGATTGATATATATATATATTGGATATAGGAGAAAGATCTCCTTCCCTCAATCTTTTTGTTTCCTTGAGTGCTAAATAAAATATATTATTGTTTTACTAAAGTATATCACCGTTATATTAGGCATATGTCTGATATTTATTATTTTTTATATGTCTGACATTGCTGATTGTTTTCACATATATTTGCTATTGAAAATCTAAGGAACTCAATAATCAAAGTAAGGGCAAAAATAATGAGTATGATTACATTAGGTATGTGTTTTTCAACGTTCGCAAAAATTTGCGATATGTATAGAACCGTTTCAACGGGTCACCATTGTTTAGCCCCAGTGAAGGATTGTGTCACGGATGAGTCTATGACCGGCCCAATCATCATTAGACTGATTTTATACTTAAAATTGTTCTTTTTATTATTAAAATATTATTTTTCAATTAACATTTTTTTTTTTATTACCTATGACGTATTGTGCATGCGTCTTTGATAATGAGGAAAAAAATGATTACGATTTAAGATAATATGATTGTCTGATGAACTATGATAAGGCAGTTAAATGCGTCTTGTCCACAGATATATAAAACAAATAATTGGGCCGGCAAAACGAAATTCTCCCAGACCGGTTAAAATTCAGAATCTGTTAAGACCACCATAGAGAAGTAAACATATTGATCCAGGAAAAGTTCTTGGTGCTTTGGCTTAAAAATCGCGAAAAATTTACAGTTTGAACATGAACCATGGTAATAATAATATGTATTGAAATCGAATGTATAATATGCTATTATTATTACGGGGTGTTGCTCCCGCGGCTCATTTTGCAAATAATTTGTATCTATTTCCCTCACACTAACCGAAATTTCCGAGAACGCCACTGCATACGTTACAATAAGTACCCGTGACAAAACAGATGTGACGCGATTCAAATTTTTTGATTCGCACACACCCTACTCAAATATGTCTTCACTACGCCTATTATTGCAGTAACTCGCCAATTTTTATTGGCTAGCATTGGCATCGACGATAATAGCGGAGAACTACGCAATATTGGTCGGGTATGAATGAGGAGATGCGCATACCGAGCGAAAACGCGATACACTTTTATCAAACGTTCTATAGATTTTGTCGTGCTATAAAGTACGTATACATTACCTGCGTCCATAATACGTAGGTACAAATACAAAAATTAATATTCGTGTAACCTACATAATAATATAATACATTATAATTATGTTAATGAGCAGTTTACCTTTTTTGAATAAAGTATTATTCTTATTGGTATAAATTATTTCTCTTTGAGATCGTATAATTATACGTATTCTTTTTTTCAAGTGGAGCAATTTGGTTGCAACTAAAGTTAATTAGCAAAATATGCTAAGGAAGCAACACGCATGGTTTTCTTTTCGTTTGCTAATGTTTTTTAATATTCTATTTCAGAATGAGAAAATACGATTATGTAAATTATTTGTAAATTATTTGTATAGATTGGACAATTTTTCATCGAATACACAGTCTTGAATGACTGATTCGTATAAAATGCGACATTTCTTGAAAGTTCTTCAATAGGTATTAAACTATTAAATTGTTAAATCTATTAAAAAAATCACAAAACGACTTCTCAGCCAGATCAGTAAAATAAGTTACCTATTTGATGCATTTACGGAGTTGAATTTTTTGTGCCGTCATCTGGAAACCGATTATGGTGGTAATGAGAAAGTATTGTGAAAAAAAATCCCTCGGTGCTGTCAGTTACAACGCTACACAATAATTGTTTTATTTTTTATGTAACCCGTAGGTACACATTACATTTTTTCAAAGGAACCAAAGAAGTTTTTTCATTTTCTTATAGTAAATGTTGACCTAATAAAAGTATATAATATATTTTCAAAATGTTCATTGTTCTCTCATTAGTAAAGTTATAGACTTTTAATGCATATAATAATATTGACATTGCCAAAAATAATATAACCGTTATAATATGTTTTATTTTATCGGGAAACAGAATCACCGCAGATTAGGTGATCTGGCTATCGGTTTTTCGTACAAACTAGTATTGCGATTGTCGGTCATATTCCCAATGATTACCATCGGTACCATTTTCATGGCGAAAATATAGGTACGTGGTTGTTAGCGCCAACACCTAACGAAGTGTGCATTTTTACTTATTATGTATTATTTACCTGCTCAAAGTAGATTTAATTCCGTAGCTGAACTCGTTTAAATTCGATTGCGTTGATAACTATTAACTATATTATCCTATACATTTTATGGTAAAACTATTTGAAGTCGTTTCGAGGTTCTGGTAAGGTCGAATTATTTCCAAATAAAGACTGGTGCGAGTGACTCGACTTGAACTCAAGATGTAATGAAAAACTAATTTAAAAAAATACGTTCTTGTTATTTTATAACGAAGACTGAACTTTAAATACACGAAATAAACTATTCCAACACAACACGATGTCGCGATGTACATAACGTAAAACAATATTACCATTAATCAATTTATAACAAAAATTACAAGGTTTAGACTGAACTCTTCTTGTGTTGGGAATGTCTGACTGGGATGGAACTTGTATTCAAATATTATCATTTTGCATTACAATATCCTTAAGACTATTTTGAATGAAATAAAAACTATAATGATTATATTGTTTACTATAACAAGTATAATAAATTGATAATTATCGTAAATTACATTATAGTTTTAATTTTACATAGGGAGTACGCATAGGCATAATTATACTTACAAATTTAGGGGGTTTAAATTATGAACACATCAAAAGCCCATGGCAGCTATGCTCCCACAATTCCCTTTAAACTATTCTTATAACAAGCAACTATACATTCCATTTACATTTGTGTAGGTATATACAAAGTAATCATAACTATTTTAACATTATTTTTCATACACACATTCACTATTTGTAGGTAATCTATACTTTGTTCTGTTTATATTACTTATTAAATACATGTATAAAATATTTAGTTGTTATTGTGAAAGAGCTTATCAAGTTTTTTGGGATGTTATAGACCCCGTAGTACGCATCCTAGTTGCGCCTATGGGAGTATATGATCGCACCTTCGCACCTGCACGTGCCAACACTGTGTTTGAGAAAGCGATTTCGACCAAAAATCTTATTCCAACTATAAACTTCAGGGGACGCTTTAGTTATCAAATCATGTTTCGTTGGTACATTAGAGAGAAAAAATTTAAATTACAAGAAATTGTCAAGTACTGAATTGATCGCTAGTAAATTAGTCGTCTACGATCCGTACGAAGACATAAGCTACAATAAAATAACGAATACAAGTTCGGTAAAAAAATAAGTTATTTATAAGTAATGCTAATTTTATATGAACAAAAATGACTGGAATCAGGTCCTTTGAATATTGATTTTTGTACTTTTCCTTTTGAAGTTTGCGGATATTTCGTTCAGCGTTTTGTTCTCGGTTTCCGGTAGTTTATAATAAATATAAATAAATCCGACCACGCCCAAAACGCCAAATATAATAAACGTGTTATAGAAACCAACCAACGTCTCAAAATTCCGATAGAACTTGGTCATTAAAAAACACGTGATGAAGAACATAGCCGAACTGATACCAGCTCCCATGTTTTTGGTTCTAAAAAATGCGTCAAATTAGTAAATAATATAAATTGTACATTTCTCGTCTGTGTATTTACTTCATCGGGTACAGTTCGCCGTAAAGGATCCACATTACGGGTACGAAGCCCATCGACGAGAAAAACGACGATACGAAGAACAAAACAAGTTGAATCCACGAGGAGATCAGAGACGGGGACCAAAAACGTCCGACGATCCCGATGCACGTGTAGCACACTATACTGGAGGCCATCGTGCTCAACGTCAAAGTTCTCTTTCCAATTCTGCTTATAACGATTATGGTTACCACGTTGCCCAAGACACCGCATGTCATGTTTATCGTCTGTGATCAAAATTAAAATATTATTTCTAGTGAACTTATCAAAACATTTAACTATAAAAAATTGTGTTTAAAATAATTCGCATACTAAATACTACATACTAACCATGGACCAAGCCGAATGCAAAGGTGTTTTAAACGTATCGAACACAGACATCAAATATGGAACGAACGGTTGACCAGAAAGTACATTGTTAAAAAATGTTATAATCACGAGCATTTGAAAAGGTTTCAGTGTTTCAGGTTCAATAAAATTGTAAAACGAGTCACTAAGTGAATTACTTTTTGTTTCCTCTGTAAATATTATATATTGTAAAACATTCGCTATATGAATTATTATTTATAAAAATACTTCTTTTAATCAGTAGTAAATTATTAATCAGTTACTTGTTGGAGAATCGATCAAGTCCATTTTAGATGTATAAAGAATCATGTCTTGAAATTCCTTAATGCAATTTTCTTCACTTGCGCCGCCTCTGAGTTTTTTAAACGTTTGTTTAGCCTCCTCTTTTCTATTTTTTGACAACAACCACATTGGCGAATCGGGAGTCTATTAAATCACTTTATTTTAATTCCCAATTTTAGTATTATATATTTTTTTTTTTTTAGTTATAAATTATTAAAATATGCCTTACTTTTGTTGAACATATTAATGGTGACATATTATAATATTATTTTTACTAGTTTTACCCAGTTACAGCGTGCAGTACTTTAGTCACGTCTTCACTAGAGTTGAAAATGACGTTGACGAGACAAGCACCGGAAGCTACATTATCCACCCTTAGTAATTTAGAATAATATAGCAGGGAATATTCAGTGTTGTAAATAGATCATATAATATGATTTCATCAGCAGAGATTCTATCAGATTGGATAGCGGAGTTACACACAGGTAGACCACGAATAACAACATTCTTCGCGCAGCGTTCACGATCGAAAGTTTCAGCCATTACCTGAGCAAGGAGGCTAGACTGTGAATGAAGGACTGAAACATTTGTGCTACTTTAAATTATATCGACTCTATTCCTAAAAACAGATAGCTCTTCATGAAGCCATGCATTTTCCTGCTTTAGATCGGTGATTTGAGAAGAAAGAATTAATAAGGTTCAACGAAGCTATGAAGATTCTTTAGTTTGCAAATTGCTAAATTTATTGTACGAACTAATGATATCGACTTGCAACTTCTGGAAACTTGTGATTGCAGTCATAATATAAGCGTTTTTGGGAGAAGTGGTTGACGAACAGTTGGAGGTTGAAGGAAACATAGCTTTGGATGGGTGGGCAACACTCTTTGACCGACTACACGGGTAGCATACCGAGTTTATTTAAGGCGAATGAGCAGAAAGCGAGCTGAAAAATGCTCCACAGTCCGAATAAAAGGACTATCAACAAGCATCACACGTAACAAACTTAGTACTTTCAAATTGGGTACGATGGCAATGGCACAAGTGCTTGGCATAGGACGAAAAATGCAGACAAATAGTTAATTTACATATGAAGGGGATGCCGTGCTCAACGAGAAGTAGGCAACTAGATAAAGGAAAAAGTGAAAGTAAAAAAATAAACAGAATGCAACCACAAATGCACACTATCAGCAAGTACGCAATCATATGACAACGATTAGTAAATATAGGACACGTTCAGACCGTTAGATTGATCGGGTAATCAAAAGATAAGTTAAATCAGTAGACACAACAAACATGCGATAAGTGACACGCCGCTAAAAAATACGTCCACTTCTGTTGAAGGTTTATACTGTAATTTAAGAAACAAGCTGCTCTACAATTTTATATTTATGTTATTTTTTTTCACCCTTATTTTTGGGAGTAAAACCATTACCTACTTTTGATTTTCATATGGCAACCTATATTAAAAATTCAATAAATCGATGGAGCATCAGTTAAAATAAATTTTAATGTTGACATTTTTTATTTCCATTGATCCATTAGCGAGATAATCCACCTTTAAGTTTGGGTTGGAAGAGATTAGTGGAGTGTTATTTGTGTGGCGGTACGGCGCGCGGTGTGTTATTAATGCACTACTACAACTCTTCTCCAATCTAAATTTAAAAGTGGAATATCTCGTCAACGACTTTACAGAAATAAACAATTTCAACAATCAAATTTATTTTAACTAATACTTTATCTATTTATGGAATTTTTAATATAGGTTGCCATTTGAAAATCAAAAGTAGGTAATGATTTTGCCCCCAAAAATGAGGGTTACAAAAAATAAAATAAATATAAAATTAAAAAGCAACTTGTTTCTTAAATGTTCCAAAAAACAAATTCCGAAAAAATGTACTACTTTCTGAGATAATGAGTGTACCCAATTAAACGGATCACCTGTTATAGGTAATGTACAAAATAGTAGGTATTAGGTGTTTAAAAAGAATTTCAATTACGGATCACGTGAACATAAATCATGTAATTCACGTTTTACATGGAATACGTAAATACTTAAACTAAATACCCTCGACACAGTTGCACGGGTGAAATAAGTGTTCTGTTGAGAAGGCTAATTGAAACGTTGAACGAAGGCAACCCGGTAACCATGTCGCCCGTTAGATACTTTTTCGAGAAGACGGCAAACCCCAAGCGGTCGTAACGAGGTACTCGGAGTGAATCAGTGAATTCCCGTAACTTTAAGTAATTCCCTGGACGTGCTCACCTGGAACAATAAACCGGCGTTGACGACCGGTATGGCTACGGTGAATAGCACCGACAGTTTCCAGTCGGCTGTTATAGCGTACGACGTGGTTATGAACAGGTAACCGGCAAAGTAAAACAGGCTGCAGACAGACAACAAGAGTCCGCGGAGCTTCGGGTCGCACACTTCGCCGCAATAGGAAATCGTGACGCTGTTGATGAAGCCCACGTTGAAACCCATCAGGCCCGTGACGGCGTACAGTAACTTCGGGGTGTCAGCGAACAACAGGATTGCAATTGACAGCAGGTGCGTGACGTTCGCCAGTATCATACATGTCCGGTGTCCCAGTCTGTCTTGCACTAGTGACGCAAAGACGCTGCCCACTGGCGGGAACAAGTACAATATACTTCCTGTAAACACCGTTTCGAGTCGTTATCGAAATAAAAAAACTTGGAAATAATTCGGTACCCGTACGCGTTAGGTTAGGTCATGACTCATGAGTAAAAGCATAATGATGATTTAGATGATCTAGATGATTTAAAAATTAAGCCCCGAACACTGGTTCGGGGTAGATGCATATCCCCGGAAAAATTATACAATTCGTATATATTAAACACAATAGGTGTTAAAAATGTATCAAATGTTTGTTTTTATTGATGTTGCAAGTTTTCAGCTTACCGATCCAGGACGATTGTTCTTCTGATATTTTGGACAGTGAGTTGTTATTATTATTACGACTGTCGGTCACAGCCCCAATGATTATCGAAGGCGTCATCTGATCGATTCCCAGTTTCATTGTTAAAAGATATGATGTCGATAGCGCCAATACCTGCAAAAGAAGGATTCGAAAATAACGCACTTGAAAGTTTAACTATGCATCCCCTTAAAATATTTAACTTATATTTCATTACAACTATCATAAAATGTGTAATATTAATATTTTTAATTATCTTAAAATTCCATATTATGTTGTCTGAACAAAATCAATCATAAAACCATCACTTGCGGAACTGAGGACAAAAATGTTATAATAAAATACAATGTCTTTCAAAACATTATGATTTGATTTTGATGTTTTGGAAATAAACTAGAAAAGTTCCTGAATGAAATTATATTGAAAACATTATTTTGGTTTTTGATCCCATTATTCATTAACTTTAACTAAAACCTAACGGTTCGGTTGAAACCTTTCTAGCAGGGCTGTGAATCTGTGGCTTTTGTGTAAACAAAAATAATAATAAATTAATAATGTATTAATGAAATAGTTTTTCTAAATTTATGACGTATTATTATAGATTTAATGCTTACCAATTCTTAGTATTACCATACTTCAGAAATTGCTTAGTAAAATACAAGGTGATCATTTCTATCGTAAAATAATCGTTATCTCGGAAAACTTTTTCCGAAATTTATTTTCTAGAATATATAAGAAACAAGCTGCTCTACAATTTTATATTTATGTTAGTTTTTGTTACCCTTATTTTGGAAAACCAATTCGTACTTTTGATTTTCAAATGGCAACATATATTAAAAATTCCATAATTGGATGGAGTAGTAGTGAAAATAAATTTTGGTGGTGAAATTGTTGATTTCCGTCAATCCGTTGACGAGATATTCCACTTTTTAGTTTGGGGAGAATGGTGGTTCACTCATAAAATCGTTTAAGCTTTAGTTTAAAATCATTTAAACCATTCAACCACTTGTGTTCACTCCATATACCCTTAAATAAGTATATAAATTTATTTTTCAAATAAGAATTCCCTTTTTGAACACAGATCAGTATAGAGAATATATTTCTAAAAAATTTGATATACACTAACATCAAATTTACCGTTTAAGTGCAATAACAGTTTAAAATTGAGACCGGAGGGGTAGGGAAGGTTAATAAATTGTATATTTATTTTTAAATCGTAAATTTAATTTTATAACATTCCCCTATTTCTTCAATTCAAAACTTTAAGCGATTATAACACACAAACGGTAAATCTGATATTAGTGTTATGGATATCAACATTTCTAAAAAAATATTCTCTATTTAAATCGTTGTTCCAAAAGGGGAGTTAGATTTTAAAAAATAAAAGTACATATTTATTTAAAGTATATGGAATAGTGGTAAATAATCATAATGGTTTTAATATAAAGCTTAAACGATTCTATGAGTAATGATTAAAAAAAAAAAGCAGAAATCAAATTCACTTAAAAACTTAATCCTTCGAGAAAATTACTAGTTCCTGATTAAAAAAAAAAACACTTTGTAGTATATATTGTAGTTTATTGATTTTAATTTGGTTTTCGTTGGCTAATGTGGTTGCGATCTTTTGCATTCTTAGACGAACCCTCGTGAGTGAAACTGCACTATCACTCCTACATCTCCCCCCCTCTAAATGCCACCATTTAAATTATATTTTGCTTACCTGCGCCAAGGTGGATTTAATCCCGTAGTTAAACTCATCAATACGCGAGTTTATTGGCAACTCCATTTTTCTACGAAATTATTTGAAGTCGACGATCGGCTGAACAGTTGAAGCACAGTAATTATAATTGTTTGTATAGCACTGATGGAATTTTATAAACTTACTAGTTAGGCTTTTACGACAAACGAGTCGATTATTGTAACGTTAAACAGGTATTTTGGATTCATCAAACTGTTGAAAGAGCAGCCAAAACAATCTGACTACGATAAGCCTATATACTAAGCTCGTTACCCAACCTGTTTTTATAACGAATGTTACGGGTCACGGTCTTAGAAGATACGATTCTAAATGATTTTAAAAACCATATTGCTGGTACATTAGTTTAAAATCGTTTTACAAATTTGCATTAAAGGTAACAAACAATTTTGTTGTATAACGCTTGTTTGGACCTACCGATTTATCATTCGAATATAACTATTGATATTATAGAAAGGTTAAAATGAAATATAATATTATCATTATATAATATTATATTATTGTAATTGTATTCATTACTAGCCTGTTAAACAAATAATATCATCGGCAGCGCTCGGATTTTATAACACTGAAAATAACTGAAATATGCGCTATGGATAAGTGACCATTATAAGAAGACAAAAAAATCTGTTTCATATCTTTGCAATTTATTTGATTAGTTAGTACATTGTTTTACTTTTCATTTAGAACAAATTTTCAATTTACATTTCATTGACTGGTTATATTTACTGATTATAATTCAATTTATAATAATAGGCCAACTTTTGTCCCGGGCCTTAAAAATACTAATTTAGGCTCTAACTATATGAGGTACGTTATCGACACGAAATTATTTATAGTCGTCTTAAAGATTACCTAAACCGAACGCGTGAATATATTGATTTTCGCTCTATATGTCGGCAAGAATTTATTTTTTTGCAAATCGTCCGGCTTTGTTTATACCTACTTCGTTAGAGCGTTCTCTATTAACTATTACTGAAAATATCACATATTTTAGAACGCAATATAATGGACAATATTAAAAATAATTAATCACCTCATGTTATAAATAATACAATTTAAAGGAAAATAAAAATATTTAGAAAATACAACTTGAAGCAAATAATTATCATTTATCACATCGCACAACAATATAATATTACCGACTGATTTTGAATTGATGTGTCAACTAAACCCGGAATCCTGTTGAGACCATTAAAAGGTACTGCGCATGGAGGGGAAAGAATAATAACACTTGTCAGGCATTAATAAAATGATAACGGTATCACCGTAAGTTTCTTATAATAATTAAGTAAGGTTGAAGGAATTAAAATCTAATTGCTTAACGATTCACTAAAAATAATTGGTAATTATAAAATTCAATTGTTTATTTTAATTTTTTTTTTTTTTATTACGAGTACTTGATATTATTATATGGTGCATGTTTTGCAATACTAATTTAGCTGCATGCGTAATAAAATCGAAATGTATTACACATGTTTAACGAAGAAACATATTAAACACAATTTGTCCACAGTGAAGATATATATTTTATTATTTAATATATTATATAGAGGGTATTAAACATATTCACGAGAATTTAACAATTTTTTTTATTGAAAACATAAAATTCTTAGATAAGTATACGATGTTAATACTATGGTTCAGTCTTCACTTATATCTAAACTTAAAAAGCTAAAGCAACTTAACACAAATATTTTATTGATTAAAAATACAATATTTTTCTATACTCGTGTTTTACTTCGTGTTATTAAATATAAAAAATAAACTCTTAAAGTAGATTAATGTAACACGTGTTTGGTAGAATATCATCACTAGAGCAAAAACTTTCATGCATTTGTATATTTTTTCTGGTTAACTTTATCGGATGCTTAGTGCAATACATTTCATAACGTTTGTGATCAAATACTCAAAATACTTAATATTTGTTTATATTATGACATTTTTGATTAGGTTAGATTACAATATAGTTGATAAACATAATTTTTAATAACAAGTATTGTACGAAAAACATATTTCAAGAAAAAACGGGATTTTATAGAAATTGTAATAATTATATTTTATACATTTTTTTAGCATAAATTTAATTGAATATTTTAAATATTTTGATACCACTTTTTAAATGTATATTTGAAAATTGTTTAGTGCATAAAAGTTCTTGCTCTGATCGTCATCATTTATTGCACATTATTTCATTGTAAAACTAATAGGTATGGCCTACGACTATGACGCACGTAAACCGCATTAAAATAACGATTAATAGATAACAAAATACTTTTTCCTTTTTTTTGGGGGGGGGGCACAATATGTTTTATCATCTTGTATGGGGGTCGTAAAATGTTATTTATTTTTTCAATTTGGTTTTAAGAGGGACACATATATAGAGAAGAATTAAATTTTTGATGAAACTATTGATCGGATATGAATATATGATATATCAAGATTTTTAGAATAATATTTTAAAAAATAGCTACTTTAAAAATTTTAAAAAGTGGAAAAATAAAAAGTTATTATTTTTAATGAGTAAGTTATCAAAATAAAAATTTAATTTTTCTCTAGATGCGTGTCCCCCTCACACAAAATCAGATTGAAAAAAAAAAATGAATATTGACAAAGTTATTAGCATTCGAATCAGCCGGTCTGGATATCGATTTTTGTACTTTTCCTTTTGAAATGTTCGGATATCTCTTCTAACGTCCGGTTTTCAGTTTCAGGTAGCTGATAGTACAGATACGTGAGGCCGACTAGTCCTGACACGCCGAATAGAACGAACGTGTTATAGAAACCTGCGGACACCTCGAGATTCCGGTACAGCTTGGTCATTACGAAACACACGATAAAGTATACAGCTGTACTGACGCCGGCTCCGATATTTTTGGTTCTAAAAAAAAAAAAACCCAGAAAATTCGTATGTAACGAAAAGACAGCTAGACGTTATTCTTATTTACTTCATTGGGTACACTTCACCCATGAGGACCCACATTATGGGCATGATACCCATCGATGAGGAAAACGTTGACATGAAAAACAAAATGACTTGTATCCAAGAGTACATCGGCGATGGCAGACAGAAATTTCCGATGGTTCCAATGCACAAGAAGCAAACCGAACAAGTAGCCATCGTAGCCAATGACAAAACTCTCTTTCCCAGTCGGTTTATTAGAAATATAGTCAGCACGTTGCCCGAGACACCGAACGCCATGTGCATCGTCTGTGAAACATTAAAAAAAAAAATAAGTATATAACTTATTTTTTTTTTTTAGTGTAATACTTGGTTTGTAGACATTTTCTATTATTAAATAATGCATAATACTGACCATAGCCCAAGCCGGATGGATAGGCGTTCCGAAAGTATCGAACACGGACATCAGATACGGAATAAACGGTATACCGGACAACAGGGTTGTGAAAAATATTATTATCACGAGCATTTGCAAAGGTTTCAGCGTTTCGGGTTCAATTAAATAGTAAAACGAGTTTTTCATAGTTGACTTTTCAGTTTTTGTGTCTCCTGTTGATATAGTAAGTTGTTAGACGTTTATTATGTATATAACAAAGGCATAGGCGTGTCTAGAAATTATTCACAGCCGTGACAAAGAAAAAAGCTATCTTAAGATAATGAGGATGGGTGCAGCCACTGTTATAAGTGGCACAATTTAATGTATATCTATGATTAACCATTTCTAACGCAAAATCGATTCTGAGCGAGTTCAGTTAATCATGTTGCTTTGTCAACAATATATTATAGTAAAATAATTACATATGCATTATATATTTTCTTTAATAATATTTGTTTAATATTGCACTTATTTTCCCGTTTTTCCCGGTTTTCCAATTTATTGGGAAAAATCAAAAAATAACCTCCGTTAAGTGCCTGTTCAGTTAGATTTCTCTTTAGGATAAGTGCTATAATTATAAATCTGAGAAAAATTGCTGGTATAAAAGTTGTTCTCGGGGAAATTAAACATCATTGTAAAACCAATACATTTCTTTCTCCACTCAGAATTTAAAATTGCATGAAATTCAACAAATTCGATAAAGTCAACACCCGTAGGTCGAGGAAGACTTATGGGAGCTCAGGGGTGAGTTTAAGGAGGTGCCTAGGGGCCCAGCCCGCCACAGAAATATTATTTATCCGATTTTTTTTTGTATAGTTCTGTAGATTCTAATATTACTATATTCCAATCACTGATATGTATAAGAAAATAATGTACATAATGTATTATATTGTATTTTAATTGTATTTGTGTTATACAAAATTGTTGACACCCCTCCTCCACGGATCCAGATCTTTGCTCTGGATCCATACCTATGGTAGCTTCGCCTTCCATATAAAATATTTGTTCAGTATTTAATTTATGCGTATACATTGTACATGAATAATTATGTTTTTAACACGAAAAATCTGCTAAATTCATCCTGATTCCTGAACTATTCTTAAAAATAATAAAAATAATAAAATAAAACAATATTTTAAAGGACAAGACGTTGCTTTTTTTTTATTTTCTCAGAATCAAACAGTCATTTTATCGTTTATAAATGACAACTTTTTCAATATTTATGAATTCGCTAAAAATTTTGAAAAAAATTAAATTTTCATAAAACTGCAACGTCTTGTTTTCCGAAATATTGTTTTTTTTTTTTTTTATTAATTTTATAATAGGTGCTTTTATTCTAGAACCAAAATTAAGCGAGTCCTGTATAGTCTGCATAAGCATGTTTCTACATTCTGTACAAAAACAAAAAATGCATGCATCCTTTTAATAGTTATTGAACATATTTTTCTGATAACAGAAATATTAATTTATTGTTCAAATTATTAAAATTCAACATGATAATCTAATATTTATAAATTATTTACTATTTTTATTGTTTTGCAGATACGATTGTATATTTAGTTACTTAGATACCATTAAAATCAACGGATTCAATGTGTCAGAGGAAGTGAGGCGGCTAATGCGTGTCAGACGATAGGGAATACATGGGCTGATCTGCACAGACTCGGGTTCGATTCCTAGTCCTGACTTAAATTTTTGCGTTTTTACCATTTGTTTACGCATTAAACATTATGCACATGAAGGAATATATTTATTGCCTTAGTAACAATATAGTATGCTATTAGGATTTGTATTATTATTATTGGCAAACCGTTAAATTGGATTACTTCAATAATAATTTTAACAATATACCCATTAAAAAAAGCCGGCTTAGCCACTGTTGTAGGTGAGAAGTTGGGAAGGTAGTAGAGAGGAAATTGAATGTATATCTGTAAGTAACGATAAACCATTGCTCTCGAAAAAACGATTCTGAGTGGAGTTTAGTTGATAATGTTGATAAAACAACATTATATATGCCATATAATGGTAATATAATTGCATAGGTATTAAATATTTTCTTTAATGATATTTTTTTATTATTGTACCTATTTTCCCGATTTTCCAATTTATTAGGAAAACGCCTGGGAAAAATCAACCTCCCTAGTCCGATTTACTTTCAAAAAAGGAACTACACTTAAAAATCGAAGCAAGATCTCTGGTAGGAATATTGTCCACAAAAAAAAATAAATAAATAACATCTTTGTAAAACCATAAGCTTCTTCGCTCCATTCAGAATCTAAAATCGAGTTTTACATGGGTTTATGTGTTTTATATTAGAGAGTCGAAGATAACTTTTGGACAAGCCAAAATTTAACGAAACCGGTAATCATAACTAGCTTGCACCAGAGACCTGATGCCCCACGCGAAAAATCCCGTTGATCGTGAGAGCTTGATTTCGCTGGTATGAAAATGGCCATATTGGAATACCATGATGTCTATATCAAATTAATTTAATAATATAGATCTATTTTACACATTGTTTTTAGAATTAGCTTCATATACCTATATTAATAATTGATTGTTTCTTTTAGAATATGTTTTGTATCAGAATTAAGTTGAATTATTTTTACATTTGTTCAACTATGTTTTATATTTTTATTAAAAATTTAAAAATTGTATTAAAATTATTTATATTATTAAAATACCTCTTTTGTACATTTTGAATGCGTATTTTGTGAATTGGATTATTTCCGTGAATAAATTATTATTATTATTATTACAATATATAATACGGTTACCTGTTTCGAGGTCGTTTAAGTCCATTTTAGATGTATAGTGAACCATATCTTGAAATTCCTTGATACAATTTTCCTCACTAGCGCCACCTCGAAGTTTTCTTAACGTCTGTTTAGCCTCCTCTATTCTACCTTTGGACAACAACCACATTGGCGAATCTGGAGTCTAAAACCGTTTTTTTTTTTTTTTTTTTTTTTTTTTTTTTTTTTTTTAAATCATGGTTTTATTATTTAAACAATTATATATTTTTCTGTTAGGTCAAATTGATATAAAAATAACTAACAATCACCACGATAAACAACGCAATTTGAAACAGATTTAATATGAATCACACTAAATTTAAATAACCTCTATTCAAAATTTTGGATCGTTTCACTCGTGTGTCAAATCTAATATAATTTTTATTAGTTTTAGATAAACAAATCCTATCTGCATGTAATGCCCGTATTCCCTGAAAGATGTAACTTTCGAGAGGACATATAAGTTTCGTCTAGATATGTGAGCTGGGTAAATTTGACGGGTAAATGTAAATTCACGTTAAATTTAAAAATTATTTTTAACATTGCAATTATTACCTTAAAAATAGTATTTCCTAAATGATTTACTACGTGGTACCCATTTAGGGGGAATTAGTAGGATCGTTTTACTGACGAAAATTATTTCACGGAAATAATGATGACTCATTATCAATTCAATATTTTCATAAACATTTATTTTTTCATTGATAAAAAACAACATTCTACAGATCGCATTGAACTTCGATTTTTTAATTCCGATTTCAAATAATGGAAAAATAAAATGGTAAAAAAAGCTTAAAATTTACATTTTTAAAAGACTCATTATAAATGTTGAGAATAAAATATTGAAAAACCAAGTTCAGTGGAGTCTGTTTTCCTCTATTAATTAAATAAAAAATAATTAAATTTGGTAGATTCTACTGACCAGAACCACTATTGCCATATTGTGTATTTTTATGGCAAAACGACAGATGCCTTAATAAGTAAATTTCATGAAAATCGGCATTCTGTCATCATAATTTTGTGTGATGAAACAGATTCAAATAAAATTGAATTTTTATTTTCGTTTATCTTGTGTAGTTTAAAACTTTCTTACTATTATAAGCAGTCTACTATTATAAGGAAATCTAATGTTCATGTTCTATTTTTTTTTTGTTTTAATTTTACGTAAATTTTATAATTCTTTACCTGTAAATTCTACATCTCTAGTTATGCTCTACCATAAATTAACCTAACCGTTGCTGAAAGCTAGAGGACTATTCCATGTACTTTTATAAATTACGTTGCATTATGTCATATTACGGTGTTATCAACTCTGGCTGTGCTCACCTTGAAAAGGAGCACGGCGTTGGCTACCGGTATGGCCACGGTGATTAGCACCGACAGTTTCCAGTTGGCCGTGATAGCGTACAACATGGTCACGCACAGGTAACCGGCAAAGTAGGACAGATTGATGACCGACGTCAGGACGCCGCGAAGCTTGGGCTCGCACACTTCGCTGCTGTAGGATATTGTGATGCTGGTGACGAAGCCCACGTTGAAGCCGATCAGGGCCGAGATGTTGTACAAAAATTCCGGGGTGTCGGCGAACATCAAGATCACTATCGTCGCTAGGTTCGTAACGTTCGACAGCATCATACACTGTCTGGATCCAAAATGGTCTTGCACCATCGACGCCACGACGCTGCCTACTGGCGGAAATAAGTACACCATACTTCCTGTAAACACCGTTTCGAGACTTCATGTGTGTTTTTGTACGATTTGCTACGGTTTCGTGTACAATGGATATTAATGAGTACATATATGAATTAAAGTAAACTCGTATTTTTGTATGATAGAGAACAAAATATCAAGGACCGTTTAGAGGACTACGGGATCTTTGCGAAACACTCTCTCGACCCTTTCTTTTTTTATCGTTTTACCTCGCGTAATATAATAACAAGTTTGTCAGCTCACCAATCCAGGCCGTTTGTTCTTCCGAAATGTCGGACAGAGGATTGTAACCGGTATTGCGATTGTCGGTCACAGCCCCGATGATGACTGTTGGTGTCATTATGTCAACTCCAGTTTTCATAATGAAAAGATATGTGGTCGTTAGAGCTAAGAGCTAAAGGGGAAAATGAAAATTACATACACGAAAACTATACTATCTCTCGTCTCCGGGAATTTATCCGAGATAACTATAGATAAATTTGACTAATCCGGTGATAACTAATCGATCTATGTTATTTACCTGCGCCAAAATCGATTTGAATCCGTAGCTGAAATTGTCCAAATTCGATTTTATCGGTAACTTGGGCAACGTCATTTTTTTACGTGTAATATTACAATACGATTTACGCCTTTTTTTTTTATTACTCCGGTTAGGTCCTCAATCAATTTGAAAACTATTCTACGTATTAAGATTTTGTATAAACCTTGAAGAGTAACAAAATTATTATCAATTTAAAACAATAATAATAGTATGTGTTACACGTTATAATTAATTTGCTTAGGCTCTGATGGGAAATAGCGTCCCCGGCCAGTGATGGTATATATTAGTACGGAATATTATTAGAAGTCGAATCAAAAGTTAAATGGAACGCGTGGAAATTGATCGAACAAATTAACTGTGTTTTGGACGGAATGCGTTTTAACTGTAGGTAAATACCTATTAAAGATTTTTTTTTATATTATTCAAATTGTTCAATAGAACTTTATGCCACAGCAAAAAAAAAAGTCAATACATTTTTATACAATTTCAATAAAATATACAAATTGATATTATACAATTTTAGTTGGAACGAGTTTAAAGTGATAATATTGTGTTAAAAATCTCGAACCATATAGACGGTATAGAAATACTATCTAAGATCGACGGAATACATTTTAAATTCTTTGCTGGTGGCATCCGTTGAACCGAAATCTATTGTGTATGCGGATCTCTTAATGCATAACGTTAATAAAATGTGATAAATTAGAATAACTCTTACCGCGTAACGTTTACCTGTTTTGTGTAGAAGCGTCGCAATATTGAAATATTCAAAATTCAAATAAAATGCATAATAATAAATCGATAACGTCAGTGGATGAAAACTGCATAATGTTTAACAATGTGTACTCCAAGCAACCTGCGGTATACAATTTGAAAACGAATTATTATTGCGAGTTATTATCACGTAGTAGACACCATAATTTTATAATGTGCAGAATTAATAAAAACACAAAAACGTGTTCGCGTTATAAAAATACAATAAAATCGCAACAAAATATTATACCGACTGTTGCGGATTGACTAAATGAAAAACCGTAATTCGATGAAGCCACTGTTGAGACTCCCAAATATTGCAGTGTACATAGACACCGAGGTAGGGGCAATAATGTTACATTAACACCTGTATAATAGACGTTAAGTTTTAATATCGCGTTGCATTGGTCAAGAAAATTATATTAGGTAGGCACCTGTACCTACTGTAACGATTCACTGCAAAAAAATATACTTATCATTCTACATTCAGATATTTTTTTTTTTTTTTTTAGATTTACGAGTGCTTATTTCGGACGCTGATTGCGTTTTACGCGTCGTTTACCGGTTGTACGCGGGAAGGATTTAATTTTTCATTTACGATTTCGAACATAACTCACCCTTACATGAGTTTTGTTGACGAGTATACAATATTTACAATTTCGCGAGTATTCTCCGTGAAAGTATACTTTGTTTTCTTAATATTCCTATCGCCGAAATCGCGTAGTATCTCAATATTCTTCCGTATTATGGTAGATACGGAGTACCAACAATAATTAATTTTATCGCAACCATATACTAGTAACCTCGCAATTTTATTACAATGATGACAATAGTAATAATAATGATGAGATAGCGATTCTAACTTTCATCTCCCGATTGCGTATAATATTGCGCTGTTATAACAATGATCTATTGATGAAATTTTAGTCGCCGCAATTCGATATGACACGAGTTCGTAATTATTACTATAAGATGATGTAAGTAAATGAATAAATAAGATTTCGTTAAAATTGCCCAAATCGCCTGCTACTTCTGAAACTATTATTGTTTCATATAAATTTCAAATAAAATCTACTACACAAATGCTTAATTACATCTCCAAGACGCAAAATGGCTATTTTTTTTATTAAATCATAAATACGAATTAAAAATAGGTTTATACCTAATTACCAATCCGTATAATGCAACGGTTCCCAACTTCTTTTATTTTCAAAATAATCGATAAAAAAATTAAAATTATAATATAATATTCGTATAAAGACTGATAAGCGAACAAACTTTCCCGATAATCGGTTATTATTTATTTTCCTCCTACACTGTAAAAAAAAAAAAAGAAGTAATTTAATAAATACAAAAATTTTACTTTTTTTTATGGTTTGAATTTGAAAAAATGTAAAAATTAAAATTTATGACTGCTCGCGCCTCCCCAGCGATGTATTCACGCCCTCTAAAATTGCAGTACCAACATGCAGTATACCACGGCACAGTGGGTAGTACAACAGTGTGTATCTATATTATGGCAAATCAATTACTATACCTATCTATATTCTATTTATACGTACTTTATATATATATATATATTTGTGTGTTCTGTGTTTTATCTATTATCGTGCGGTCGAAATATAATATAAGGTTCGATCGACCCTGCGGGAGGAGGGGCGGTTTATTATCTTGCGAAAGACGAAAAACAATAAAAATACTATACCAACCAAATATCGTGTATTAAACGTAACAATGTGTGATATTAATTATAGGTGTACTTGCGCGTGCAACGGTCTATTGCTCTTTCGTGACCTCGAAAACATGTATATACTTACTGTGTATGTTATCAGTAAAATGATTTGATATGGATGTCCGACGATGTTTATTGCCCGTTTAAACTACCACCACCACCGCCACCACCGCCGCCGCCACCACCGTGCCCCCGCCGGACGCAACAGCTCGTTTCCGCATTTCTACGTCACCCGAATTTATTTTTAATACATTTTCGCATTTTCTTTTGTTGTTTCATTTGACCGTAATCGCCGCGTTTGCATTCGCGAATAAATAAAATTAGGACGGTTATTATTGTGGTTTTCCCGGCTTCTTATAAGCAACCTTGAAAACCCGTGCGTATAATAAATGTTACATTCAATTTTACTAACAAAGCTCACAGTCGCTGTTTCTGTCTAATACGAATAATTTACATCAGATAACGAAGTCATTCGATCCCGGGCCGCGAACCTTAACGTTATCATTTTATCGGTTGACCACTACGTAAACAAGGTCGTTTAAAAAACCATTAAAAGTTTCTTTTTCAAATCCATATACAGGGATTGTAATATTATAGTAATATAATTGTGTATTCAATAATGTCGTTTATAATCTACACGTTTTCCGCAAAACAACAGACGGTTTATCGGAAATATGTTACGGGTATACACGTTTCGTGAAAACAACGCGAGCTTCATTTCCGTAATTTTCACACATTCCGAAATTTAATGGAACTCAATATCGTGTGATGATTGCAGTACACTAGTAAATAGTGATCAGTTACCCTGAACGAATTATACACGTTTTTATCTTTCGTAAAAATTTAAAACAATTAAATTAATTTTTTTTTTTTTTTAGATATAATTCGTTTTCCATAACGCTATATAAATTAATTGTCGTTTTATTGCGTTTCCTGGTGTGGGTGTTCCCTTAGCAACAACGGTTGATTCATAAGTATTTTATAAGACACTGTCTCCTGACGATTACAAATTGTGGGGCAAATAGTACACGATACGAGGCTAAGGACAGGTGTGGCTCCAGCAACTAATTTGAAGAGGGAACTTAAAGAAAAAAACAACATATTAACACTATAATTTCGATTCTTCTGGTTTTGGTTTTTGCAAAAACATCTAAAATGCTATCAATTTCAGTAAAAATATCAATGCCTTGATATCCGTTTAGCAAAAACACTAATTCGACCACCTATATTTTGATAACCTTGAACGAAACCACGTTTTCGCTCTCCTAAGAGTTGAAAAAATTCTCTCTAGCAGAAGTAACGCTCGCAGGCAAAGTTATCAACCCATGGACTAATTATCTGATGAACTTATCTATTTATGAAATTTTCAATACCCATAGGTTTCTATATGAAAATCAAAATTAGGTAATAGTTTCCACATCTTTAAAATAAGGGTTATAAAAAACAACCATAATGCAATATTTTTAGAACTGCCTATTAATTTATAAAAATAACTAAAAACGAATTCCGAAAAAAGCTAATATGTTATACATAATTAGTGTCTTACGTTATGTTGATCACTCTGTACACACAATCGAGAAATATTTAATCACCTTTTAATAATTCTGTAAACGCCGGTCGAAACATACAACTTTCAAAAACGTACGTAATTCCATAAATACCTATTTTAATACGTATAGTTTATGTTTATTGCAACGTGAAAATTATTTTTATTTATACTGAAAATGATTGAAATGAAAGCAATATTTTATTTTCTACCGTCGCTGTGTGTGGGTATAAATAACTATCGAAAATTCGTTTAGCGTAAAAATCGAAACTAATTATATTATCGTCCAATAAGTTATCCAATTATAATAATTATAGTCCGTGTATTGTGATTTTTCTTTGTAGCCATTAGCTACCTCATTATTTTAATTTCGTATATTTTAAGCTGAATACCCGTGATTGATTATATAAATTAAACTGAAATTAAGATATTGTATTATAGGATATAATTATATTTATAAAAAAAAAAAAAAAAGAGTAAAAAATATAATAGACAGAGCTATATAATGAGCTGCAGAAAATAAGTGAAAATCTAACGAAAACTCAGCAATTAAATTATTCGACAATTTAATTAAAGGATATAAGTTTATGTTTTAGATTCTCAGTATGAGTGTAGCCAGGGTTTGAATTGTAAAAAAATGATCGTCTTTTGCAATTATTGGACTCAACTTAACCCATGGGAGCTTTTCTCATCCATATCTCCTTTAACCAAATTGTTCTATTTGTAAACCACTTTTCGATCAGAAATCATGCTTTGATCATCAACATTAAACGCGATTTCTGGTAGGAAATAGTGTTCATTTTGTGCACTGAAGAAACGGTTTTTTGAGTTTTCTTGTAATTGTTTTAATAGTGGTCAAAAAGAAAAATCTAAACAAATGTCGGAAAAACCGGAACACAATGACAATTCCTATTATATTCGATTTTATTTTTCTATATAGTAAATAAATATATAAATAAAAAATGTATGTATAAAAATAAAATAAATAAATCATTAAATGAGTCGCCTGGAATATTATGATAAGTATATTATACGACCGTTTTTTTTTTTCTATATGTTCCTTAATTTAATTTTTTTTTATTCAGTCGCGTTTTACATTTTGACTGTGATATACTTGATAATGAATTTTTAATTCAAAACCGGTCGTATAATACACTTATCATAATACTTCAGGTGACGCATTCATTCATTTATTTATTTATTTTATTTTTATTAATACATTTTTTATTTATATATTTATTTACGAATATTAACCATTTTAATAATTTGGTTTTTGTTTTTGTTTTATTGTTTTATTATTTATTTTGCTGTTCAAGTAAAAATAATTGTAAACACCTGAAATTTCACCGAACACTTATTTTAGAACTCGTGCTGATATTAACAATTTTCAGATAAGATACATATTTTTAGCAATTCATAGCCATTTGAAATTTTCTAGCTTCCTAGTTTTTATTCGGTATTGTATGTGGATAAAACTATTTTTACCTAGCATAAATGCTCGAAAATTTAACACAAGGTTTGTCATAAGTTGTAATTAGTGGTAAAAAATAAAAGACGTTCTAGGAAAATGGAATAGCCACTGTTACAGATATATTAATGTATACCTATAAGCAACGCTAAACCATTACTTATGAAAAAACGATTCTGAGCGGAGTTCAGTTGACAGTGATGCTTTATCAACAACATATATATGTCATTTTATAGTTACATAATTAAATAGACTATTTATTTTTTTAATAATATTTGTTTAATGTTATACCGATTTCCCGAGTTGCTTTACGTTTTTCTCGATTTTTCACATTTTTTAGTAAAACTCTTTGGAAAATCCAAAAATGACCTATTTTAAGTATCTCGTTAGTGAAATTTCCTTTTAGAAACATTACTATTATTATAAGTTGAAGCAAAATTGCTGGTAGAAAAGTTGTGCACAGAAAAAAAGATGGCCGTAATATATTTTAACTAATATCTAAATCTCTTATATTTTCCCATTTTTTTAGATTTTTTAACAGATACAATAGATTTACTCTCTAAGATTTTAATACATGGCACCACAGCTATAGAGTATAGACAAGATTTATAGATAATAAAACTACTAGTTACCATATAAAGGAGCATACTCTACAGGAAATTAATTCAGAAATCAGTTTTTTTCACAGTATTTTAGTTTATACAGTTAACACTTATATTGTAATCATTGACTTCTTACTTACTGAGTTGAGAAAAATAAAAATTGCATAGTATGACCTGGTAAATGAAAATCGTTCATTCTTTTTTAATTTAACCGAATTAAGCATTAATGAAGTTAGAGAAAAAGCTGAACGGTTAAAAAAAATACTATTCAACGGATCTGAATTTAGCATTTCCAAACGAATGTATACACTTTCGAAACCATTTACTTTACCTAAGGAACAATTATTACCAAAATCAATTATAGATATGTGTCTAACACTTAAAAATTAAGGATTTGAAGACACATACCCATATGTAAATATTTCTTTAAGATTGTATCTACCAAGTGATTCATTTAAATGGGTACGATCATTATTTCGGTGCATTGTTAACACGCTGTGCACCATACTGCCACATAAATGATACTCCACTACTCTCCTCCAACTTAAACTTAAAAATGGAATATCTCGTCAACGGAACGACGGAAATGAAAAATGTCAACACCAAAATTTATTTTAAATAATACTCCATCAATTAATTGAATGTTTAATATAGGTGCCATTTTAAAATCAAAATTAAGTAGTAGTTTTATCCCCCAAAAATAAAGGTGACAAAAAATAACATAGATATAAAATTTTAGGAAAGCTTGTTTCTTAATTGTTTTAGAAAACGAATTTCGAAAAAATGCGATCCTTTCCGAGATAATGAGTGTACCCACTTCAATGGACCACCCGGTATGTTGTTCCGTATCAAACTGCTCTTCAAAGCGATAATTTTGTACACTAAAACGAATTAAAAGTTATTTGCGGTCGAGAATGACTGTATCGCTATATTAAATAATGAATCAGACATCACAAAAAGTTTAGAGTGTGATAACATAATTAACGAATACCGGGTGATCTATTTAAGTGGGCACACTGATTATCTCGGAAAGTATTAACTTTTTTGGAATTTATTTTCTAAGACATTTAAGAAACAAGCTGCTCTACGATTTTATATTTATGTTATTTTTGTTCATCCTTATTTTTGGGGGTAAAATCACTACCTACTTTTAATTTTCATATGACAACCTATATAAAAAATAAATAAATAAATATTTATTGTTTTAGAATTAATGGATTAATAACTAAACATACTTTATATAAATTATGACTAATTTATAAAAATAACATAATATTTAAAGATTAAAATCTGCTTTATTTTTTTACTTACTTTTGTTCAACTCCTTGTGGAAGCGAGTTCTTTTATGTGGTAAGTCCTAAGTGTAATTTTAATTTAAATGTATTGACGTACATTAAGTATGGACCAAAATAAAGTAAATACCTACATGAGCATAATGTAAACTCTTATACAAAATAGTGTAGAATTCTTCACCATATAGTGTTAATTCCTATACCAGATAATGTAATTATTACACAAAGTAGTATAATCTCATGTAAAAGATAGTATAATAATAAGACGGGCCTGATTCGCACGTGGGTGCAGTAAAATGCAACGTAAAATGTCTCCTCAATGTTTCAGTTTTTGGGCATTCATATTTTGAAATAATTGTTTTTGTCCGCCTAAGTCGTGTGCACCACTGTTTCTAATTTGTATGCCCGTTGCGTGCACAAAAGACACAAAGACGGGAGAGCCACGTGAAAATAACACTATCAACAATAATTTTATTGTACTCTTATTATTAATTTATTTTTATTCGTTCAGCTATGACGCTCATATGGATACGATTAGTCTGTTATCTTTTAGGCTGCGTTATAATATTATAATTTATTATCTCCAAAAGTATAAAAACATGTGCTTATACTCGTAGTACTTAACGAAAGACGATTCCAAGAGCAGTTCAGTAATATATAATTTAAAGTGCCGTAATTTTTTTTGCAATTTTCGTTTAAATTTGATTTAAAAACGCTTATTAAAAAAAAAAAAGTGGTCCAATGATTTTGAAAATGTTACCACTTCTAAATAAGTATTATTACCTAGTTTCAAGTCTCTACGTATATTTATAACCGAATTATAGAAAAAAAAAAATTAAAATTCCTCGAAAGCTCAAAAGTGGTTTAAAAGTTTAACGATGATACCGTAAGAAAATAAATTTAAAAAAACAATAAAAAAGGTGTTTAGTGTGGTTTCGATTAGATGATTTTTTTCTAGTAGTAAACGTCGTGTTTTTTTAAAATAATGAAATCGTGAAATTGTACGTTTTCCTCCGTTTTTTCCCATTTAAGTGCTTTCATTTAAAAAATATATGCGAAAATCAAAAAATGACCTATTTTAAGTATAATCTAGAAAACTTGAGCTATCAGAAAAGTTGCTACACGTAAAAATCATAGCAAGGTTTACTAGGAAAAAACGTATCCACTGACTAGAACAAAGAAAAAAATAAACAGCATTGTAAAACCGAAAATATATTTAAACCTTTACTGTCAAAAAATTAGTATGACGATTCGTACCTACCTATAAGACAGGGACCAAAAATTATAAAAAAACTAAAGATATTTTCTCGTCCGCGACACGACGGCACTGTACGCGAGTTCGCGCGTCTCTGCAGTTGATCCGTTTTTCGGAAAGACATTCGCCCGGCCGGCGGACCGAGACGGATGCGAGAGGTGCGCGTATTTTTTAACGTATTTCATTTTTCTCTCCGAATATTTGTTTTAAATAACAAAAAAAGGACCGCACTACGTATATAGTACTGTATATTAGATTTTATAGTCGCGTCACGGCGCATTTCGATACAGAAATATTTGGAACAGAAAAAAAAAAAAAACGTCGTCATTTATTATGCGGAGAGCAACACGGCATCATCGCGTGAGTACACACTGTATAATAACAACAACAATAGCACAATATTATTATGCTATATTATTCCGATGCTTGTACCGAAAAATGGCGTTTACCGCGGGTGCAGTATTATTATTATGAAAACCGTCGAGGTCGTCCCCGCACTGCACCGGTGCGATATAATTGTTGCAGCGACGATTAGGTGATTCGGTCAGTCTTTATTGTGATGCGTTTTTTTTTTTACCTTTTTCGCCGGTCATTGTGTCGTAAAAAAAAAAAAACAGGTAGGTACCTGGGTAGGCTCATATATATTATTATTACGATGATATGACGGGTATTGTATTAAAATATATCGCGTGTAAAATAATAATTTTTTTTTTTTTATATTACGAAACGTCCGATGAGGCACTGCACGCCTCATATAGCTATATACATACCCGTGATGATGATAATACTTATTAGGGCCGCTGTTATTATTAAGATATTATTTTAATATTATAATTATTTCGCAAGCGATTTTGACGACACGAAATATTCGGTTTCGATATTCCTCTGGAAAAAAAAAACGAACCAACGAAGCCGCCACCTGTTGACTGCAGCGTTAGGTTCCAGTGTTAGTGTATAAAAAAATAAATACCACTGCAGATAGCAGTATCTGTAGGAACGCCGCCCGTTAAGTTAGGGTGACGAACAGTATGACCCGACCCCCTAAAAAAAAACCGCTAGTTTTATTTCATTAAAACGTGTCTGTTATTTATGACGTCACTCATCGCTTTGAGTTTGTCGGGGCGAGGTGCAAATCAAAAAAAATTAAATCCTTTTATAAATCTTTCGTTCGAGTACATTTTGGATTCTGAGTATAGTTTTACAAAGATGTTTATTTTTTTTTTATGTAAACACTTTTTCTGAATGGAAATGTTCTCTGGATGGTACTTTAGAGAGGTATTTTTTTTTTGAAATTCTCATTAATATACAAGATAATAAAGAAACCTGGTTCTTTAGGTTAAAAAAGATTTAAAGATGATTAATAATAAGGTTGTCATTAGCAACCGTATTTATTTATTTTTGTCATTATCAAATTTTTTTTTTAATTTTAATCTTTTTTAAACAATCATTTTTTCCATGATATGACGTATATATTCTTGACAAAGCAACACTATGAACTGAACTCCACTCAAAATCGTTTTTCGTTAGTAATGGTTTATTGTTGCTTACAGATATACATTAACTTCCCAACTTCCCACCAACAACAGTGGCTGCACCCACGTGAGAAGTATGTCCGTCCTTTGTTTACAATTTGTACAATATCATAACACTAACTCTTAATAATATCATAAAAAGGTCTGTGTGAAACAGGAGCGGATATGCCTACCGGGATACCAGAATTTTCCCGATGGGTTGCTAATAATATTGACGAAAATGGGCCGATGAAAAATACTCCTATTATACAATGAACATAAACACGAATATTCAGAGATAACAAAAAATAGAATAATAACAGTATATTATATTTAAATCTAATATAAATCACAATAAATTATCACTCTGTCCACAGTCTACGTTATTCACGGGTGACTTCAGCAGTGTTACGTGGTCACAATGTCGACTGACCGTCATCACTAATTTTTATCTTGGAATAATTTAAATTTTATTTTTAAATTTGACTCACAGATGAGCTGTCAACAACTAATATGAATAAAAGTATCTCTACGTGTATCTTACTCAGTTGTCGAACACAGACGTTACAGTAAAATGTTTTTTAACTATATTCACCGGGTACATTATGTTTTTGGCTTTTCGTTGTCATTTGGTATACCGAGTGTTCTACAGTGTTAATAAATTTGTCAATTTCCGTTTTTTTTACATATTTTTTTAAAATTATAATAATTATAATAATAATCCTACTTCATCAGGATACACTCCCTGCTTCAAATGCCTAAACACCACACCTCTAATGGGTTTAATAATCCCCTCCACCATGCTTTTGGTTTTCTCAATGCTGCTTAGTTCGGGTCTATTCGACAATTTCCCTTAGATTTAAATTATCCCGCAGCTGTTATCCCTGTCACCTAGTCCTTGTTAACCTAAAGATCACCTTGCACAAAATTGCCTGCAAAACATGTTTCGGCGTTTAAATTAATTAGGTTAATAATAAACAATCCATGTGGCATGGCCAAACCGCACATCGCAACTAGTTTGAAGTTTACAATTACTGATAAACGCCGCTTATTTAAGTAAGCATATTTGTATACATTGATTTTGTATACATATTTGATTCTTAGATATAATCATGTGGGTCGTTCGATTCTATTATTCGTGGGCCAGTCAGATCATGTCTATCTGCCACTGAAATATTCACAGTGTGAAATATTAATTAATCAAACGCGTAGTGATACGGAACGCAACACGTCTATAATAATACATATAATAACACATTATATACGAAATTAATTTTTCATAGATTAATCGTCGTCGATGTTGAATAGAAAAGAATCATTGGGTGTGTAGTCATAATAATGTGCACGTAATCAGAAACTAAAACATATTGCTGAGAGAAACACTTTTTTATTATTATTATTTATTTATTTATTTATTTTTTTTTTTACGACAAATTAGCTAGCGTGTGTGTGCATACAGTGTATCCATTGTATGGACGTATATATATATATATATATATATAGAGAGAGAGAGAGAGAGAGAGCGAGAGAGAAAGAGTCAAATTAATTATACCCCTGCAATAAAAAAAAAATACGAGATATAAATAATATTGAGAATTCTTCCTCGTTCGACCAGATATACCCACTCCTTTTCTTCTTTAAATAATACGTTTGTTTAGTACTCGTCCCGAATCGACAATGAGGATCCCACTTTTTCTCTCAACTGTTTTTTAGCCATTCAATATAGTACCACGTTCCTATAATATATTTTCTGAATTTATTGTATCGCACGACCCGCAAAACTATTCTGTAAATGCCATTTGGTATATATCAATTAAAATAAAATATAAAATATAAATATAAAAAACTGACATGTCAATTTGTCTGTTGTCTATATCGATTTGTTTTATGATTGTCTGTCATCTATTACGTAAGTATACATTAAGCCACCACTCAGACTCTGTGTGCACATCGGTTACGAAGCAATAACGAAAATAAAAACAAAATATCATTTTTTTCGTGGTAACAAATTCGATTTAAACAGGAATACATTACGACTTACGAGATTAATAGTGAATAAGTGAATTGAATAAATTATAAATTATTAAAATATTTTATGATTTGAAAATTATCGGATGAATGTGGTGTGCCGAGTTCACGCACGGAACACTTTTGTCTGTGTAGTAATATTATATTTATTCCGCTGTCGTAAAATATTTTTTTTATTGGCAAACAACAGTAATTCGATTACGTGTGTGTGACAAATTTAAATTTGAAAAATGCCCATACGTGATGGGTTACATATTATCAGTGGTGTTCCCATCAATTTTTATAAGAAAATACTAAAATATAACATCCCAGATATGCCTTGCGTGAAATATTTTATATTCTTCTTATAGTTTATACTTTATACTGTTTTTAGATAAATATGTATCAATTATATAAAAATTAAAATAAAACATTTTTAAGCACAAGTATGTAAATCGTCCATTTTTTAGTAATAATTACTGAAATAGCTAACATTTGTATTATTACTAATACGGTTTTAGCAACAACAATTATTACTAAATATAAAAGTTATAACAATATTTACCCTTATATTTGGACGGGCCAAACAAAACATTTTTTTCTCGGGCGTGTCTTTATATTTTATTTATGGGGTGGAACAATACCGTCGATTCTTATTTCGTGAAAAAAAAAAAAATGGCCAGTTCACGAGCAGCGATTTTAGGTGAATATCGCAATCGGTGTGTATTTTATTATTTATACGGTTTAAATAATTATCGTTGAACTAAAATTTGCATAAATATTAATCATCAGAATGTAATAAGAAATAAACAAGATATTTGAAATGGAGAAAATCAATATTGACAAGTTATTAGCAGCGAAACGTACAAACTTACAAACCAGTGATTAATCGTCAACCTGAAATTCCCTTGAAAAATTGGTTTTTCGCACAATCTTTTGCGTTATGACTTACGCGACTAATTAAGTTTTTCAATCTTTGTCTTTCTTTGTATCGACTATAGGACCTCAATTATTCTTTATTAGATTCTGATGATTGATCTTCGTGTAATTTTTTGTTCAGCTATAATTTAAAACGAAAAATAAAATAAAATGTATACAAATTATTACATTACTCACCTAAAATTGCTGCTCGCAAACTGGAATTTCATTTTATTTTATTTTTTTTTTTTGAAATAAGATTCGATTGTATTTCTGCACCTGCACAAATGAAACATAAAAATACGCCCACAAAAACAAATTTTTTTTAGGGAACACCGCTGCATATTTATAAGTGCAAAATATTTTAAAATTCGTTTATTAAAATGTTTAATTCGTATTTAGAAATCGGCTGTATTATCGCGGTCATTGTCGACGGAGGCGCCACCTGCGTGCAAAGAATTCAACGAAATCCCGGGACCGAAATCGTTGCCTTTCATTGGCACCCTATACCAATATTTGCCGGTATTCGGTAAATACGAATTCGACCGGCTCCACCGGAACGGTTTGGCGAAATTTCGGCAGTACGGCCCAGTCGTCCGGGAAGATATAGTGCCCGGCGTTTCCGTGGTGTGGATATTCAAACCGGAAGACGTGAAAACTTTGTACCAAAACGAGGGCAGACACCCAGAGAGACGCAGTCATTTGGCGTTGCAGAAATACAGACTGGACAAACCCGACGTGTACAACACCGGCGGACTGTTGCCCACGTGAGTCGTATAATATAAAATATACAGGGTGATTGTTTTGTTGGAGAATTTTGGGGGAACTCGATATTGGTGTTTTCGTCGCCTTTATAATCCGCAAATGAACAGCGAATATAATATGCACAATATATATTTAATTAAATTCGATTATATTATAGAAACGGTTCGGATTGGTGGAGAATCAGGAAGGCGTTTCAAAAACATTTGAGTAAAGTTCAGTGCGTCAAACAGTACGTAAACAGCACGGACACGGTCGTTGGGGAATTCGTGGAGCAGAGAGTTAAGCGAAAAAACCATACGCGTGATTTTGGTCCCGAACTTTCCAGGCTCTTTCTCGAACGTCAGTTTCCGTTACATAATTAAACTAGGAACCTAATCAAATTATACAGCACGAATTCTAAATGTCGGTGTTATAATAGTGACGTATTATGCCGCGTTCGACAAACGACTTCAGCGGTTTAAAGACGAAGAATGGCATTGCAATTCAGAGTGTTCCAGACTGATTCGGGCGGCGCAAGACATAAACAGCGCGATACTAAAGACCGATAACGGACCGCAGTTGTGGAGGCGTTTCGACACGCCCATGTACAGAAACATAAAAAAAGGACACGAACACATTGAGAAGTAAGTGCATTTTTCATTGTTTTAGTTTTTAATTGAATATTTTGTAAACGTTTACCGTTTAGACAATACCAATAATTAAAAACGATTGAATTTATTTCTCTGAAGAATTGCTATAAAGGCGATAAACGAAAAACTAACCGGTATACAAGCCAGTACCACGGAATCGTGTAAATCTTCGTTGCTGAACGAATATTTGCGTTCAGACGACACGGACTTCAAAGACGTTGTAGGAATGACTGTCGACACTCTATTGGCTGGAGTTGACACGGTAATATTATAATATTGTTATACTAAACAATATTTTATTCGTTTCCGTCCACTGTTTGGCCGGTAGTTGAACGATTTTAATTGTTACCGGTTTTTTAAAACCACAATATAGGGTACGTATTCTTGTTGTTTCGGACTGTATTATTTATCGACTAACCCGGACGCACAGCGAAAAATGTACGCCGAAGCGAGGGCTTTGTTACCGGATACCGATACCGCGGTAACCGAAACGGTTTTAGAACGGGCCACGTACGCGAAAGCCGTGATCAAAGAAATGTTCCGGATGAATCCGATCTCGGTGGGCGTCGGCAGAGTGTTGCCCACAGATTGCTCGTTTTCGGGGTACAGAGTACCGGCGGGAGTAAATACTTAACATAATATTTCGAAGATATTTTCTAGATATATTCGATGTTATATTATATTGGAAACCGTTTGATGTGTATATTATTCTCAGACGGTGGTTGTCACGCAAAACCAAGTGAGCTGTCGTTTAGACGAGTACTTCCGGCGTCCCGACGCTTTCGTACCGGAAAGATGGTTAAAAGACAGCGTCGAATACGAGCCGGTCAGCCCGTATCTGGTCCTGCCGTTCGGCCACGGTCCCCGAACGTGTATAGCCAGACGATTGTCCGAACAGTTTCTCCAAGTCATACTTATCAAGGTATGAAATCGCCATCAATATCCTAGTGAAATACAATCCGTGGTGAAACGAACGTGATCTTTGAGAAAAAGTTACTTTTCGATTTTATTTAAAATTTAGAGATAGAGGTGGGTGCTCGGTATGAAAAAAATTAAATATTAGTACCCATTACTTGTTTAATAAAAATGTAGTTGAAACTATTGTGATATATTTGAAAATATTGTTGGATACTGGGTAGAGTATAGGTTACTTCTGAAATATTTTAGGTTCGTTTCACCACTGAATACAATATTTTATCATGGTATTATAAATGTACATTATAACTTCTTTCAGATTGTCAGAAATTTCAAAATGACGTGGACGGGACCGAAACTGGACTGTAAATCGTTATTGATAAACAAACCGGACGGACCGATTTGTATAAAATTCAAACCGAGAACTAAATAATTATTATGGTTTCACATGATGAAGATGTACATTACTTACGTTTAAATAAATAGTTTTCGAAAAATTATAGTTTTCGCGGAAGTTTTTGTATAGGCAACTCTAATGGTTCGAGCTGAAATACATTTTAACGAGCCAATAAATTAACGTCTTCGAAATAATGAAAACATACAATGATAACTATACAGCGTATCCCACGAAGATATATCCATTATCACACCTCGAAAAGTACTAACGTTTCTAAACTGTTACATTATCATTAATTTTCGTCACCTTTATTTTCGGGGGGGAAACGACTACCTATTTTTAATTTTAAAATGACAACCGTTACTAAAAATGCCATAAATAGACGGATTATTAGTTGAAATACATTAAGGTGTTGACATTTTTATTCCCGTCAACCCTTTGACGAGATGAAGTTTGGGTAAGGCGAGAGTATAGTGGAGTATCATTTGTGTTGTGATCCAATGCGCGAATAGTGCTCGACTACACTCCCCCCCCCATACACAAACTTAAAAGTAGTTTTAATTTTGGTCGATAGTTGAAAATCAAAAGGTTAGTAGTCGTTTCCTCTTCAGAAAAAGAGCCACAACAAATAATGGTAATATATCATTTGAGTGCTGTTGTTTCCTAAACAATTGTCGAAAATTACAAATCTAAAAGAAGTTAATACTTTTCGAGGCATCGAAGTGGGCATATTTTAAGCCTTATTAATTTTTGAATCGAAAGCGTTTCGACTCTGATAGAATCTTAAATCATATTTGATCCGATAAAAATCTAAAGACACCTTAAACCTGGCAATCTTCAGACAAATCGAACCTTTTTTCACCAATTTTCAACATTTTGTTACCTACACCAATATACGAAATAATATAATACCCATTATAACCAGACAAAACGACGATTCGAGACGAAAAGACAAAATAAGCAAATTCTTATAACTTTTTTTGAATATCAAAAACACACGTTATATATTTAAGTGAATTTTTTTTTTTAGAACCATTTGACTGTTTGACCTTTTAACCGTGGCTTATCCTCAATAGTCGGTTGTAAATTGAACTTGTGTTTAATTCATGCGTTTCCAGCAATATTCGTATACCGACGTCGTAAAAATAGTATTAAAATAATATTATAATCGGTGATACAGCAGACGGCTAGACGCGCCACGAGCGAAAGATAAAAAAAATAAAAAACAAAAGAATTTGTATACATTAAAACAACATATTCTTCGAAATGTCGCGTATAAACTGGCAATCACTTTTTGTCATCAAAATATGTTTGTCTATACATAGTTATATTATAATATATATCACTGCACAAATAACGATTGATCGTAGTTTTTCGAATAATACATATTTATAAATGATAATTTCGACCCCAATGTGAAAACTACAATTTACATATAATCATAAACGACGCCTATCACGAATACTTCAAGTTGTATAAAATAATACATATTGTACAGGGTGATTTTTATATCACGATCTAGCGGTAATCTACACCGGGATTTTGAGCAAAATTGAATTGGGTTTTTTTTCAATCAATCTTTAATCGTTTAATAATTGTAGGTATACTTAGAACAAGATCAAATATGTTCAACGTTTTACTCTTATTTCGTACACGATAAACTTTTGATTTTCAAATATCCGTGTCATCTCTCGAAAAGAGACAACATTTCAAAAGTGTTGACATATCCATGTTAATAATATAACAGTTTAAAATGTAGACATTTTAGAATCTGAACGAAGCGAGAAATGTATTGGTTGTACTCGTACAATGATGCTTATATTATTATTTTTTTTATATATACTATGCACGAAATATCTACTTCAAATCCAGCTCCAATTTCCACGTGAAGCATCTTTTCTGAAAGAAAATTTTATTTTGTTATAATTCAATTTAAAATATTCGTAGAAACTTGAAATTTAAACAAAAAACTTTTATTTGTCTTTTCTAGTCGTGGTAAAACTTTCAAAACATTTAGAATCATTTTTAAGCTATTTATAGACTTTTAATTTTGCGAGTTATTCACGTCATTTTTTTTATTCGGTAAGTACTCTGCGGATAAAATACTTGACAATTTAACAGGAAAATCATTATAAGTTGTACTTAGTGGTTAACAAGAAGTTGAATTCCGTTTAAAGGTGTTTTTTTTTTTAACAATGATTAATTTTTGAGTATAGTTAAACATAAAATTCCTCTCTACCTATACATCCTATCTTCCCAACTTTCCACCTACAACAGTGGCCCACCCATTGTGCGAAGCATGTCCGTCTCTTTTTCTTTTAATTTTTAAAATATAAAATACATTAAATGCATTTTTTACGACATGAATTTCCGCTGGTAAAATATCATAATAAGAAAAGACTAAACTATACTTTATAACTTTATCGTTGGAAATGTCATAAATTATAATATTTTCGGTTTATAAATTTAGACGACTTTCTTTTTTATTTCTAACAATCTAGACCGTATACTATTTTTCTCGGTGACCCGACGGGTATATATTGTCATTAAGAGCACTCGGCTTTTTTAAATTTCAAAAAATACATACTTACTCATTCCTGGTATATTCCATCGTAGTTTACTACATTGTACATAATATATATGCATATAATAATCACACGAAAACTTCGCCATAACTAATACACATTACTTTCCAAGTTGCGTTTGTTAAATTGACTTTGCGTGTATAAGTTACCTTTTTTTTTTTTTTTTTAATCACTTAAAATTAATCAATTACAATATAATATTCTTGTATTTTATTAATTTATTTTCCTTTATTTCGACTATGGCTTTAAATCTATATAATTGTATACGATATACGTATACGATTTACCTATGCATTATTCACGAAATGTGAACAAAGAAACAAAACGATGGAAAGACGTACAAACAAAATAATAGAATTTAATGCGTCTATTTATGCATAAATAATATGATAAGTATATTATTGCGAACATCAATGGAGATGTTCAATGTTATTACATAATTATTATATTATATTGAACAAATTATCACTGTACTACAATGAGTTTTTATTTTTTTCAAACATTTTACAAAATGATTACTTTACAATTTTCAAAAATAAGATGCATCCTAACTGTGTAGATAATTGATGTTTTTTAACAAAGTTAATTATATTAGCTATCATATTTCAATTTGTCAACAGTAGGTACTGCAGAAACTCCGTTATACGGCATTGCGTATTCAATTATTTTGAAACCGTCCTGATCGGCCACGTACGACATTCTCACTCTGACGCCTTCTGGCGAAGTGTACGTATACGTCCCTTTCTGGACCAAAACGTAACCGTCTTTTTTTTCGTTCAACACCAACCTGCCTTCTCTAGTCTGCAAAGTCCCGTCGTCCAGTTCGTAACTAAACACAAACATCGCACACAATAAGTACACATATCATATACAATAAAAAGCCAAAAATCAATCGAAAAATGAAAAATGTTTGAATATAAATAGAATTGGAGGATATTAAGCAAGGACGAAGATTTTGAGAATAGAAGGCGGAGAACACGGGACACGATGGATGATTGAAATCATAATTTTTTTGTTTTATATATACTCATATATATTAACGGGAGCAGTAAAAGCCCTCGATGGACTGGTAGGTATTATATCGAAGCTTTAAAGACAAATTTTGTACTGTTACGATTAAGACGTATAATTTGAATTGTTTGTATTATAATCCGTATAAAACTCACATGAGATTAAACTCTCCGTTTAACAAAACCTCGTATTTGTAATTCAGGAGACGAGCCTCCGGTATCTTCGGTTTTTCGGTCGGGGCCGCGAACGCAAAGCTCGAACAAACGCCAACGAATAAGACAGCCTGAAAATTATTTTTTTTTTTTTTTCCAAATTTGTATTCTATTTAAACGATATAATATTATTAATATTTTTTTGACTCGAATATACTCACTGCGACGATCGAATTCATTTCGGTGTGTATTATAAATATTCTTTAGCGTTGTAAAAACAATAATAGGTATTTATGAGTACGTTATGAAGTCGAGTGTGGTGCTCGGACTGATCACTGGGTAAATGGACGTGGCGGTATTTAAAGATTTTCAAAACATTAAAAAATTTTAAATATTTAAATGATATCACACGAGGTATGCGGCCACCGCCGATTGACCATAATTATTTTCCAAAATAATTCCGTCTGAAAGTCGTTGTCGTAATGTCGCATACTTAAAACACCATTAGTAATTAATTTCTCTGCAATGTGTATAGGAAGCTACTGCAAAACTGTTTTCAAACTTTAGACACTCCACTAATTATTATAGAAATCATAAAATACTTGAATATACTTACGATTTGATCGAAATGAAATAAATAAAATGTTGATTCGAAAAGTAACGACTAAAAATGTAAACTAGTTAATGAGAAATCACTAACAACCGAATATTTTCGAATTTTCCTTATATTTTATGCCGATTTAAAGATTTCGTTCTCCGATCAAAGGACAATATATAATACTAGCTGTCCCGCGCCCGGCATTGCCCATGCCAATTTTTTATTCTCTTTCCTTTATTCCCGTTTTGCTTTGCTCGTATCAGTATATTTAACGAACAAAAATAGGTGGAAAGTGAGTTTTCTATGGCAGACTAAAAGTTTTCTAGTGTATCATACATTTTTCATTTGGGTTAGATACCCGATCAATACCGAGATTAAACTACACATCCGCTATAAAAAGCTAAAATACTGATTGACATAATAGTTTTGTTGTATTGTTATTGTACCAATAATTATAAAGATTCAAATATGAAGTTTTATATGTATCACTTATATTCACTCAGTACAGCGCATAATTTTTTTTTATTTTTTTTTATCCGTGTTAACAAGAGAGCCCATCCTATTTCAAGCCAATAATAGACTGGCAGACAGTCAGATAGATTCTTTATTTTAAGTTTTTATAGTTGTTATGACATTTTCATTTCTGTTTATTATTTATTTTTTTTTGTTTTAAATTTGTTTGCATTCCATCCATGTTACAAGATAATCCATAGTTCAACAAAAACAATTTAATTTTCGTACCAAAAATACGTAAAAACTTTTCGTCCCCTCCAAGTTTTATTTTCAAAACAAAAAGTAGCCTATGTTTTTCTCCAATGTCCCGTCTATCTCTATAGGGTGATTTTTTTCTCATGAACCATCAATTATCTCAGAAGATTTTATGTTAATTTGTTTTTCGTTTTTTCATTATGGAATCGTTTAAGCTTAATGCTTTAATGTTTTACTCCTACTCTATATACTTTAAATAAGTACATACTTTTCAAATAGGAACCCCCTCCCTTTTGAACAAAGATTTGAATAGAGAATATTTGTCTAGACATTTTGATAAGCATAACACTAATATCAGATTTACCGTTCATGAGTTTAAAGTTTAGACCGGAGAAGTAGAGAAAAGTTAGGCAATAATAGATAGGCAATTTATTACCCTTCCCTACACCAGGCATTTATAATATTAAATTAGGATTAGGTTTAATTACCTTTACAAATATTCGGCATTTTTCCAATAGTTTTTACACAACTGATCGTTTCTGAATAGTTCAGTTCTTGAGCACTCGTGTAGGCAATATAAACTGTGACCCTTTGAGGCATTTTGATATTTTAGTAAAACCGCCAATTTTTTTTAATAGAGAAAAAAATAGCAAAACAGTTTTTAATGATGATGTTCATCATGGAAAACAATAAAATTACTCGTACACATAATAATTTGTACACGAAGGTTAGGCATACAATGAATGTGGTATACGCCCTTTTAACATATCAGTGTTGATTTTATTCTATTTTAAAAGGGTGCCTGGCTATCTTTTAGTCGAAATTACCAACTAAATTGTCTGTTTTTAAATACGTCCTTTTACGAATTTATGCTCCTAATTTTTGTGATTTTTCCTATACCAAAAATGTATTTTTCGAATTTCAGTGGTGTATGCTCTTTTAACAAAACACCATCGATATATACGTACAGTCGGGCATTTAATTTTTTTTGGGGGGGGAGTCTGTGGTTAAAAACGCATTACTAATATGTATATAAGTTTGATTTTAAAAAAACTCTACTATCGTGGTTTTTACTATATCATCGCATAGACGCTATCGCTCTGTGTTAGTTATAATAATAATAATAATAATAATAATAATACTTATACAAATAGATAAATAAGTGAATAAAACGTGCCGAAGCGCTCGAAGCCCAGTGATACATAGTGAATATAACCTCATTAAGACAAATATACAGCAAGATATTTTTATGTAACTAGATAGAATATGTACAAAACAACAGTAAACTGAAAATCATCTCGATAATCCTGAACCATTACGTGGACCAGCATGAGGATGCGCACAGGGCGTGCCAGGTGCGCCATGGCACACCCCGTGCCTTTGAGTTGAAAACGAAATGGACTCATTTTGGATTTTATTTAATTAAATACTAACCAATTTGGTATGGGAAATTGTCATAGTGTAACCAATAAATCAAATCAATCGGCAACCACTTACTGCGATAATCACTGCCTTGGATTCGGGGCCTATTGTAATTGTGATTATATTGAGTTTTTTTTTTTTAATTTCGATCAATTTTATAATTTATTATTAAAGACATGTTGAGATATATAATAAATAATAATGTTTTCGTGAAATATTGTTAAATATATAGGTAATTATTATAATACTAGTGTTCCATGTAGGTGAACAATATGATTTTTAATGAATCAATATTTTGTATTCACTATATTCTTTGTTTAGGCGGGGAAGATACAAGGCCAGGGAATAACAGACCGTTTTCTTTATGGCACACCATGTGCCTGAAAAAACCCTGTGCACGCCTATGTGGACCAGGCTTTAGAACCAGAACACTACAATTTGAGTTCATACGGCGACAACAAGTAATTATCACTCTTGCACGCATGATAATGTGGCAGTCGTTATCAAGATAATTATTTGTCGCCGTGTGAATTGGACGAGTAGTTCACGACAATATATTACAATGGCCGGTTGCCAATTTCACAACTCTCGAGACGCAAAATAATAGTACATTAGTTACATAGTAACTATTATCATACAGTTGGTCGGTTTTTTGTTGAAATTTCACACGAAATTCTCAAATGTATAACAAAATGAAAAAAAATTGCTACGTGAAAAACGGTTTGTTTTTTCCGTCTGTATGCGTATTACACGACAACCCGGACTCAAGAGTCCGGGCCCGGCGTCATAATTGATACGATTGCGATTGATTGTTACACTGTAACATTGCATCGGCAGTAAAATGCTCATGATAATATTTTAAACTTATTAGTCTTACTGTTTTTAGTAAACAGCTTATAGGTCAGATAAAATATAGATGAAATGCGCACAAAAATTGTTTATAAAACACATAAATTTCTGTGCGGCATTCGAATTCGGGATTTCAATAACGTGGCAAGTGCAAAATATTTTACAATGTTGAGTTTGCATACGGGTATAATTATATTTATTTATTTATTATGTCGATGAGAATGGGTAGTAGGAATGATAAAATGAACACTTGATTTAATTAAAAATGATGATATCGGAATATTAGAAGCCGGAACTATCAATTTAGTTACGAGACCGTCGTTCCTAATTGGCATCTTCGTGGCCACTCTGATCGTCACTCTAGCCAACCGCGCCGTCGCCGTTCCCGCCTCCATCGTCAACTGTGCCACCTCGGCCGAAGTTTCAGCGTTTACCATACGGATGGCCGTGGTCAACGATACCTCAGCGGCTTCTATCGCTTTCCCACTTAACCAGTTCAACATTTTGTCATATTGGCCGAAAGCAGATATCCGCATTGCCATCGAAAACAACAACACCGAAAACGTTAAATATTCGAACACTCTCATCGTGTGACAAATATTTCTGAAAAATAATTTTAAAAAAATATATATAAACGTATCAACAGAGTACGGTATGTTTGTACGCGGTTTTAATTTAGAACAAAATGCGTAAAAATGCGAACTCTAGTATTTACCGACAACTTCTTCTTGAAGTTCCTATCCATATCGGACGTTGGAAAATATCGTTCCTCTTAAAAACGATGAAATAATCTGTTGTTATGTAAAGCCAATCGCGGAGATTCTTCAGCCACGAAATCCTTCGTCTTCCAACACTTCTTTTGACTTCTATTTTTCCCTTGGAATATTAGCTGTAGCAAATCTTAGGTTAATACTCATTATATGACCCAAGTACTCTAATTTCCGTGTTTTTATAGTCATCAGTAATTCCTCCCACTTTTTCGTTCGTTTAAATACACTTGCAACAATCAATACGCATAATATAATATAATAACACGCTACACGCAATTTGTTTTTTAAAATTTATGAACTTTAAACCTGTTTTTTTACTGCGTTAGTAAAATATTGTTCGTTATCAATCATTATTTATAATACATAACAACAAAAGCGATGTTATTTTATCTCGGCTTTTTAATGATAATACATAAATCGGCTGAATCTGCAACGGTTTTTTTTAGAATCAAATTATATTACTTGGAAAAATTAGATAAATGTATAAAGACTCTCTCTTTATAATTATATAGTAATTAAATGTGCGGTAATTCCGAAAATCAATAGTTTATGGAATTGTGGAGTAATAAATCTATCGTAAGACACTTATTATCCCGGAACATTTGGAAGACAAGCGGCTGTACAATTTTACATTTATGTTATTTTTTGTCACCATTATTTTCGGGGACAAAACCGCTAACTACTTTTGATTTTCAAATGGCAACATTTGAGTTTGGCCGGGGGAGAGTAGTGGAGCATCATTTGTGTGGTAGCACGGCGCGCAGTGCTTTAACAATGCACCACTCCCTACTCACCCCCGATCCAAGCTTGAAAATTGAATATCTCATCAACGTATTGGCGGAAATCAAAAATCAAAAAAAAAACACCAAAATTTATTTTAACTAACACTCCGTCTATTTATGGAATTTTTTATATATGTTTTAATATAGGTATATTTGTAAACCAAAAGTAGACAGAGGTTTCACCACTAACTTAAGAGGGACAGAAAATAGCGTAAATGTAAAATTGTAGATCTGCTTGTTTCCGAAATGTTCTATGAAACAAATTCCGAAAAAAGTTTATATTTTCCGAAATAATGAATGTCTTACGATAGATTAATCACTGTGTATAAATGATTGCTGAATAATACGAAGCAGTAAAATATTTGTTATTATTTTTTTTATTTTTTTTTGATACTCAGCGTGTATGCGTGCTTTTTAGTCGGCTAAGAAGAAAATATTGTTGATTACGAAATAATAAATTTACCAGAAAGAAAAATCAATTGCGTTCGGAACGATTATTTATTATAATATAATACTCGTGAAGTAATTCCGATACGCTGACGAAAAGAAACTTTGAAACATAATTTCTTTCTTTCATTTATTTAATCGGGTACACTCATTATATCGGAAAGTGTTAACTTTTTCAAACTTTTTTTTTTGAAGATTTAAAATTGTTTTCAAAATGGTAGTGTATGTTAAAAATGTTTAAATTTCGGTGTTGAAATTTTCTATTTTCGTCAACCCGTTAAAGAAAAATGACATTTTCAAGTATGAGTAGGGGAGAGTAGTGGAGCATCATTTGTGTGGCGGCACGACGCGTGTTTTAACTAGCGCTGAACAAGGAATGTATCGGCCCATTGAATTTTAGGATTTTCACCGGCCCAAAATTATACAAAATAAATCAAATTGATAGAAATTCAATTAAAAACATGTATAATTTTGCGTGGTCCACTAAGATTTTCACGGTAGCTCGCCGGTTCGATCCGGGCCCGTCTACTACTCTTCTCTTACTCAAACTTAAAAGTGGAGTGTCTCGTCAACGAGTTGACGGAAATCAAACATATCAAAATCGACACTAATACTTCATCAATTTATGGAATTATGACTAACTAGGTTACCATTTGAAAATCGAAAGTAGTCGTTTCGCTCCCAATAATAAGAGTGACAAAAATAACGGTAGTGTACAGTCGTTTGTATATTTTGAACAAAAAAAACCTTTTGAAAAAAGTTAATACTTGCCGAGGTAATAAGTGTAATCCATTTAAATGGATCACCGTGTGTGTAACATTATTTTTACGTAATATTATTCAAGATTATTTTCGTGTTTATCAGAAGCAAAACACGAGGAAATATTGTTTTCGTTCTATTGCAGTTCTACTGAATCTAATCTAACCGGAAACTGAAATACGAGTAAACAAATTTAACGAAAAAAAAAAAACACGTTCACAAGATTATGATTTCACTGCAGTTTTGACAATTTATTAGATAGAGTAATACATCTGCAAATCAATAATATTAACTATACCGACGAGTAATTTGGCAAAATTGTTTGTTGTTCGAAATCGAATTTCGCGCCGGACCCTACTGCGGTTTGTCAACCGCAGAACTATGTACTCTATAGTATCAAAATCGTGAAATACGAACGCGATTCGTTGTAAATGACCGCTCATAATATTTAGTAATATCTGGATTCCATTATCGATAATACGATAATAGTAATAGTACTAGTAGTGTTGTTACTGTACCAATAATTACAAAAATTAAAAGATGAAGTTTTACCTGTAACACTTACACCCAACCAGTACGGCGCGTGGTTTTTTGTTTTTTTGTTTTTTCATCCACGTCACCAAGGGAACCCACTCTATTTCAATAAACTGGCAGACAGTCAGATAGATTCTTTATATAGCATATACAATTTAGATACGTATAAAAATGGAGATGTCTGTCTGTATGAGATTAATAGTAAACAATCACTGGAGCGATTTTTACGCGGCGTTTTGAAAAATGTTCCGCGCTGTCCGAAGAACGTTTTCGTAGCTATTGAAATCCAACCTCTATTGAATACCGCCCTCTAAAATTCGGTTTTTAGATATTTTTAGTATAAAAACCTAATTCATTTTGTTTTGGGTCATCTCGGTTAAACCTGCGGATAAAAAAAAAAAAAGCTGTTATCAATTTATTGCAACGCAATTCCTGTGCTGTGCGGGTATCTATAGGGTATTAGCATAATATAATAATAATTTCACCTGTATTTCTTTTGGCACGGGCAACGTAGGACGGGACACCGATCTTTTATGCATTTTTTAAATTACAATAGTTCTGAAAAATTATCCTTATCTCCCGACCCCAAAATGACAAAATCGAGTTCTAAAAAATAGACCGAAATATTTTTCAATTAATATCTACGTTTCGTACGTTTTCCCGCATTTCCTCTGCTTTTTCAGTTTTTCACGTTTGATGAAAAAACTCATAAAAAAATCGAAAAATGATTTTCCTAAAGTACCGCTCCAAGAATATTCCCTTTCAGAAAAAGGTCTACATCGTATACATCGAAGTAAGCTTTAGCTTTCTAGTAGAAAGTGTTTTCATAAAAATAAATAAATATTGTGAACCAATACAGTTCTTGCTCCACTCAAAATCTAAAAAACTTCGCTTAGAATTTAAAAATTACTCATCTATACCCAGTGGTGAAACGAACCTGAAAAAAAACCTAGAAGCAACATATAATCTGCTCTGTACACATTAGGGTGGCCCATATTTTTTGATATTGGATTTTTTTCAGTCTTACCCCCTAAATTGGTTCAAATATGTATATAAATGAAGTATGCAAAATTTCACATCGATAGATTAAGTTTAACCCGTGCCCCCCAGCCCTCAAAGTTCAAATATATGGTTCTGTTCAAGTAACCACGTTTTTTTTAATTGATTGACTGCTATCTCGTTGTTATGTCATTTCTTACAAAAATAAATTTCCGACATTACTTATAGTAAATTAAATTGTCTATAACTTTTTTTCTATATAGTTTTTTGATTAACGTAATATTTATTAATATAACTGATTATGAAACATGCAAGTTTTTAAAAAGCGTAACAATATTTACAAAATATCTAAAATATTATTATATTTTTATAATTTATTTGTTCTCCAAGTTCTGATAGCGATTCTGATGCTGGAGAAAATATTTCAAATAAACCGTTAGATGCAGAAAAAACTTCCGAATTCCCAAACCTTCCTACATTTAAAAATAGAGGTAATAAAAATTGTATAACACCGAAACTTGCAATCGCAGTTCATATATTAACAGCTACTGTAGANTTTTTTAATTGATTGACTGCTATCTCGTTGTTATCATTTCTTACAAAAATAAATTTCTGACACTATTTATAGTAAATTAAATTGTCTATAACTTTTGTTCTATATAGTTTTTTGATTAACGTAATGTTTATTAATATAACTGATTATGAAACAATGAAACATGCAAGCTTTTGAAAAACGTAACAATTAAATAATATTATTACAAAATGACATTTATATTTTAAAGTATACAAATAAAAATAATTATAATTGTTCTATAACTGTGCTTTTTAAACTGTTCGGGTATTTACAGCGATAGTCTTCGACAACTTGAAGCACGTATTGTTTTTGATCTTCATTTTTTGTTAAGACCATATTATACTCCTCCATGAGTTTTACCCCTCTTTCTGCCGTATCGTTTGTAACACGAAATATCTTTACAATCTCAAGGCTTTTTTGAAAAACTTCACTTTTATCGCACATTGATGGATGTTGCTCCAAGAATGATGTAGCTATTCCAAATCGTGAAAAAAATGAAGTAGATTCATTATAAATAAAATCATTTATTTCTTTCTTCATGAATTGAGCTACTTCATTTAGCGGCACAATGACTCGTTTATTGATTTCAGAAGTTAAATTATTTAATTTTATAGCATCGACCATTTTAATTTTTGTCTCAATTGTTATATTAGAATCAAAAAATGCCAATGCTGCTGTTTCAGGTGCTAAATACCACAAATGTCCACATAGTTTTCTTAAAGTTGATTGAGAAATGTTTTTATGTATTTTTTCATAACTGATGAGACTTTTCAAAAATTGTAAGTCTTGAAATGGAGCTAAAGCGGCAATAGGTGCACAAAATCAAGCTTTAATTGATAATTGTATAAGAAATATACAAATTGTACGGATTGATTCTTCTTCATAATTTTTTAATTTAAATTGTTTATGAAACATAAATATTTTTAATGAATATATGGCCTTGGACATCCAACGAACATGATACATTGCACCAGGACATTGAAAAGATATGCCACGAGTAGGGGTACCACCAAGAAATATCACAGCTAATTCCAACAATTCTCTGTAATCGTCTCTGTTATGAGATTTGCGTAATTGGTCCATATAAAAAAATAACATAACATTAGTTACATCATTTAATATTCCACTGACAATTNGCGCAAAACCAAGCTTTAATATATAATCGTATAAGAAATATACAAATTGTACGGATTGATTCTTCTTCATAATTTTTTAATTTAAATTGTTTACGGAACACAAATATTTTTAATGAATATATGGCCTTGGACATCCAACGNCATTCTTCAAGTGCTTTAAACACTGCTTCCGCTTGATTTTGACCAGTTCCGGATATAAGCTTAGGAACACTTAACAACTTTTCAGAATTTTTAAAAGAAACAATTACTGGTAAACGATCAACAAGCTCTTTTCCTGTTAAATCTGGGAGCAGCTTACCATCCCAATGAACAATAACTGGACCTACCTTCTGATGAATTGAATTCATTTCGAAGTTGGTCTGCTCTGTCCTTACGTAAACACTAGCGTATTTGATTAATAGATGTCCGGTTTAAAATTAAATCGCATACACGTATACCTAACGCTTCTACAGTAGCTGTTAATATATGAACTGCATCGCGATCACTTATTTTACACCTATCCAATGCGATTGCAAGTTTTCGGTGCAATACAATTTTTATTACCTCTATTTTTAAATGTAGGAAGGTTTGGGAATTCGGAAGTTTTTTCTGCATCTAACGGTTTATTTGAAATATTTTCTCCAGCATCAGAATCGCTATCAGAACTTGGAGAACAAATAAATTATAAAAATATAATAATATTTTAGATATTTTGTAAATATTGTTACGCTTTTTAAAAACTTGCATGTTTCATAATCAGTTATATTAATAAATATTACGTTAATCAAAAAACTATATAGAACAAAAGTTATAGACAATTTAATTTACTATAAATAATGTCGGAAATTTATTTTTGTAAGAAATGACATAACAACGAGATAACAGTCAATCAATTAAAAAAAAACTGTGGTTACTTGAACAGAACCATATATTTGAACTTTGAGGGCTGGGGGGCACGGGTTAAACTTAATCTATCGATATGAAATTTTGTATACTTCATTTATATACATATTTGAACCAATTTAGGGGGTAAGACTGAAAAAAATGTTATAAAAAAAAATCACCTATATGACGAAGGGCCACCCTAGTACACATCCACCAATACGAGTATCTATACTAATATTTAATTGTTTTAGTATTGAGTGAATCTAAATCTTCTAAATTTTGAAAAAAAAAAAACCGAAAACAGCCACATTTTGAAGACCACGCGTTCGTTTTGTTTCTGGCTATACGCCTATACTTATAATAGGTGTGCGCACAGGGTGTGTCGTGGCACTCCCCGAGGATAATGTTTTTGCCGGACATCAGGCAATTTATTAACGTGGAAAAATTGTGTCTGATAAAAGCGGTTAGTCGGGAAATTTATTCACCGATAGTGCTGCGTGGAAACGTTTACATCAATGTTCCATCATTTTATATTTCGAAATTTAATATTTATATGAAATTTTGAAAAAAAATTTCTTTTGCTTGTTTCGATAATGATTTTATAATATAGAAGATATCTTGTTACTAAATTTTCTTCCGGTTTTTAAATACTAATGTACTCTTATACACATGACGGTTTAATTTTTTTAGCGCTTTTTTTGACGATTGTAAACGCTAAAAACTCCCGCTGAAACCCGGATAAGAGGATGTCAAACGTCCCTGTTTACCTGTCGGTCAATTTTGCAAAAATGTGTTTTTGTTATTCCAATAATACTCGGGCCTCGTCGGTTGTGTAAACTTGATTTTGATGCCAAAATAAAACACGAAAAATTATATTTTATGTCCGTAAAAGAATTTTCTTATAAATTTTTGTTTTCAAACTGTACTCGTGAGAGGGGAGCAGAATACTTCCATGGTAACTATATACCCATTGTAAGAGGAAACAAATAGGGTTGCGTCAGAGATAAGAGATAAAAAATGACAATAACGATAAAACATTTTTTTTAAAAATTATTTAACCAGTTAAACCAGTTTAAACGATTTTATTGTACTTTTTTTTCATTATACTTGCGTCAGGTGACAGCCTATGTAAAACCGATATTAAATAGTTTGAGAATTTCTAAATAAATTTTGGGTGAATTATCGTATTTCTGATGTATATGAGAATTTTATTTTTCAAACCGAAAAATTATTAAAATTTTTAAAATTATCTAAAAAAGCAAATGTAAGATTTCTTTTAAAATTTCAAGTCTCTATAAATAATTGTTCACTGATTTACAATAAAAAACAAAATTTAAAATACTAAAAACATTATTTTCATAAATAGTACCGTTTCTAATACATTTTTTTTTTTGGTTTTGCTCAATTATTCAAAAAACTACAGAAAAAATCAAAAAAAAACTTTCATATTCATGAAATAGGTTTAAAAAGAGCAACATTCGGTTGGTGTCATTTTGTTTTTCTATTGAAGAAATATTTCTAATAGAAAATTTAATCTGTAAAAATGTAAAATATAGGAATTATAATGCCGTAAATAAATCAATTTTAAATCTTCGTCTTGTGCCAGTTTTTCTAATTATTAAAACTACTTGGAAAATTAAAAAATTACTTTCTTCATGAGCATCTAGACATCCAAAATTCAACAAAAAATGATTTTATCGTTTTTCTGGAGTAAAATATTTCTGGTGGAAAACAGTAAGCAAAAACTAAAACTAATGAAATCAGTAAATATTTGAAAACTTCTTTGAAAATCATAAAATGACCTACCTAAAAACATAACATTTTTTTTCGAAAAAGGTGCACGTTAGAGTAAGGTTTCTTTTTGAAAAATTATTTACACACACACACAAATAAAAAAAAAATACAATACCATTATATCTTAGTAAAAGCAATAAATCCACCGTTATCTTCTTGATCGAATACAATACTTACTACTAGATTTATTAACAATTTTAAATTAGTTAGTATTATACATACAATAATTCAATGAAAACAAGACTTTTTGTTTCACATTAATAAATATTTTATTAAAATAATATATTTAAAGCTCATTATTAAAGACGTTTGTGGATGGTGGTTTTAATAATCCTTAATATCAACATATTTACAACATAATATCATATGAAAAATTTTAATGGAAAATCAATACTGAAATACAATTTAATCACTCAATTATTGATATTAGTTTTGACCATTTGTATATTTTTTTTAGTATATATAGAATGTAACAGAACTATTTGACATATTTACAAGTAACTACAATGTAAGAATGTCAAATAGTCCTGTTACACCATACATATCAAATTTGAATACAAAATACATTGTAATTCATTGTAGATGTATTTTTTTTTTAGTTTTCATATTGTATAGTAGAGAAAGTAGATATATATATATAAATGTATCTTCAATTGGTGATTTCACTACATAATATAAACATAAGTGTTGAGAAAGTATACTTCGATATACAATATGCACAAGAAATGCATTATAGAATAATACACTTTGGACAATTATTACGTTTGTTTCCGAGATGAACCTTTGATCATACTTGATAAGTCTTGGACGACCCTTGTCCTAAGGATAATCCTTCATCTTCACAACTAATTTTTTTAATAAACAATGGATTTATTGAAATAGCTTCATCCAACAATCGCAGCGTATTACTAAACGATATCTTATTGGTTACCTGAAAAACAGACAAATCATAGAACACAAGAGCCATTATCTATGTTCAGGTATAAAAAATAATTTACTTTGTCTAAAATTTGTTTGAGAACATTGGAGTCTTCAAATTTTTTGGATGGGTCATTAAATATAATTGTACCATCTTTAGGATTGATTTTAGCATGTATTTCACCAGCTTCAATCTAAAATTTGAAATTTATATTTATTTATTTACATTAGTAAATATAAAAATGATAAAAAGAAAGAACTACCAAAGCCATTAAATGTTCTTCCGTTTCTGTTATACTAGGAATATTGACTTTTTGTGTTAAATCAGAAATTGATAAATTCAAAAATGTATTGGTCAATTTAAGTATATTCTTTCTGTACAATGCTTTTAGAACTTGTTTGACTAAACCTGTATTTTTGTCTCTAAAAAAGTATATATATATATATAAAAAAAAAAATTTTTTTTAGTAAATTTTATTGAGTTGAGAATCAAAAATAATTGTAACTATTGTAAACCTTTGATAAACATCATTGTGTTTAGTGATTATGCTTTGTAAATCAGCAGGATCGCCATTTTGATAAGCTGGTATAATATCCAAATATGCTTGACACACGGGTTTGAGCACTCTTTCGACGAGGGGCGGTGATAACTTTGGAAGTGCAGGTACTATTCCTAAATGTATAATTGAGACCAAAACAAACTTTTTATATGATTCTATCATGACTTGAGACATCACAGGAAGTAATGTCGAAAGGGCAATTTCAAAGAACGAAATTGCTTTTGAATAATTTTTCATCGCTGTATAGATAACTCCACCCAAATAATAATAATGTAAAAAGAATTTTGAATCAAATATAATTCCAGGCTGAAAAAAAAAATCTAAATTAGGTACATTTTATAAAATATAGGTAATGATTTATAATAACTGATTTTTTAATAATATTATAATATGAAAAACCCAGTATTTAATATAGACATGTAAAAGATAGAAAAAAACAACAACTTATACTGGGGTTGGGAGCAGCCAGTGTTGTAGGTGAGAAGTAGGGAAGATAGGGTTTATAAGGTTATTTCATTTATATCTGTAAGCAACAATAAACCATTGCTTGACGAAAGACAAATCCGAGGGCAGTTCAGTAATACATAATTTGAAGTGCCATAATTTTTTTTGCGATTTTCATTTAAATTTGATTTCAAAACACTTATTAAAAAAAAAGGAAAAAAAGTTGTCTGATGTTTTTGGAAATTTAACCACACCTAAGTAAATATAATATAACTATTATTACCAAGTTTCAAGTCTCTACATGTATTTATAAACGAATTACAGCAAAAAACTCCCAAAAATTAAAATTCCTTAAAAGCTCAATAGTGGCTCAAACGTTTTGGCGATGATACTGTAAGAAATTAAATCAAAAAATCATTTTGTGATTTTTCGATTAAATCATTTTTTCTAGTAGAAAACGTCATTTGTGTTTTTATAAAATAATGAAAATATGAAATTGTAAGTTTTCCTACATTTTCCCACTTTCCCAAGTGCTTTTATTTAAAAAACGGCATCAAACAACCAAAAAATGACTTGTTTAATGTATAATCTAGACAACTTGAACTTTCAGAAAAGTTGCTACACAAGTTAAAACAAGATTACTAGGAAAAAATGTGTCCACAGACTAGAACAAAAAATAAACATAATTGTAAAACCAATAGCTCCCTCACAACGCTTGAAATCTAAAAGTACAAAATAAAATTTTTTGTAAACTCTTGAGTTAAAAAAATTGAATAAAAACAAAAACACTCATAGAAGATCTATAAATTACTTTATATTTTTTCTATGATCATTTAAAAAGGATGATTGATGCCCCTAACATTATTGAAAAATTTAAATTTCAAGTAACAATGACAAATACAAGACATAATTACATGATACATCTCTCACACAAAAATAGACTACAATAATCAAATGTAAACCAAATTTCCATCAAAGTGTACAAATTACATAGAGTAACCAATATTTTCCACTTTAAAGTTTAATTTAATTACAAAAATTAAATTAAAAATAGTAATGGAACTCCATTTCATCATTAGTCAATTTAAAAACAAAATTCAGCAAATATCATTATATTATACAATATATAGTGTAATCGCATATTTATAAATAACACTAAATATTTTTAGCAGTATAAATTGATAACTTTACATAGGGGAGAGTAATGGAGCACTATTCAAACGCTGTATACCATGATGCCACACAAATAATACTCCACTACTCTATCCCTACCTAAACTTAAAAGTAGAATATCTCTCGTTACAGATTGACAGAAATCAACAATTTCAACACCAAAATTAATTTAAACTAATAAACCATCAATCTTTATATGGTATTGAAATAAAGGTCGTTATATGAAAATCAAAAGTAGATAGTGGTTTTACATCCAAAAATAAGGGGGACAAATATATAACACCAATGTAAAATTAATGAGTTGCTCGGACCCTCAAATGTTCTAAAAAATAAATAATGAAAAAAAGGTAATATTTTCCGAGATACTGACTATATCCACTTAAATAGATCATCAAATTTTTTCTGGATATTCAATAAAAATCATGTCTTTTTAACCAACTTTAAATTATTGAATCTCAGGGAATTTTTTAGGATTAAATAAAGATTTTAGTAATCAAAGTTACTTTAAAAAATTATTATTTTCATCTTATGTCAAAAATAGGTGATGCTATTAAAAAAGTTATTAAGACATGTTTGAAGTATGCATTTCACCTTCCCAAAAAGGAAACTTAGTTACAAAGTCATCAATTTGATGTTACTTATAAACATAATCACACCATTATATAGAGTTGTTATTATTATGAACACAGATAGTTAATCTATAAGCCACAATTACCTATTATTTTTATATTCTAATATTCTATTTTTACTTATACTAAATTTTCAATTATTTTTGTCTATATATATTATAGTTAATTTATTTTATAATATACTTCAAAGGCTGTAAACACCCATTCATATATACAGAATGATTCACTAAGTGTGCTCATCTTATTTTTTTTGATTAAATTTTTGGAATTTTTATGTGTAATTAAAGCAGCCAATATTTCCGAATACTTAGATTTTTTACAACATTTAAGGAGTATCATGTGGTGACACCAACTTAAATTTTTCAAATAAGAACATGTATTAAAAATTCCATAAATAGACAGAGTATTACTTTAAATACATTTTGGTGTTGAAATGTTTGATTTCTGTCAACCTGTTAACGAGATATTTCACTTTTAAGTTTAGGTAGGGTTAGAGTAGTAGAGTATTTAATTTATTTGGTGGTACGGCATACTGCTTTTTATTAGTGCTCCACTACTCTCCCCTACCTAAACATAAAAGTGGAATATCTCATTAACAGGTTGACGGAAATTAAAAATGTTAACACCAAAATGTATTTAAAGTATTACTTAATTCTATTTATGGAATTTTTAATAAAGGTTCTCATTTGAAAAGCCAAAGGTAGTATTATCCCAGGATATTAAATATTGCTATAAATCCAAGTAGGTATATGAAAATATCGGCTTTACCTACACTTAAAAATTCCAAAAATTTAACCAAAAAAAAAAAAAAAAAAAAAATTGGATGAGCACGCTTAGTGAATCATACAGTATATAAATAAATAAGAAATTCAATTAAAAACTCCTAATCATTATCTTTTTTGAATATTTCAATATTTAATTTACAATTTGAGTATATATTATTTGGTAGAAAAATTAACCATACTACAAAGTTATGTTAAATTGTATTATGTTAAAATTTTTCTGACCTAGATAAGTATATGGCATTTCAATACAAAAATTGAGCGATAATTTTTATTACCAAAAAAGAATGCCAATTGTCTGAATAGTTATTATCGTTTGGAGGGAGTATCAGTGGATAATATATGCAAATATTGTACAAAGAATAATAATACTCACATCATCATTAGATCCCAAAACATATATATTCTGATCCAAAAGATTTATTGCAGGTTTTAGATTATTGGACATTAAACATGCTTGGCAGAAAAGACAATGAAGTTGAGTTAATTGATATGGTTTGTCTTGCAATTTAAATATAGCATTTTTTAGAATAGGAATGGCGAACATAGGCTTCCCCACACTTCCGAGGCTCTTCAACATAGATTTCATCACATTATACACTGCAAAAATAAAAGACAAACAAATTGTGTTGAAATAAAATCATATTGTTAGAAAAATTATTTACTCACACAGGTCAGCCATATCTCTAAGCTGTCTATCGCTGACAGAAATAACAAAATCATGAATTTGTGTTGCTGTCACAGTATGATATTGAACGGCAGATATATCACCAAGTTGTTGGGCAGAAGTCTTAATGCCCAAAACAGTTAATACTGCCAACGCGTTCTGGTGAACATCGAGTGCCTCAAGTACACTGTCTAAATTGGATACATAACTTTGCAAGGTTTCAGTTTGTTTCGCAAGATAATCGACAAGATCTCGATTGTCAACTAAAAAATAATATGAATTAGGTATGTAGTATCACATATTTATACTAGAATATATTATAATTTAAAAAAAATAATTGTTTTAACACCTAAACATCATTTAAAATCACATCATAAATCAAAGTTATAATGAAAGCTGATGTAAGAAAAAAAAAAATAATAATAAATTAAATTAATGGTGACAAACGAATTCTCAAACTCTCAATAACTAAATCCGTACATACAGTGAATAATTCGAACGGAAATTGAGGAAATTTTGTGGAAAGATATCGATTATAAGGGCAAGACGAATCCCAGGTTACTCACTCTGTTTCGAAGTGGAATGATTCCTGACGGACAGCACGAACTGATCGAGCAACGGCACCGCTATAGCGTTTTCCATTTTGAGTCTGTTGACAAAATTGTAACACCGGCGTAAAAAATAAGGCAGTGACTATTTTGATGTCAGACGTGAACCTATATGTTTTCACGAAGTTCAATTTCTGCCCACTGATTGGTCGTAACAATGATAAAGATGGTAGTAAAGCAGAAACACGTTGTATATAGCTATTATCTCTTCGCGGTAGAGTCTATTGATAAGCACTAAAGATATGATAATGTATCAAAATTTCCCGCATAAATTTAAATAATATTATAATAAAAACTAATATTTTAAATTCGAAGTGTAACAAGGCATCTAATGGTTTTACTATGTGTGCTTTTATTTATTATTAGATATATTATTATAACTTAATGTATAAGTATACTACATACTCAATCTAATAGATAATATTATTTTTTTATTTATTAATTTTGTATCATATTAGTATTGGAATTATCACTGATATTTATACTTTTATCAAAAGTTAACTACTTGTAAGTTGTAATCTCTAGAAATTGGACTATAATTTTGACTATAAATCTGATTAGGTTATATTTAATTTATGTGTAGTAACATATTCAATTTGTATTAATGACAAAATTTAAAGTAACAATATTTTTTTTTAATCAATACTAACAAAATGAACAACTTAAATACTAATTCAGAGTCAAGTAAGACGGTTTATACATTTGTAAATTAAATATTATTAACACTTATTGTTATCTCAGTCTTCAGAACTTGCAATAGGGCAAGAATTTTCTACTCAAATAGTTAGAAAATGTCATACATATTTATGAAACAACACAGTACAACTTAACCAAGTTCAGTTCTCGTACAATAGAAAGTCCGAGGAAAAAAGAATTGAAAAGATATACAAATCCACTATTAGAATATGTTGCTCTAAATTATATGCGTGTAAGAGGTGGACAGTATAAGAGCAAAACAACTAGTGTTCAGCCACAACAAAAGTATAACTCAAATAATATTTATAATTTACAAATTTTAAATAACTTAAATTTTCTTTCAGTTCTTTTCGTTCAAACAGTCCGGTTTATTTAACTGTAAGATTAAATGAAAGTGGCAATAAATTAATAATAAAATCCTTTATAACTGAACATAATGATTTGCAGTAAGGTAATATTTTTTAAGTATCATACTATAACGAAATATGTAGAGTGATTCCATCAACAAATATTTGTCAGTCACCTAATACTATGGAGGAATGTAATTAAGTCAGCTAATGAAGTCGCTACTACTGCAAATAAAAAACGGATTATTAATCAACATGAGAAGTTTCATCATGCACATGTCAAAGCTAAACATTTGGCTTCTTTGGGGTAGTTAAAAATTATTAAAATACATTTCCGATGTTTGGGAAAGAGAGGAAGAAATTGAACTAATCCAAATAGGTTTGACCTTTTAAATGTATATTTTACTCTAAATTATATATTATTATTAATTAATTATTAATTATATAAATAGACAGTTTTTTAAATAAAAGTAAAAATACAATTCAAATTGGAAAAAAATAATCCTGATGAAATCCTTGTGGAATCCGATCAACATCCTACAATAGTCGAGTAACCGATACTACTATCTAGGATACTAAAAAGAGACCGTTTAAAAGGTGATTTTCAATTTTTGGTTGTATAATATCACTAATAATTTAGTTAATCAAATTACAATAATTATAGGTAACAATTTAACAGCAATTGGCGTTCCAAAAAAAAGAAAAATTAATTCATTAAAGTTGGTTTCTTTTCAAAACCTTCCTTTGGCGATGCAACAATATGAAATGTTGAATTAGATTGTAGGAATAGACTTGGTTATGATTGCAATTAAAACAAATTATCACATTAACGAAGGTGATATTGAATGTACACCTGAAACTGTATCAAATGCAATCACAGATGACACTATAGTAGTTACAACAATCAAACAATTTTTCACAACAGATGGTTGAGCTGCTGTCGAACAGATTATAATCCAAAAAAACAACATTCCACATGGATTTGTCCGGTGTGTACAAAAGATGCTGGAACAAAATCCAATTGCTGCAACAGATGTCTAGAATGGTCTCATTTTACATGTGTCAAAGTAAATAAGAATCTCAAAGCAAAACGGTGGTTTTGCAATGGCTGTAGAATGAATTTTATCAACGATTACCTTTAGAAACATAATTGTAAAACCAATACATTCCTAGTTTCACTCAGAATCTAAAACTTAACAAAAATAACGAAAATATATCCAATTATAACAAATATTACCCAAAATTATGACGAGATTTGTTCAACCAAATACTTTTAAGTTAGGTTAAGTGTTGTATGAAATTGTATTACCGTGTGTTAATTGTATGTAATTTGAAAAAAAATTATGTAATAAAATATTAATTTACACAATAGTTCACACCACGAATTAAGATAATATACAGGTTACACGACGAGCATTTATCAGTTGTTGTGAACCGTCTTCGTTCTTGATTTGACCGGTAGCGCTTGAAGGTAGCAGTGGCAAGTTTTTTTTACTAATAACGTGTTATCAATTATCGATAAAATCGTAATGTGGAATTTGGAATTTATAAAAACTATACAATACTTTTATTGTATTTTTCAACCCAAGAAATATTTATAAGTAGTATTCTGATACAAAATAATAAATGATACATTATGTATATTGTAGGTATTAATATTATTATAAATTAATTATTAACTAATTTGGGAATTAAATATTTTATATAACAGGTGCCAGGCCTGGGGGATGAGCTTAAATATTAACAAATGCTACTCGATGTGCTTCTATAGGTCTCGTGAGCACATTTATTTTACTTATTGCATAAACAATTTTGAACTAAATTCAGTCATTTCCATTAAAGATTTAGGTGTAACCTTAACCCACAATTTAAATTTTCTGGAGCATATAGAATGTATATTAAAAAAATCACTTTGTGTGATAGGCTTTGTTAAACGTCATTCGTCTGATTTTAAAGATTTTAATTCACTTAAGTTGCTTTTTTGCGCTTTAGTTAGATCGATCCCAGAGTGTGGATCTCCTATTTGGAGTCCCTATATTAATTCCAACATTCAGATTGTCGAAGGGATTCAGAACTGATTTGTCAGGTTCACAGCATATAAATTCAACTTAACTATTAACCGGCATGACAGACGGGATTTTGCTGATATTTATTTTTTATATAAATTAATCAATAATCACATCGATGCCCCATGCCTGTTAAAACACATTCCATTCAACATCCCAGCATATGATAATCGAACCCCACGTTCTACTTACCATCGCACAGCACACATTATTTAAAAAAACCATTGTTAGAGCCGTGGCTTTGTGCAATAAACTTGCACCTAATGTTAATTATTTCCTTACTCCGTTAATCTCAATTCTTAAAATATACTTAACTAACAATATTTAATATTATACTTTTACAATCGTTTTAGTTTATATTTTAGCCTAAAATTATCAAGATTTTATGTTATCGTATCTATTTCCATATAAATTTATTGTAATGGTTTATCACTATTTACTTGTACTATTGGGCAATTTGCCGGTTTTATTCATTTGAATAAACAATTATTATTGTTATTAACTTAAAATAAATCTACATTATTTAACAGCATAAAATATATCAATACATTGCAAATTACCCTGATAAATAGTACGCTACACACTCAAAAGTAGCATTGTCATTAAAATTATGTTCCTGAAAGATGGCATCAATATCTTATTGACCATCTTCTATGATAGTGTCTACATGGGCTTTTAATTTTAAAATTTTTTTCTCTCTTATTTCTATAGTAATTTCTGCCATCGCTTCTTTTAAATCAGACATACTTATTAAGTGTACATATTCTGAATCTAAATAAAGAAAATGATTTTCTATTATACGAAATTGATGTAATCATTTCAAAATGTACGTTATTAAAATTATTATTTCTAGTGTAAATATCATCAGATAGTGTACAATTTCCAGTTTTAGTTGGCTTAATCAAAGAGTATACTGAAAGTAATCTGAAAAGTTGTAAGAAAGTCGTAAAGTCGGACATGAAGGGTGATCGTTAGGACCAGCGGACTGTCTTATGATTCCAAAAAACTTCTAAAATATATGTAACATAAGTTATATTATAAAAAATTATACGCAAACATTTTCAGAAAAATAAAAACTTCTAACGAATCTTGATTAAATTTAAAAGAAAGGACATACTGAAACTGAACAAGAACTGTAGAAGTTCATGTCACGCCATATCAAACCTGGGTTTCCTGGGCGGCCGGTACTATCATCGCACTGTTTAAAAATAAATCATATAACCACTGAAACGTTTATATCTATATGTTAAAATATTTTGCGTTCGCTGGATGCCCCATTGCCATTATTTCGTCTCGTGAAATCTTGACGCATTCATGTGCAGCCCAAATCATAATATAAATACAAATCAATATTTGTTTTTTGAAGTTGATATCTTTTTCTATAACTTTCCTAAACCAAGGATCAAAAAGTTTTAAATTTTCATATAGTATTCCGGAAATCGGATGCCCCCCCCCCAAACATCTGCTGCCCGAGGCAAGTGTCCTTAAAACCTTCCGTTGAATCGGGCCCTGAACGAAATTAAAAATCAACGCGACTGTTTGAAAGCTATTTGAAAGTTACTCGACATGTCAGTGTCTTTCGAGTAGTTGGTGAGTAACTTTTGTGTTTTTAATTTGTATTTCTCTAGTTTATTACCACCAATATTGTTTTTTTTAAATAATTTATTTAAAATAGCAAATGGACAGGAAAAAAATTTCAATTTTGTAAAATTTATAGAAAGCCGGATTGTCTGTATTATATAATATCGTCTAGTTATACACGGCAAGATCAAAAAAAAAAAGTGGGGAATCACATGTGTAATGAATAACAAGAATGAGTCCATATTTTTTTGTCGTTTTTGTCAGGGCTTTTGCATTGATATTTTTAAGTGAATTTTCCATTTTATTCAGTGTTGTTTGAATTTAGAATGATTTGTTTACTGCCATTTTCAAAATCTTTACGTAAGTATAATTGAAACTCTGCAGTTGGTATTTTTCTTTGGTAAATGTTCTTTTATAGTGGAAAATAATCAATAAAATGCTAACTTATAAGATTGTGGTTGTAAAAAGGTACACAAATTCTTATTTTCTTGAAAAATTAGATGAAATATGAAATCCAACAGATTTAAATCAATTACTTTTAACGAATTATATAAATCACACAAATTTTGACTGTAGATGGAAAAAAAATACATTGGCTATAAAGCGAAGAAAATGCTCTTGTTACCCAAGTTTTTACCAAGAAGCATAATGTACTTTGTAATAGACACCTAAAATTGGAGATTCGTAAAAAGTTTATTAAAACTGTTGAATGAAGTATTTTATGTTATGAATGTGCAACATAAAAGACACAGAAAGATAAAAACAAATTACTAGCAAAGGAGATGTGGTTGAGAAGGGAGATGATTAAAGCCAATTGGGTTGAAAGTAAATCAAATGAAAGTTCTAAAAGAAGTCTTATGATTAACATAATGGAAAGAAAAACTGAGTTTATTGGACATCTTATATGTTACAATAATTTTATTAAAATCATTTTTAAAGGAAGAATAATGGGATGAAAAATTATTTTCATGGCAAAAAAGAAGTTTGGCTGCACATCGTACCATTGGTAACATATGGCTAATTTGACAAGATGTTGATGATGAAATAAAAAAAAATATTTCTAAAAAAATTGTGTAAAAAAAAAATGACAGAATATTTAAAAGATTGTAAACTTACCAATTTTACCAAAATTGTTCATAAGATAACTTCATGAAAATATCAAATTTCTAATACTTTTTCTAACAGAATTACAATAAACAAATAAAATCTAAACGGTTATTTCATTAATATTCCAAGTTTTTCCAAAACTACAAGGAAAATCATAATACGGACTTTCATTGCACCAATTAAAAAATGGCTATTCATAGTGTACTTGACAAACTCAACATCAAACAGTTTTTTTTAATTCATTTTTAAGCATAAAACTTCGAGAATATTTGTATTGATATGTTCACATGCCATTAAGTAACTTGTCTGCAGATTTATCTAAAACTTACTTTTGTACTAACAATAATACTTAGACATGAATAATGTTTTGATATATTAATCTAAGCATATCTAGAAAAACATTTTCTTCTTAAAACATACAATTGAAGGTGGAATTTATTTAAAAAAAAACTAAGTTAATATTTTTCACTCAGTTTTTATGAAAATCATAGTGAACATTGAAAAAGATTAATTGTAACATAGTGCATACAGTTGATTTATCATTAATATAATGTAATAAATAATATTGTCAAAAAATAACTAATCATAATATATAAAATGCTTCATATGATATGAAATTCATACACATTTTATTACAATTCAAGTAAAATAATAAATAATATGATACATAATTGGTATTATTTTGAACACAAATAAACATATATCTTGAAACAAATAGAATTTGTATTATTTTGAGTAAAAATTCTATTTATTTTGAAAAGAAAATTGCAGATCTATGTTAATGTTTTCGTTGTATAATATGCACATTTCAAGCACCTCAAGTTTGAGTGATTGAAATATATATGTAAAAAAAGGAAATTACATTAATAAACATTCAATAAAATATTTTATAATGAATATTTTCAAAAAGGAAATATAAGTTATATGGAAAAAACACAGAACTCTTAAAATTAAAATAGTTTGTTCGTATTATTGTTTCTTGGAAGTTATAAATACACTTTATAATTGATCATAAATTGGCAATTTGTTCGCTTTCATCTTCCCTCCTCGATTATCATAGTCTTTTACCCTGTATATACGTACAAGCCAATGTTCTGTTGTGTATGCTTCATCCACTACATGCAATGTAACATTTTTTACACCAATCTCTGCATTACGAACACGATCATAACCAGCTGGTTTACCTATATATTTTAATAAAAAAATAAATAAAAAAAAGAGGTGATAATGAGGATGGGTGCAGCCACTGTTGTAGGTGGGTAGTGGGGAAGGTAGGACACAAAAGGTTATTTCATGTATATCTGTAAGCAATGATAAACCATTGCTGACAAAAGACGATTCTGAGCGCAGTTCGGTAATATATAATTTGAAATTCCTTAATTTTTGTTAATTTTAATTAATAATTCAACAAAGAAGTCTCTTGTAGTTTTTCAATTGGAACCATATTTGTGCTAGAAAATGTGGTAAGTATCTAATACTTATTTAAAATAACAAAATTGTGAAAAAATCTTATTATATTCCCTGGTTAATTGTTTTTATTTTAAATACCTTTTCAAAAATCAAAAAAATGATTTATGTACTTACCAAGTAGATAAAATTGACTTTCAGAAAAGGTGCTACACTATACTTATACATCGGCACAAGTTTAATAGGAAAAAACCTGTTCACAGACTAGAAAAATAATAAATAAACAGCATTGTAAAACCAATAGCTCTCCCGCTACGCTCAGAATTTAAAATAAATATTACTGGTACTAAATAGAACAGATGGGTGTATCATTATTGTGGCAAACAATTCAGAATGAGGTTCAGTTATACATGTTTTAAAACATTATAATTTTTAAGATTTTCGTAAAAAATATGATCATAAAACAAATATAAAAAAATTACTTTATGTTCAACTTTTTTTTTAACTATGGAGACAACTGATAATGACCATTATGTTAAATTGTCAAACATTTCGGCCTGAACAAACAATTTTATTCACATATTTGTCAAAAGTTTATAAAAAGCTCAACAAATTGTCAGAATGTTTTGAAATTTTATCACAGATTAATATTATAAGTATATATTCTGTGAAAACGTCAGGTTTCTATGATTATTTCTAACCAAACATTAAAAAAAAAATCTAAAAAAATAATTATAAACTTCTTCCACTTTTCACAAGTTTCCGAAATATTAATAAAATTACGCGGAAAATTAAATAAGTGACTTTCTTACTCACTAATAATGTTACTCATGTAAAGATTTGTAAGATTCACTAGACTTAATTTAAAAAATTAATGTTAATATAAGTAATAATGAATAGAAAAATTATAATTATTATTATAATTTATAATTATTTTAACGAAAGTTTTAAAATTAGATGATCAATAATATGAGATATATATTTAGTACCTATTTTACATTCTAATAAATGGAAAAAATTACCTCCTTCAGAAAAGACTTCACCAAATCTATAGTAACACATTTTATACATTAATGAGTTTTTCAATTTTTTTGATCCTTCTTTATCTACACGGAATTCTCCACTCGGTGAATAGTAATCCCCTTCTTTAATATGATTACCTTTTTCAGTTGATCCTCCAATTCGTACCATCCATAAAAATTTATTTATATCTAGAAAAATATTCTATGATTTAAAAAATATAATTAAAATATAATTAATAATATTGCATAGTGCATTCATATGCATAGTCATTTAAGTGTTACCTTATATAACTAAAACAAACTTAAGTGTCACCTAAACACATTCCCATAAAATTAATTGAGTTACAGTTATTTATAAGGTTAAATTGAACCATAACAATTTGGTAACCCATAACACACTGTCTATGCATATGAATAGATATATTTTTAATTTACCATCTGACGAATAACCAACAACACCACCAAAAATTACAAGTACATAGTTAACATCTAGTTCTCTCATTATTTCATAAGCTTCGTCTTCACCAGATGACATTGCTTGACCTACTCTTGAAATGTGAGTATTATTCCAAGTATTATTATCCACTAAAATTGTTCTATTAGCCATAGCAGTAATCTGGTAACCATAATCCCACCATGACATTACTCGTGCATCCTAAATATTATATATTTAAATTAATTCAAAAAATAAATATAATAAAATTATTATTTTTTAAAATCACTTCTGCTGTATTCATGCGCAACCAATAATATGCTTCTCTAAAATCATCAAAAATAACTTGAGACCCATCATGAGAACGAGCTGATAATACAATACTGGGTGAACTGTATGCCTCAGATGTAACCCAAGTGCAATGGAACACATATGAAATTAACATAAAAGTTAGCATTGATACAAATACTGCAGCGATCTACACATAAGACATAAAAATATTATCTAATATTTTTTCAGAACATAAAGTAATTTTTAATAAAATTATTATCTAATATTTTTTAAATCAACAATTAACTTACTTCGCTTTTCATCGATTTACTAGTTTCGTTTTTCTTTATTTTTTTTTCTGGGACTTTCGATGAACCCTCTAAATACTGTGTCATGTAAGTAGATAACATGGAAGAAGCACCAATACCAGATAAAACACACATAACCGGAGCAAGTACTAACATTAAACGTACCATCACACCCTAATTAAATACAAATTATTAAAATAAAGCACAATAAATTAAATTTATATGTTCTTACGGCAAAGTAGATGCTGGTAACTCCATAAAGTATAACAAATATATTGGCATCGGTAAGTTTCGAGAAACAAAAGTATAAACCAACAGGAAACAAGAACACCTGGATGTGTAAGTCAAAATAAAAAGAAGACCAAGACGTGGGTTGGTGCTCAGAAACAGATGCAATGATTGGTATATGATTTTTAGCATAAGATGGATCCAACAATGTATAAAAACGGCCAGTCCATGGAGCAATTTTTCCTTTACAATATATATTATTAAATTCAATAAATATATCACCTTTTAAATGCAGATATATTCATTATAGTGAATTTAGTATATTTTATTCTTACCAGTTACTGTGAGCAAAGTACCAACAGCAATTACAACACCTCCAATTAAATATATGATAAATTGAAACAATGTTTGAAAATCATCTCCTACGACTTTTGTTCGCATATAATTTATTCCACCAAGTATTTGACATAAACCAAATACACCTAAAGCCTGCAGAGAAAATTAATAACTGTATAAAAGTTTTAATATGCAATTAATCATAAATATTCATACCATCATATGTTCAGAAGTTTGGACTGGTTGGAATCCAACAAATGATATTTGCATGGACAGTATAGTACCAATACAATACACAGTACTGTACGCCACATATATTCTATGTGAAAAACGACCGGTAACCATCAAAACAAATACATGCATGGGTATTAAATTGATTAAAAATACATAACCACCCCAAGATGAAACCTAAAAATAAAATATTAATGTTCAAATACTATAATTGTATAATGTGTATCATATAATAGCAATTATAATATTCAATAAAACTTTCATATAATGGTCACTGAAGGAACTGTAAATAATGACCGCTATTTAGAGGTGGTCCTAAGAGGCAAAATACTTGATGGAATATAAAACAAATGACTGTTTAATGAAGTTAGGTAATTAAGAATGTATTTTTTTATTTAAAATAGAAATATTCCTGTGGACTTAATGATACATTAATATCCATATTCTTAAATAATAACTAAAGACTTGATATTTTTATTAGGTATTTTAATACCTATAGAAACAAGTTATAAAACTGAATCAAGTAAACAAAATTGCATGTTATAAGGTTTTTGCATTGAAATTCATATTTTTTTTCGATTTGTCTTATTTGTTTTAATCTGTCATTACAATTATACATATATTGTTTATAATATGTGTTACTATATCATTTTTACTGGACTTTTAAATTTAAATATAATACAGTGCAATTAATATAGGAATAATTAATGACTGACACACACGTGTCTATGGCAAATGCAGTCTAGGTACAGTCTATTTGTTGCAGCCATAACTAATACACACTAGTCCTTTTTTGACAAACACCAAATATTTTAAATATTATTTAATTTACAAAGGTTAGCAGTCATTTTACTAAAATAAAGTGTTAGATTGAAAAATATCCAGAACTTAAATCAGATGGTTAAATGATTTTTTGATTGTTGTGCATTAAATCCATTGGTTGTGAAAGTAAATCACAAGTTGATGCACACTGTAATATTCGAGTATGTACATTCACACTGATTTTCTCTTTAATATCAGGATATAGCTAATGTTTCCATACTCTAGTCAATAATTATTAACAATTTGTTTTGTCTTGTTTTTAATTTTATATTAACTGGACATCAACAATTGACTGTTGTTAAAAAGAATTAGTGTAAACCAGTACAAATGTTATTATCTAAAAGCATCTCAGCCATGATTAATTGAAACAAATGTGCTAAGCCTTAGTAGTCACAGATATTCCTTTCAATAAACTTCAATCAACACTGTTTAAGAATTTTTTACAAATCAGTAATAGTTAATAGTTAATCAGTATATACCGGATGAAAGTACTTAACAAAAAAATATGTTTTGAATCTACTCTTACAGAAATACAGGAAAAATGAATTGACAATTTCATTTACATTATGATTTATGGTAGACAAAATAACTTATTCTAGAGGGCTGTAAACGTGTACTTAAATTGTTGGGATCTTACATTCGAATATTATATCTACTGCATTTCTGATTTCTTGTTAAGAATTGGAAAAAACAAACTAGCTATGAAATAGTTTTTTGATTTGTGAATGATAGTTTAACGGAATTTTTTAATTCAATTTAAGACAAAATTTTGCTATTTATCAGCGATGCTGCACTATATATGATGAAACTGGGGCATTAAAAATATTTCATTTGACTATGATTCATATAACTTGTGCTGCACATGGATTAAACCGAAAAACTTATGAGATACTTTCTCTGGTATAAATAAACTAGTAAATAATGATTTTAAAAGCTCTGTGTCATATAACTACTTATATTAATTGTATGGACTGTCGCCTACCTCCAGATCCTATAATAACAAGGTGGGAAACATGGTTAGAAACCAATTTGTTTGATTCAGACCATTTTAGTAAATTTAAAGAATTTGTATCAAATCTAGAAGATTCCTAATCTATTAAAATAGTGAAAATAATTTTTTAACTTACATCTATTAAATCTAATTTAGCATTTATTTGCTTAGATTTGTGCAATTCTAGGGTTAAGCTATTGTGGCGGCAATGGGAATTTATGGTTGCTTTTAATGTTGCTTCTTAAGATATTAAATTCATATAATTTATACTTATAGAAACAGATATTTTAATGGTTCTTGAAATCAATAATTATTTTCCGAAATTCACTTTTCCCCAGGAAAAAAAAAATCTTATTTTAAATGTTTTCAGATTTTATATTCATAAAAAAATCAATATGATTATTATAAGTTCCTGATAAATATTTCATCCTAATAATTTTTTTCCTACTTTTGTTGCACCTACCTATAGTTGTTGAATTAAGTGTGAAAAACTACAAAACTACCCTCTTTAATCATTTTAAAACCCTCTTGTGGCACAGCAAGGGAGTGAGTCATCATGACAAATTTCACACTGATTACTTTTATATGGCAATGAAATAGGAGAGTCCTGCATCAAAAATATTATATTTATTTTTCTTCTCCTATAACCACCATACAAACTCGTGTTTTTACAACTAAAAAATGTTAACATTTTAATAATATGTTGTGACTCAAAATATATAAAACAACTCAAGTTTTGTAAGTTTTTAGATGTTAACTGCACAAAAATCTGGTCTTAAATAATAACTAGGTATTTATATATTTGTAAGTATAATATTATTTTTATTGAATTATCTAACAGTCTACTAAATTTTTTAAATAAAAAAGCTCTTAAAATCTAAGAAGTAGTTTTCCAACTGTATCAAATCTAAATAAAACAAACACTTTTAATATAGTCATTCGATTAATATAAATAAAGATTTCTAGAAACTATGGTTGTTCTCTAACACAGTAATTATGATTAAGAAAAAAAAAAAATTTACCAAAAATAAATATCACCCGAGTAATTTTGTTTTTAAAAAGTAATCATGCATTCATCCATAAGTAAAATAAAATACTAAGGACAAAAAGCACAAATTATTTAAAAATAAATAATGGTATGTTATAACATTAACCCGAATATCATAAACACAATTTCTCTTATACTAGACATACCGCAACCCCTACTAAGATCAAATGTAACGTGAAATACACATGATAAGTCAATAAATGTAAATTTGTATAATATAAACATATTATCTTACCATATAAAAGTATGCAAGTGCAGTAAATGCAGACCATAGTATACTACCAGTTTTTACAGATTTGATCCATGCATAATAAGTCAAAAGCATACAAAAAATGGCAATAGCTGAAAAAAAAAATATTAGAACAATTTTAATTTTTACTATTTTCAGTATAAAAATATCTTACCTTCATTATCATATGACCCAGCAACTGAACGTGATATGTATCCTGGAACAATGGCTATCATGGCAGCTGCAAAAAGACCAGCTCGAGTATCTTTTAACTCTTTGGTCAAAAGGAATGTAACTATAGTGGTAAAACTGGAAAACAAAGGAGCTAAAAATACACATATATTTCGAATTTCTAAAGTTATGTTGATGAAATGAAGAATGTTGTAAAGAACAGTAGATGTTATCATTAATCCTGGATAAATTGTGCCTGGAAAACAAAATGGATTATAAATCCATAATTAGTATCAAAAATCATAATTATTTAAAAATTAAATATATTACCTCCAATTATTCTGCCAAGTGGATACCATGCCCGATCATCAAACCAGTTATGAAATTTATAAAATCCTTCTTCAGCCAGATACTGTGTAGTACGGTAGTTGAAATATGGATCAAATTCATGAATAACACTTTCAAACCGAAGTACAGAAAAAAGTCTTGTTGCAAAAGCTAAATATATTTTTGATTATTAGGTACAATAAATTATTTTAATATTTAAAATAAAAATAAATTTACTCACATAGTATTGCTGCAGTAGTCAGAATACTCATTTTTAAAAACGATTCTTGCTTTTCACTAGACATACCAAACAGCAATGGCTTATATAATGTAGAAGAACCCATTTTTAATTGGAATCTAAGATGGAAAAAAAAGTATAACACCTAAAAAACTAGTTATAGATTTTGTGTGGAATGAAAAGTTAAACCATTTTAAAGATTCAAAAAAGTACACAACCGTTGTATGATAATAAACTAATATCTTAGTATAATAAGTAGTTTATATTTCTCGCCATATGTGTTAAAACAGAACCCAGACCAACGATACCAAATATGGATTATAGGTTTGAGAAAAACAAAAACATAAGGCTGTACTTGAACTGTTTGTTTTTATTTTATCAATAGGTAGAAAGGGTTTATTTCTCCTAACTACCCAATTTAAATTTACGACTCCAAACATTCCGAAATTGTTATTAAGAATTCTATTAAATTGTTGATACTAATAACATCTCAAATTCAAATTGAATTACGAAAACAATAACAATAACATAGAAATATCAATACTAGATATCAAATAAATAAACTGTTTCGTAAATATTTCAATAAAACAAATATTTTCCGGTATAAGATATTGCTTAGTATTGATCGCGAATGTTAAAAATGATAATAACTGTATACTCACGATTATTTCGTTTCAATGGCGCCTTCAAATTTGGCCGGCGTTTTCCGCCGGTTAATCAAGTGTAATAATATTGTTTATTTAATAATAGGAATGTAAATTACAGCTTAAATGCATATTAAATCATAACATTAAAAATAATTACTACAAAAAGTACAAAAAGACAATCCCCTACACATGGAAATTAAGAGATTGAGGACATTTTCTCAAAATTCGATAAATTTCCGAAGCCGAGAAGTCCACCAGGGGAACCAGCGAAGCGGCCGATAGAGATATTGTTATTATGCATATTATATCAATATCCAGTAGAAAACATTCACGTAACCAGCCAAAGAGATTAGACATCGTCTATGGAAATCGGCGTTAACCACGATTGTAGATAGTACTATCTACAGCCAATCTACACTGCAATAACAATAAATGCCATGCAAATACCATAGAGTATAATTACGCCAACATAAAACATTGAAGACCAGAAAGGAATGTTATTACCACAGATATAGATAAAAAACTAACTTGCTAACTAGTGGTAACAGCAGATGCCAAAAAAAGCCATGTCCGTTGTAGGCTCTGCAGTGTTATCATAACTACGCGATGCCTAATCAATCATTTGGCGGGGGGGGGATATTTCAAATCAAATCGTACATATTACCACAGATATGGGTAATAAACTAAATTATTAAAAACTTATTATGCATAAAAACATTATTATAATGAAAAATAAATTATACACGTAACTCATTAATACAAATTATTGTGCATAAAAATAAGATTATTTATAATTGTTAATTAATAATAAGCAATATTTGATAGTAACATGTAAAAAAAAAAAAACAAATCTGATTTAAATATGATCTAAAAATAAATTATATCCAATACCCTTACAGAAAAGAAAAATAAAAGAAACAAATGAGCATATGTATTTTAAATTTTATAATGTTTTAACCTTGTGTCTTGACTTTTGTTTGCAAAAGTGTAAGTAGTGTAAGTAAAATGTTCCTAACTTGCTGTGTGCTTGGATGTTCTAATAGTTATGGTCGTGATAAGGTGGTTTTTTTCAAGTATGTATAGTATATGTATCAGTAGTTTTTAACATGGTCGTCTATACATATAATTTTACTGCTGTGTAAAAATTATTTTTGTATAGATTTTCAAATAATAATGCAGTTTAAAAAAAATGGATAGACAGCTGCTATAAAAAGACAAAATTTTATTCCAACATATCACAGGATGTGTAATATTCATTTCACTGACAATGATTTTGTACAATGGCCAGATATTATAAATAATAAATATAATATAATATATAAATAATTACATTAAATATTATTGAAAATATTTCTGAGTTCATGAATTACGATAAAATGTATCTGTGTATAATCACAACGATATAAAAAATTATAAAATACCATAGCCTTCAACCAATATGGCGGAAAAGCGGAATCGCCCGGCCCGCTTGTGAATTTATACTATATATATAAAAAAAAAAAAAAATGTTAATTTCGCAATAAGACCTACAATAATTTTAAAAGTTGCACTAGAGTTATATATATTTCAATATTGTACACTTTGTTGAATCGTGAGGACCAAGACCGGGTTCTTATATCGTTTTCGAATAACTGTATTACGCCGTTTATTTTCACATTATCTATTATTGTCAGTATTTTTAGTACGTCACACACGAGCTTCTTACTCAACGTAGCCACGGGCAGTAGGATGGAATATCCCGTTTCCCGGACCTAATCGTTGTCCCATCCAACAAGTATTAAATGTGTACATGCAGTGGTAAGTTATGGTTTAGTGGGTCTTCCCTAAAATTTGATTCGCGCCACCTGATGATTTCGTCTGACTACGGGCCTGGTCAAACAATAAAAAATAATACTGTTCTTAACTTCGCGGCGAATACGGGTGTTTACGAGCGTTTTTAAAATAACAATAGTCGTACTCGGAAAGTGTTTAAAAGTTTTAAATCTAACGTCGATATTAATAATATTATAATCGAATCACAAAATATTGTACATGGAATGGTAATAACAAGTTTTAAAAGGTGAGTCCGTGGATTATCTGTTCCAGGATATTCGTGTATAAAGGCTTTTGATGCTATTGGTCACATTTACACAGGGCACCCTAATAATACTGAATGTTTTCATTTCCGTTTACTACTTCATCACATTAAAGGACTCACGTCATTTTAGATTCTGAGTAGTTACAATGATGTTTATTTTTTTTTCTATGATCTACCAGCAATTTTGTCCGATTTACAATTATGAATCTTTTTCTAAAAGGAAATCTGACTGGGATGGTACTTTAAGGAGGTTATTTTTTGATTTTCCCAGTAGTTTTCCAAATAAATGGGAAGAACGTAGAAAAAAAAATAAGTACAATATTAAACAAAAATTATGAAAGAAAATATATAAAGCATATGTAATTATTTTAACATAATATGATATATATTATTGACAAAGCAACACTAGCCACCGAACTCCGTTTAGAATCGTTTTTTCATTAAGCAACAATAAACCATTGCTTACAGATATACATTAAATTTTCCGTCTACTACCTTTCAACTTCTCACTAGTGGCTGCACCCGTCCCTATTTATACCCTAAGACAGCTTTTTAAGTTCACATTCATAATTTATTATAATTTTTAATCTGTTTGTAAATTAAGATTATTAGCATTATAATAAATGATAATACATTACAAGGGTTCGCCTCCAAAATAGTGAAAATAAAAAATGGAACGCAAAATATTGAATAGAAAATAGCGAATAAAAAATGATAGAAAATATATAAAAATTAAAATTAAAATATATGATAAAAATTATTATTTATGTCGTACGTATTTACTAATTTTTGAATCCGTTCAGCCGAATCCCTGAACTTTTTTTCACTATTTTATATTATTCATTCCAGATCGAGACTATTCGTATTTAATTTCCTCCAAATTCTGTTGTCTTTGGAAGCATTCAATACATTTCTGTTATATACATTATACTGCCCGTAATCTTGAATTGGATCCTAAATATTTTATTAAGAAAAAAATGCTTAAAATGATTTCCTTCATAATATAATACGAGTTTATTACATCTTTGGCGCGTATAAAATATTTAGTAGACGAAAGCTAAAAAAAAAATCATGAAATGTTTGTACAAAACTTAAAATTATAGACTTTCGCTTATATCTGTCTTCGCTCATTTCGTTTTCTCTATTGTGCTTTCGCGCATTTGCGTTTGTTCTTTTGCTTTCGCCCTATTTTCGGGATACCCATTACAAGAAGCATCATTATCAAACATGTCTTGTACAATAACATTATAATACATTGTCAACTAACTGACCCATTCAAATTATGAATCGTATAAATCTTTTAGCTAATGATGTTTAATATAAAGAGAAAAATTGGTAGATCCAGATGCTCAATTTAATGATTAAATTTACAACCAAACTTTAACTCTAATATAATACAAATTGATAGCTTGAGATGGAAACGACCTCAAACATAGCAAATTTAAATAGTTCTATATATTATTATGAAAAAGAACAAAATGAAAATGCATTATTAATTGAAAATCAACATAATAATTAATTAAAAATATATTTATAATACAATTTTGAAGAATAATAATTCCTAAACCGGTGGTTTATATTTTTTAGATGCACCAGGAAAAACATAAGTACTAAATTTAATTAAAAATGAAAAATTAGAGTTCCTATATAAAAAGTAAAGACTGGAGCATGAAAAAAAGTTAATAGAAGAATTTACTTCAAATAGTTAATTATTAATAACAATTTATTATTAAATAATATTTTTTTTTCTTTATATAATTGTGTAATTATAAACTTATTGTTAAATCAGCACTAAATAACGCTTATAAATACGTAATATGTACTATGTGATTTAAATTATTACAAGAAATGTGTTGTGGTTTTAACAATATTTTCCAAAAACAGACTTACAATAAAAATTAAAAAAAAAAAATTAAGATGTAAGCATTTTTATTTTCAGTGTTTCAAAGTATTCATATAAATATACGAACAAAAAAAAATATGTATTGAAGTAAAATTACGTTACATTAATATATCTTATTATAACCTTTTAACACAAATACTCAATTTTAATTAAGTAGTATAAAGTATCATTTACAAGAAATAAATATCAGTTTACAGTACAATGAGTTACTTATACCCTTTCTAAATAAATGGATACAAATTAGTACAATTAGTACAGTATAATCAATAAATAAGTTGAAAATTAATTTAATTTTACTTTTGAAAAAATGATTATAATTACTGTGAAAAAAAATTTGAATTATTGTTTTTGTAGTATAAAATATTAAAAAAAAAAAAATGTATAGAATTACACAACTGCTTGGTATTATTTAAATAAGACAATTTGTAGTTTGATGCAATGCACTAGTAAGAGTAAATTGATTGACACAGGAGTCTTAATTCTACATTTTCTTGTGGATTGTTTTTCAGTATTTTAAACACAAATATTTTTAATTTTTTAAAGTTATACAATTTATAAAAATATATAATCAGAATTTGTGTTCATTTTCAATAATAATTGTGTAATTATTGGCTATTAGTGTAACCATATAAAATACATTAATACTCCAAAATATTGACAAACATATTTCAATAATTAAATAACTTACATATTGAATATTACTTATTCTGTTATAAGAGAAACGTACAGTTAAAATCATATTATTTGGAAAAATGCCAAGAAAAAGATAAAAAAAAAAAAACGTCCTAGGATAAAGGATAAAAATTTTAGTAAAAAAATTACTTTATTTTATTACTTTCGGAAAATTTAGCTATTCTGTAGTTTATTTTTTTGAAAATTTGAATGTATCACATTCGATGAATTGTTTTTAAATAATTTTGTTTTAAATTCTACTAATCCTTGTGAAAACCAATGTTATCGCGTGACGCGATGTTATCCCCTAGATAACATCGGTTTTTACACGGAAAAAAAATCAAATTAAAATTGTATAACATAATTTAAAATTATACATTTTATCTTATATGTTGATACATAAATACACAAGAGCCCAAATTTCCCAGTGAGAAATTTAAACTTCCATAAAGTAATAGAAAAATTAAAAGAATAGGAAATCACTCTTCACAAAGCTGAGGGACAAAGAGTAGCTGATCATCAAGGGTACACAAGATGTAACTGCAAAAGTGGTTGTGGCATTAAAAAATGTGCTTGTCATGCAGCTGCAATGTTGTTCACTTCAAAATATCACAGCAGTACTAACTTTAATCAAATTTAAGTAAAATTATGGGGTTGGAAAGCTAAATGAATCATTCTACATATGTACAAGCACGAGGTTAAACAATGTTAAACATTAGGATAATGAGAGTACAACAAAGGTGTTTCACAATTTCTTTATATGGGACCGGGGATAAAACAAAACAAAAAGACGGAGAATGTTCACATGTTGGTGGGACATTATTATAGGTGAGAAGTTGGGAAGGTGGTAGAGAGGAAATTTAACGGATGTCTGTAAGCAACGATAAACCATTGCCAACGAAAAAATGATAATAATAAAAATAAAAAAATTAACACCATTGTAAAATCATAAGCTTATTCGCTCCACTCAGAATCTAAAATAAAGAATTTATAATAATCAGCAAACACAAATTACTTTAATAAGAAAGCAATTATATAGCTAAAATCATCATTAACCAACAAACTTGGTAAATAACGCCATTTACCAGTGAATGATATACATTTGAGTTTAGAGTGCGTTCCTATACAACATTTACCTACACAAGTAATTACAATATAGTCTTTTACTATAATAATAAAAGAAGAGCTCGATTTACATCAACATTTTATCTTTAAAAAACCATGTATAAAAAGCTAATTTGTTTACAATGGTATAGTAGGTACCATAAAAAAAATGTATCATGAACTTTGTATCAAATGTTTGAACATTTTATGTTAGTCAAAAAATGCTACACACATAAAACCTCAACAAATTAAAATAAATACAAGTACCCATAAATAATTAAAAAACCACCAATGTTTTGGAAATTGTACTTATAATTTGCGTCCATAAGTATTTGATAAAAATTGTAGATTTCCATGATTAAATTCAATAAAAAACAAAATCAAATCCATTGTTGCATAAGTATTTCTACCAGAAGACTTGCTCAGATTTTAAAATGTAGTACCTCTTCCGAAAGAAAATCGTTTTTCGATTTTACCAAGAGTTTTCCCAGTAAATGTGAAAATCGGGAAAATTTAGGAAAACTGGGAAAATCGGTACAACATTAAAAAAAATTATATAAAACTTATTTATTTATTTTACTATAAACTGACATACATATTGTTGACAATGCTTTCCTATTAACTGAACTGCGCCCAAAATTGTTTTTTCGTAAGCAATAGTTTATTGTTACTTACATGTATACATTAAATTATCTACAATAAAACTTAACCAAAATGAACATGATAACATCATAAAAAGTAAAATACAGGCTGTCCCTCGAAGAAATACCCCTTGAATATCTCCGGAGAAAATAAAGATAACAACATTTTTTTTTTATTACTCACAGGGAAGAGCAATACAAATATTTATATTTGAATTTTTTTTTTTATTAAAAAAATTAAAAAATTAACTTTATTTTATTATTTTCTGACAATTTTAGGATAACATTTTGTAAAGATTATTTTTTTTGAAAATGTCAATGTATCACACAGTTAAATCAGATGAATAGTTTCTGAGTAACAGCTATTTTAAAATCTACTAATCCATGTGAAAACCGATGTTATCTGATAGGGAATAACCCAATTGTGTTACGCGTGTTTTCTGTCTGAACTTCAAGTCCCTAAACATAAACCATAAACATTGTTAAATGAATTGTAACAAAAAAAAAAAAAAAAATTGAAATTAATACAATTTATGTCAGTAATATTTTTTTAAATTTTCCTAAATTCTCAATTATTATGAAATCTGCTTAGAAAATCAAAAAATTACCTTCCTAAAGTACCAACTAAATAAAGTTCTCTTTTTCATAAACGGTGCTACACTTGGTAAATTGGAGCAAGATCACTGGTAGACCATTTTGTACACAGTATAAAACATTATTGTAAAACCAGCACATTCCTGGATACGCTACGAATCTAAAATTATAAACTGATTTTTCAAATAATAGTGCTTTTTAATCACAATGAAATCTAATCAAATAGTTAATGAAAAATAGAACGATACATTTTTAAATTTTGAGTGGAGTGAGAAATGTATTGGTTTTACAATTTTTTTTTTTTTATATTGTGTATATAAACTATACCAAATATCTTGCTCCAGTGTATCAAGTGTAGCACCTTTTTTGAAAGGGAATTTGATTTAGTTGGTACTTCATGCAGATCATTTTTTGATTTTCCAATTAGTTTTCATAATAATTGGTAAAAATCAGGAAAACTTATGGAAATAATCCTATTATTATTTGGATTTTAGATATTTTTTTATTATTCAGTTAAAAATATTCTTAGAGTCTTTTAATTTAAACAGAAAACTTAAATTTATCTTTACTAGACGTGTTAAAATTGTCAACAAATTGTAGCCATTTTGAGCTATTTATAGACATTTAAATTGTATGAGTTTTTTACGTAGTTTTTATTTGGTAGGATCTCTGTGGATAAAATTGTTAGACCAAACAAAAATGCTTGAAAACTTAACAAATGATTCATTATAACCACTTTGTGGTCAAAAAAAAGAAATTACAATAATGTAGAATTTTTTTAATTAGAATTTTAATATCAAATTTTGACGAAAACCGAAAATATTACAGCCTTCAAAACATGTATAACCGCAAGCGGTGTTCATGAACTCCTCTCAGAATCGTTTTTTGTTAGCAATGATTAATATTAGCATACAAATATGTATTGAAATCCTTTCTATAACCATCCTACCTTTCTAACTTGGATGATTATACACAATTTTTTTTATGAAGACTTGTTTCTAAAAAATCGTTTAAATATTTTTCGGCCGTAGTAAATAAATTCACGAATAAACCAGAAGGCTTTTTGAAAATTTTTTTTATTAATGTCGACACTTTCGAAATGTTTATAAAAAAAAATAAATATTCTTGATCATCGAATACAAAATCGTTACTTTTTAAAGTTATTAATTCATATTTAATGTATTTAAACTGATCTCTAAATTTTTTGACCAATTATTCCGCAAAATACGTATTTGAATAAATTTCCAATGTTATTTTTTATTATTGAAGCATTGCTTGAAATTATCTTCTTCTTTCAAATGGGTCATTCTGGTGGTTCATTTTAATTATTCTAAGATGTGGAAATCGTAGCGTTCTGTAAACTAGGATTAAATAAATTATAGTCAAAATTATTTTCATAACTTGATGAATCTGTGGCTTTCACGAGGTTGTGTTTAGCTTGAGCTTAAAATGAAATTGAAATCGTAATGATGTTCTATAAGTACGAGCAGTCGGAGTTTCTATTAAAACCTCCACGTTGACAAAACACTGAAAAAGCATTTTCTATGATGTCCTGGTTTAAAATATATTTAAAACTTACATTTTTTAAATTTTCATAAATCATGAAAATCACGTTTATGCTCCATATTATAGCGTCGAAATACTGCAGAAAAACTTTACTATAAACTTTTATAGACCGTACTAATTCTAGTTATGTACACAAACTACTCTTTAGTTTTCATTAAATAATAAGGTTTATTTTCATTTAAAGCACAAGAATAAACGGTTGAACTGTATAATGCTTTGGTATGTATAGACAGTCGAATTAACTATTTAATTCTTGAACAAATTAGGCGGTTGCAACGGTAGTTTTAGATTTTATTCGAACTGTAGCAGCTGTAATAATATAGGTCCTTTTTTAAAATAGCAGGTATACCGAACTACTAAAAACTTGGAAGGCAAGTTTACAATTCATTTTTTTTTTTTAAATGGAAATTTAATTTCAATATATGGATCATATGTTTTTCTTAACAGCAATAATTATTAGAACCTTGATCACAAACGAGTATCAGAGTTGAAAACGTTAGCAGCCACTTGTCTACAAAGAAGAGGACAAAATGATTAGAGGCGGAAGGATAAATGGCTGACAAAAAGTGATTTGATAACGGACAACTGAACAAGGTCGAAGAAATGTGCAAGACTACGGAAGCAACCAAATTGAAACTGAGGGAAATGACAGTTACTCAAGAAGTGGACATAGTCAAGAGGATAAGTAAAAAAGTAAGAAATTATAAAAAGGAATTTGATAAAAAAAAAAAAAAATGTTTGAAGTAAAATGTATGATGATGATAAAATACCCAATTATAAAAGATAGAAAATAAATGATAAGAATAATGTAAAGGGAGCTTATGTGTGTAAAAAATGCGGAAAGAAGCATAAACCAAAAGAATGTGTGACCTCTGATAAAATATGTAATACAATGTGAATATGTATAATATATATGTATATACAGGAACACGTTTAAATAATATAGGCACGATGATTAATGGTTATTAATCATTGTAAACGAACAATTGTTTTGAGCGGAATTCAGTTTTTCATTTCCAAATTAAAATTATCAATAAAAAATTCGACTCTTTCTTAATTAATTTTTCTTTTAAAGTACTCGTATAACTTCTATTATATGACGCATCTTACTTCATAGTAAGTTTACTGTACGTTATTGTTATCGCATTTATTTAGATCGAAATGCGTCTGTAAACATCAACCACTAGTGAACCTCTCAATGTATTTTTACAAGAAGCTGATCGTTTACTAAAGAAAACATGTAGACAACTTAAGGATTTTAACAATGATCATTGATAAACTTCTATACGATTACCGATTATCACGAGCATTACAATTAAATTAGGTTAGGGTTTTAAGCTTACGTACAATAAAAGCGTCCGTGAAATTGGTCAATCTGTGCTAAGATGTTTAGGGTTTTTTTTTATTATAGAGTTACATACTATTTATATATAGGAGCAGTGGCGTATTTGGAGTTTTTAATAATTGTAATACACACTAAATATCACGAGAGATTTTTCGGTCTCAAAAAAAAGCTGCACTTATAATTTTTTTCACACAATTTTAAGTTATCCTTATAAACTATAAAGTATATTATAAAAAAAAAATATATATATATACATACACTGTGTTCCACGTGTTCCTATTGCAATTTCAATGGAAATTGCATGTACACCTGTAAGCAACGATAAACAAAACGAATAAACGATTCTGAGCGGAGTTTTGTTGATAGTGTTACTTTGTAAAATAATTACATATGCAATAAACTTTTTCTTTAATAATAGTTGTTTAATATTGTACTTATTTTCTCGTTTTTCCTATGTTTTCTCCAGTTTTTCCAATTTATAACTCCCCAGCAGATTTCCTTTTCAAAAAACTGCTATCATTGTAAATCGGAGCAAAATTGCTGATGGAAAAGTTGTTTGTAAAAAAAAATTAAACATTATTGTAAAACCATAAGCTTCTTCGTTCCACTCAGTATCTAAAATATATATAACCTTTTTTAAGCAATTTCGATCTTCACCCCCTCCCTGCAAACTTATCTATGACATTAACATCGATATCCCTATGAATTATAGCCAAATTTTGTTCTATATCACTACTTTTTTCAGGTAACGCTGATAAAAATACCCAAGAAATTATAAACACAACGGGTATAGATACTCTTTTGTTCTATTACTAATAAGCTACAGCCGTGATTAATAAAATCAAAGCTAAAATATTTCCAATCCGTCCAGGAAAGCTCAATCTGCTAGTGTGTAAAGATCATGTGTTCTAAACGTATATTGTAAACAATAAACAATAATTACATATACAATTTTGAAAACATTGTGTAAATTAGTGTATTATGTTTCCGCGTAGACACCTAAATAAAATACAAATCGCCATTTCGAAATAGTTGACAGGATATTTTTGAAATTTATTATGCACACTACTTATACTTTAGCACGAATTACCTATTTTTTTTTTTTTTTTTAACATAAGTTACTATACATTTATGTTTGGTACACTCATATTTAAATTAATAATGATAACATGTTTAATAATAATAATGTGACGAATTTATGTTTAAATTAAATGTAGGATTAACATAATATATTTCCTTGTAAACCAAATCAGTAACCGTAATTATACACTAGTAACTATAGATGGAAAGATACAATTACGCGGATATAAGTTTTCTAAACATAAGTTTAGAAGCCTAAAAAACTTAATATACGAAATCGGATTAAATTTTAAATTATTTTCGATTTACACGAGTTGTTTATTTTTCATAAATTGCACACATAAATTTTAATTGAAAAAAATAAAAACGTACACTGAAATGGTGGCGGGATAAAATATTAGAAACCCTTCCATAAATCCAATCCTGTACACCAGCGCCGTTGTATTTTAATATGTTAACTATGTTTACAAGCATCTACAAAACTTTATTCTTGACGTGAAAATAATGTGGACTAGTACTCGAAACTTTCGAACTAAAACCATCATCACGCTTGTTTTGCATTGTATATTTTTGTGTCCCTTTCCATTCAGGTGAAATATTAAAACCGTGCTGCGGCGAGAAAGCATATCGGGACGTTCTTTGTTTCTCGAATCAAAGTTTGCATGCGTGTACGCACAAACACACACATACATACGTGCACATCACGAAATACACACATACAACACACCGCAGTGTAATATATCTACTCGAGTAATAATATTCGGACATGTACTGCAGTAGAATAATAATAAAGTATTTTTGCTGAACGATTTTTCAGATTTATCTACGGCATACTCGCGTACACGACCTGAGTTTTAGAATTTTCTATTTTCGGATTCACCATTCATTTGTGTATATTTTATATTCTGAGTGGAGCGAGGAATATATTGGTTTTACAATGTTTATTTTTTTTTCTGTAGACGTTTTTTTCCACCGGCAATATTGCTCCGATTTACATTGATAGCACTTTTGCTAAAAGGAAATCTGACTGGGGAGGTACTTTAGGGGGGTCGTTTTTTGATTTTCACAGAAGTTTTCCCGATAAACGAGAAAAACGAAGAAAAACGTAGGAAAAACAAGAAAATAGATAAAATATTAAAAAAATATTATTAAAGTAAATGTTTAATGCATATGTAATTATTTTACCATAATATGATATATATATATTGTTGACAAAGCAATATTATCAACCGATCTCCGCTCAGAATCGTTTTTTCGTAAGTAATGGTTTATCGTTGCTTACAGATAAACATTTAATTTCCTTTTGTATCCTACCTTCCCGATTTCCCGCCTACAAAAGTGGCTGCACCCGTCCCCGTTATCCAAGGCCGGAATTTTTATTTTTACTTAATACAGCATTTCGGCTTAGAAGGGCAGTCTACCGATATGCACTTGTGTTTGCGTTCACGGTTGGCGGGTGAAATTATATATTTTCTTCAATTTTTCGTTGACATGATGTATTTTTTTTTTTTTTTATGTCCGCGTATTTTTTTCCGATCCGACGTCGCCGTTTGATCGGTTGAAGGATATAACTGCAGGAGCGAGAGCGAGAGCGATAATTTTGCGTCTACGTTACTGTATGCACATATTGTATAATGTATACAATATTATTATTATTATTATCGAAGCGGAAACGCGGAGCGCGGACTGAGAGAGAACCGCGACGGCGTTGGCATGCGGGTGGCATAGCGGTGCGCGCGAATGATGTTTGCGTGTGTATCGCCGTGGCACGCAATTCCGTATTTGCCCGGTAGCGATCGTGCGTCGCGCGGCAACGGCCATAGCGCGACTCACATCGCGGTGGATCCGCTACGCACACGCACACGCACACGCACACGCAAACACACACACACACACACAAACACCCGGCCGCCCGCCCTCCAGCCGTACGGCATCCCTCCGCCGCGGTCTTGGCGGGATTGCCGTAACGCCCCCCTCGACGGCGGACGGCTGTGGCGCGGCGGCGTCGTCGTCGTCGTCGTCGTCGTCGGCGTGTGTATAGGCAGCTATAATATTGTATAGGTGTGACCCGGTTTCGCGCGCGGTGTCGCCGCTGTACGGACGGCGACGCGACGGGACCCGAGGCGGCGGGCAGCGTCTATTGCGCCTGTGTGTCCTAGTTGGCGCGCGGCAACGGCAACGGCCAGAATACGGGACGGCCGCACACGACGCGAGTCCGACGCCCGAACGCCATGCCCGCCGCCGCCGCATCAGCAGCCACCACCGTCGTCGTCGTCGTCGCCGCCGCCGCCGCCGCCGCCGCCGGTAAACGGTCGCCGCAGCGTCTCGTCGTCGTAGGCGTCAGGCGATAAATAACGTTATTACCGAAAACGCCTTTGCGGGTGGTTACTGGCTGCGCGTGACGGCCGGCGGCCGCGGAACGATCTCCGCCGTACACTGCACGATCGCCCGTCGGGGTAAACGGCTCAACGTACGTATGATTTAATATGACAATTATTGCGATGTTAATATTTTTTCCGATGATATTTTATCATAATATTTTGTTACGTTATCTAGCTGTTTAGACACTAGACACCGTTGTCGGATGGGGTGGGGGCGGTGGGGGGGATGAGGTGCGGGGGCTCGGGGGTGGTTATGCGAGCGCGTTCCGTTTTGTTCTCCGGGGCCGTTATCCGCGTACCGTTATCCGAGTACCGTGGTCGCTGTAGTCGCCGCGACAACGGTATCGTTTGCGTCGTCCGCGTACGAAATGTGGCCGCAGATTTAAATGTCTTATTTGTCGACGTTTCGAGCGGTTTCCCCCCAGTTGCACATTTTTTTATTTGTTGACGTAAGTCACATTTTTTTTTTTTTTTTTTGTTCGAATTTTCCGGAGGTATAAGAATCGGTCGTCAACCGACGACGGTTATAATATTTACCGGTTTTCACGAACACGATTACACGCGGGAATAGAGATGATAACCGTTCGTAAACAACGTTTGAGATGAGGATTTGGGGGGACATTAGCGTCCCCGATTTTTTAAATAGACATCCACCAATATTGTTCATGTTTACAATTCACTGCTCATAAACACTACAGTAGTTATAAAAACGTATTAAAATAGGAGTACTGTTAATAAAACAATATTTCGATAGACATTAAACATTTCGATGAGTCAAATGTGCCTCTGAAGTTAACTCGTAGTCGGTATAACATTAATTGTATACAGTTAATATTTGTTAAACTGATTAACAACAACGGTATAAACAAGGCCGTTTAAAATTGGCATTTCTTTTAAAGACGTGACATTACGTTTGTGATTATAATATTGAAAACCGAGGAGGATATTCTTTTTTCAAAATCGGATCATTCTGATAACGAGACATGAGAATACTAACTAATCTTAAATACGATGTTATGATAAATTATTGTGTTTGACCGCACCGCCGTTTTATATTTCATTGGCGGTGGTCGATCTGCAAAAAAAAAAAAATATCGGAGAGGGAAAATATAAGCGTGCGATTTGAACTAATCAGTCTCGGACCTGTCGCTGAAAATTCGCGGGTGCAACTTGCACCTGTCGCGAGAAAACCGCAGGCGCGATTCCACCAAAACATAATTTCCCGATGTGGCGCCGGTCGTATTGCAGGTAAATTTCAAAATTGGTGTAATTATTTGTGCATCATCAGATCAATTTTTTTCGGGGGGAGGGGAGAGGGGTTGCTGATATTTTCGGCGTCTCAAACGGCCACTAATCGACTGTTTATGTCGGCTACACCCGTTTAAAGACGTATAGTCAATTCAGAAATATAAACTAGATGTATGATATTATACGCGGACATTTTTAAAATGCGTTTGTAATTCGTACCATTGCGCAGGTATAGTAAAAAATTATGAACTGTAATTCGCATCGTAATTTAAATAGATTAGTCTTTCGATATAGTACGCACAACAGTTTCGATAGTATATTGTGAGACGTTTTCAACATTATTTAAGTATGGCTAACACAAACAATAATACTCGGTAATCCAAGTATTAAAAATGTAAAACGAAGTAAAGCATAACACAATCATTATACATTAATGGTCAATTTAGTATTAAACGCTCGCGTGTAAATACGGTGAGTCGGTTAAACGTTAGGTCATTTAAAGCGAACAAATTGTACAATTGTTCGTTAAACGAATTAAATTTAAAAAAATAAATATTATATACACCTGTATGAAATTAAAAACCATTCGAGTTGATGTTCCGTTGTTGTCGGATTGAATTGCCGGTTTTATGTTTCTCGGCCGGATGACGATGCAATAAACTGGAAATAATACACAATACATTGTATACTGACGAAACATTCGATGCATTATTGATACCTACAGTGATTTCGTCGCAAATCATTATTATCGATTACCTGCGGCGGTGCAGATTAGATACTATCTTTATTTCGGCGCAAGTGACAGAATCCGCTTTAAATCCCCGCGTAAATGTACACAAGGGTTGTATTTTATTTTTTACACATTTTTAATGGGTTTTTTTATTCGTTTCGACGACAATGCGATCAATAGGAGAGATTACATTTTAAAGACGTTTAAATAGGTACGTCAAGCGATTTCAAGCGATACTACTTCGATCGTTACCAACCAAATCGCAAATTATCCCGAAAATACTTCAGTACAGATGCTTACAAAACTTACACTAATGTATTGAAATGGCTATATAGTGTAATACGAGTTGGTCGAGTAACATTGTTTAAACCGTTTAAAGAGGATTCTTAGTTTCTTAATATACAATTCACATACGTAGCATGTCAATTATATTCGATGCAGTGCGAAGTGATTATAAGTATTCTGAAAACCGATTTTAATTCGGCGCTAAGTGTACACGAGATCGTTTAAAACATTTTTCAGTTTTTAAATTTGAAGCAAAAATGTATACAAATTACGCCGAATTGAAATGGATTTTTTACAATATTGTTGTTGTCGCTTCACTATAACACCGCGACCGGACTGATTAAAAGAAAATGCTACCGGGTCTAATAAATCGCTATGCTGTGTATCCGTAAAAATATCCGTATCCAATTCTCTAAATACATTTTATGAAAAACAACCTATTCTGTTAGGGAATTTTTAGTGGAAGGGGCGGTAGTGAATAAACCGTAGAAACTTAGCGCTCCCTGAACCATCTCGAGTTATATTATATTTGAAATAATTTAGTCTTAAATATGTATTAGGTTTAAATCCTATTGGGCTCAAGTCCAATGTATTGTCAGTTTCTGTTTGCGCCTATGGTTTTACGTTATACCTAACCTGGCAATGAGAATTTAAAAGCCGAATCCATAAAAGCCAGTTTGTATTCAACATAAATGTCGAGCTCGTTTCCTTCTAACTTGGCTGAAATTTACAATTTCAAGATACAATCACCAAATAAACTCTCAGTTGTTGTATTTTAAGCTGTCGGGGTTGGGGGGGGGGTTGGGAGGGGTTATAACTCCTGATTACTCCCTACGCACGCCACTACCTCCTATATTATTCGTTTGTTAAAAAAAAAAAAAAAAAAACTAAAAAACAAATCAAACGACCTAACTATATCTACGCATTCATAGCGAAATAATAGAATTCGTCCGATGGCATGTAGAAGACATTCTATTACTTCTATTTTTTCATTTCCGTACCTTTATATTGTATATATACTTCGAACAATTCTCTGTACTAGTATATATATATGTATATGATAGATTTTGTTAAGGGTGTCGAGGCGTTTTATAGCGCCTATCGGATTTTATTGCTAGGTATTTATCACGCTCTCTTAACCGTATCAAACACAAATTTACACAATCTGTTAAATGTACCGAAAACGGGTCCCCACACACCCTCTTGATACTCGTATATTATTCTACTAAAGTTTCGTTGCAAATTACCTACCGCAGCCAACGGGTAATTATTGTATAATTTTTTTTTTACTCTGCCATAGATTTGCTCAGTGGCGATTGTATCGCAGCGTGAGGGTTTCAAGAACTCTCCTATTATATCCTTGTTTGAAACTTTTCACTATAATCGGTACTGATAATATGTAAACTTTAATGGTTATAGTTGAAACGAATTCTCATTATGAACATTTCTGAGCATGTCACCGTTCAAATCTTACTCTAATTGACTATTCCAATAATTTGTTCATATTTAAAAAATGTAATATAATATTCGCTGATAAAACTATAACAACACGTTTTGGTCAATAGCTATTAACATAAATTGGCGAAAATCACACTCTTGTGATTTTCACAGAGGAGAGGGGCGTTCCACCAAACGACCATCCCCCCCGTTGTCAAGCGTTTTTAATAATAATCATATTATTTTTCATAATATACTATAACTCATATTATGATGTTATAGTGATTTTTTTAAAAGCCAAGGCAGCAGAATATTCATACGAGTGTAGTATATAATGTTCAATATAGTTATGTGTTATAATGATTTCAGTTATATTATTTTGTTATTTTTTCCGTTTGGAGTAAATATTTGATTGCGTTTATTTATTTCGCCTCGTCCAATCAATTGATTTTGTCGAATTATTTTATTTATAGGTTTTAAAAATAAAAGAGTCGACTCACCTAATACCTATTCACAATATATAACTTTCAACTGTAAATAATAATAAGTTATTATTGTTTTTTATTTTAAACAATTTGAAAAGAACGAGTAATACATCGTATCTATAATACAATGTAGGTACGACGATAATAATATAATATAAACGTGAAAAAAAACTATCTCAATACAATCATACTTACTTACCGATTTGAGTCAATTCGTATATGATGGGCTCCATACTATTTTGGGTAGCTATCACTGGCCATTGTAAATTTAAGGAGGTGGGATGGAAAGTAAAGATTGCGAAAAGTCTTCCTTGAATTAACTTAAAATTAAAGAAACGTCCAAAATGTCATACTATTTTTTAGATTCTTAGTGCGGAGATGAATTTTTTTTTTGTTATGATATAAATTTTTTTTTCTGTCTAAACAATTTCTCTACCAGAAAACTTGCTCCGATTTTCAAGTACAGTATATTTTTAAAAGCAAGTGTGTGTATTGGAGAGATACATTTTTGATTTTCTTTTTAAGTTCCCTATAATTGAATAAAACAGTTTCATTATTTTCGAATTTTGTTTTTTTTTTTTTTTGTAATTTGGTTTAACATATTATTTGTATACAGCATGGACCTGCCATTTCCACATAATATTTATATTAGCCGCTTACAGGCGTGGATTAAACATTTCAAACTCGATTTTCGAGCTATTTATAGACATTTAACATTTTTGAATTTTCGTAATTTTATTTGGTTTTATGTGGATAGAATTGGTTTTAGACGAGCAAAAATACTTACAAATTGTACACGAGGTTCATTATAAGTTGTACTAAAGTTAAGGTAATTTAGTAGTGGTTTTTTTTATAAGTGATCCATATTCAAATTTTGACATAAGTAGTACGTATCAATAGATTTCAAAATATGTTTATCGAACTTACTTCGCTCAGAATCGTTTTTGTAAGCAATGATTTATCGTTGAGCATTAATACAAATCGAATAATTCTATGTAGTTTTGGTTTTTTTTTTTAGATATAAAAATAAAATAAATAATTCAATAACATATATTTTTTTCTAAATTGCATACGAATTAATGAATAATATTACATTATTTAATAACTTGTAGTAATTAATAGTTTAAATATTGAATATATTTTTATGATGTCAATGTTCATATTTGCTCGTTTTCATAAACGTACTTACTTTTATTTACTTGGTTAACTTGAGTAAAAATTAAAAATAAAATTGTAAAATGCCACGGCATAATGGGAACGGTAGGGGGTTGGGAGGAGAAGACTCATCTATCGCCCATCCCATAAAACCGCCACTGGGTTGTTTTATTTTTTATGTTACACAAAATGCACACTGGACATTTTTATTTGTATGCCATACCCCCTCGAATTTTCATAATAGGTATTATGATTTATAACGTTCAATCTATACAATGCAATATAGTTTTATACCTCAGAATGAGTGTTTACTTCAACACTCGCATATTGTTAATACCGACTGCGTTGCATTTTAGGCTTTTTGTTCGGTCAGAACCGAAAGCGTACATACATTGTTACATGATTAATATTAAGTAGATACAACGAAAGAAAAAAAAATAATAATAAATATCATCGCGTTACGGTATTGGATTAGTTACGAGCACAATACTCGCAATAATTGATGGTCGGTGTAATATATGTTATAAATTCACGTCCGAGTAAATCATTCGATTTTCTTCTATATACCTCTCCTATACTTCTCTAATAATACGAAAATACAATAAATCCCTGCCGGCGTTCTGGTGCATTACCCACGTATATACACGCGCAGTCGAACGCACCGCTCTCGTCCACGTGTACCGTTTCAAAAGCAATCGGTGTATTATTATAAATCGACGACTTTGGACGACCACGCGTAGTCGGATCGAATCCCCGACCCGAACCGTGGGTACGGTCATAACTGGGGGGGGGGATTGCCCTATTGGAAAATCGGGAATTTTTCCAATGGGCCGGACTTCGCGTGAGCTGTTATATTATTATGTGATTTATAAAATAAAAAGAAATGACAGAGAGAGGGTTATTTCTTTGTTAAATTTGTAACGTCTGCTTTTCGTTACGAAAACTAACGTTGTATTTAAAGTATCGTTACAACTGGGCCGAGTGTGTTTGAAATGTCCAGTTTTAATAAGTGGCACACCCAGAATTTCCATGACAATTAAATGGTTAGACTCTGTTGATAGTTATACAAAACATCCTAACTAATGTGGTACGATTCACATTCATCTTTCCTGAGCCAAGAAAATCAGGTGATTCACTCCATGTTGACGAAGATATTAACCCAGTTGTGAATCCAGAAATTATTCTAGGGGTGAAAGTTAATAAAAATGTACCCAATACCAAATATTGTCGTATTCCATAGGGTAGCATTTATTTACTATAATAATACTTCAAATTATTATATTTATTTTTAATTTTTAGTGTAGCGAAAATTATATTATCTAATTATTATATAATTTTATTTAGATGTGTTTTTCTTTTTTTTTGACGAGTATAAGATACTAAATTTCTTTTTACGCCTTAAAAGATGCGGATTTTTCACCCGATGATAAGCACCTTATTTGAACATGTTTTGTATAAATTTACGACAGTTTCGTTAAAAAATTATAAAAAAAAATATCATCAAATTACGATACAATGGTTTTATTTTTGATGATTTCTAGTTGCATTAACAGTTTACAATATGCTCCGCTGAGAATTGTTTTTTATTTGCAATGATTTATAGGTGCTTTTAGTATATTCATTTAACGAAACCATCGTATAAATAAATTATTATTTTGTTTAAAATTTATACCTGATTTATTAAAATTATATATTATGCCATTATATTTTATAATTTTAGGAAGTAAATGTACAATTAGGTTACAATAACTTATTATATTAATATACAATGTTAGATTTTTCCTAAATATTTATATTTTAACGTTGTATTTATTAAATTAACAGCAAAGAATTAAAAAAAAAAAAAATTATTATTATTATTATTACTAGGGATCTACATGCATATATCGGCTGTATTTTTTCCCTATATACTCTAGTCGCATACGTGTAGTGAGCGTAGCATAAATTGGCTTCGGTGTTAGATAATCGAATTATTTGCCTTCTAATAAATCACTCTGAAATGCCTCTGACCGTCAGCAATAATTTTTTTTTCCACAGTGTCATGCAAATATATTGTAAAATACTGCCCGGGTAAAACGATCAATCTACGCATGTGTATGGGTGCTTAAATGGACATTTTAAAATTTTAATAAAAGTTGCCTTTTGAAAATCAACATTTAGTAGGGCATTCACCATTTTAGCATAAGGATAATGTAACATTTTATAATCACAAGATAATGAGTGTGATAATGAGAGTTGTATAATGAATACTACTTATTTTTAATTACTTAATACTACTTCCTAGTTTATTGTTTTCCCAAATTTGTATAAATTAGAAGAACAAATAATTTTATCGATGAATTCATATTATTATTGTTGTGAACATGAAAAATGTCAAAATTCGACGTGGATGGTCAAAATATAGACTGTTAGATGATAACATCGGGTTTAGCTGAAATATTCTATCTATGTCAATCTGCGTCCGGGACGGTTATTCAAGTTGTCTCATAATGATATGGAAATAAAAAGAGGAATAATAAGATGGCGTGAGGAATAAATTGTCATGGGATAAAAATCGTACAGTCGAACAAATCGTCGTGAAATCAATCTTCATCATTTTCGAAGAAATGCACAATAAGCAACCTATAAAATATAAACATTTTTGATTTTGAAATCTACTGATTTTTTAATTTACAACAAATGTCTAGAACGAAATGACATATTACTATTGCATTTTCCATTATAGTAGCCATATCATTGTTATATTACATTTTCTTTGTCGAGCAACTAGGCCTTTTGGAGTATATATTATAATATATATCATACATTATATTATATAAAGAAAATGGAACATTAGTACTTGACTTAACATTTCTATATACATATGTGGAATATAGATACTTGGGCATCTAGCTCGATTTCATTCTACAATATTGACTATCATATGTTTTTATGTATAAGTAATGTTAATATTTATTAATATGTTAAAAAGAGAATGATTGAAATGTATATAAAATATAAGGTAGGTACAGGCTATATATTTTGATGGCATACGATTCGCCTTACATATTATTTTCATTTATTTCAAGAAATTGAAAATCATTATTATATTATTATTCATTTCAGATTGGTAATTATAAAAGATCGGTCGATTGACGAATAAGTGATCCAGTAAAGAAATTGTTTACCCACATAAATTTTTATTCATTTTGATGATTTTTTTTTTTTTTTTATATCAGCATAGTATCTGTATGAAAAATTATTTTTACCATTTTTATTCGATTGATATGAAAATATAGGTATTTTAGATATTTTTTTTGTAAAAGTGAATCCTACTTTTTAGTTTTTATATTCATAAAATATGAAATGAAATATATTCCCGGGATACTTTATACGAATAAATATAAATATTGCAAGAGTATAGTTTGTTATTATATTTTATATGTAAACCTTTGAAGTTTTAAATAAGAAGAGGTATAAAGGCGAAAAATAATTCTATACTTTATCTAGTTTTTCTATTGACCCAATATATATCCTTTAAAATAGTGTTTTTTCAAACTATACTGAAACACGGCACATGTCCAGAAATTAATAACTTTTCAAGATCATTTTTTTTTTTATAGGTCACTATCTAATTTTTTACACCAAATTAGATAAGCAAAATAGTTTTACTATTTAACAGATAAACAAAACATGCTTGAACGCATCTATTTTAAATTAAAATCAAATGCAATTGGTCACTTGTGAAAATAAACCTTTCAAAAATCCTGGCACACCTAGATAATGCTCGCGGCACCCGGTTTAAAAGCCACTACTCAAAACTTTAAATGCTTGTAAACAATAAACTTTACTATGTGAGTATCTACGAGTATGTGATACATAATTACAATAATTTAAATATCGTAAAGAGCCCGTCGTAGTTACACAGATAATGTTGTTCTTTTTAAGTTTGATAGTAGATCAATTCACTTTATTGTTAAAACATAGTTGTCCCTGATAAACGCAATTTGTCGATGTTGTATGTGTTAGTAAAACTGTGACAGCACAATGTTCGGGTATAACGTCCTCTTAAATTGAATGTTTTGTAAAATATGCATTGTACGTTTTGTATGTAAGCAGTTATCAATAATAATAATAAAAAAAATTAATTATAATTGAACACCCTGTGTACATTTATGCGTTTTAAATTTGCAATAATCATTCAATCGCATGGCTGCTACAATACCTATGTCTATATTATATAGTTTCACTTCAATGCATATTTAAATATCTCAAACTAATTAATTTGTCACCGATGAGGTGACAAATAAGGATTCGTAAAATTTGAGCTCAGCTGAATTTAATTAATTTCAAGTTCAAAGCTTCAAAAAAATGTGAAAAATTTGTTTTTTTTGCTCAAGTTCCTTAAGTTTTAAAATAACGAAAAATTGTGTTTAATTTGTATTGATTATTTTCTAAATAAATTGTTTTTTCATGGTTTTTCGTAAAATTCACCAGTCTTTTTCAAACCTAGAATCGTTTATATCTACCATTGCTAATATTTTATGAAAACATTGCTAGGCTTTCAGTTCTTCGATGCGATTATCTTCTACAATTTATAGATAGAAAAAAAATCACCGATGTACATGGCTTTTAATATTATTATTTTTGATTAAATTTAGCATTTTTAATTTTGTCTTTTATAACTCGTATAATTGTATAATAATATGATAATTGATTATAAAATATGATAGATTAACTAATGAAATGTGTTTCACGTATATTGAACTAAAAATGTATAAATAATTATATAATATAACTGATATAACTACATAAAAATGATATTCCGTGAAAATTTAATATTTTTAAGTGTTGTTATCCAACTAACATGTCTAATTATCAATAGCCAGTATCAGTGATAACATAGTTTATAATAAACTCAATGGCGTAGCAAGGATTTTGTATTGAGGGAGAATATTAAATACGTTTTTACTTGAATAATGGACGTATAGATAAATGGAAGTTTGTGGTTTAACTCCCCTAAACAAATGCGTATGGAAGTATTTTTATCAATATGCATTTTAATGTACCTGAATACTTTAAAAACAGATCGAATAATAAAAAAAATAAATAATAATTAATTAGAATTGTATATCACTTGGCATATCTTGTAACTATAGTCTATACTACTATATTATAAACGAAATATACACATTTCTAACAGTAGCATCCTCTTAGGAAAATTTTTCACAAAGGCAGTGATCATATCGTTTTCGTTAGTGTCTTTTTTTTTTTTTAATTTACATTAAACATGTACCGTAAAGTTAACCGCATTGATTCTATTTTCTGACATAACGCTCTTCGTTTTCATACGGTTCAGTTTAGAAAACGTTCTTTAAAATGGAAGAAATAATTGTAGACGTGGTTAACACTCAAATCATAAACTGCTACGCATAAATAAATACAGACCATGAGCGAGGGGGGAGGGGCTATAGCTTCTAAAACTCATCCCCTGGCCACGTCTCGTTGTGACTATTAATATTATTATGGGTATTTTAAAGGTAAACTCTACATTTTGTAGGTGTAAAACCTAGCTGTTTAGACAAAAGAAGACCTAAATGAATGTCATATTATTTTTTATCCATATTATAATAGTCAAAAGTAAAGAATCAAAAATTTAACTTATACATAATAAACGTCTGCACTTAAATTATAAATTACTGTATTATTATAGCTGATCCTGCTATTGCGGTCTTGCATGTGACAAATTAAACGCCCGGGATTATTTTATGTCGACTAAATTAAATAATACTAATTAGTGTATTTCTCTGTATAACCTATGTGTATAAACATATGTATATACTAGAAATAAACTTTTTTTTCTTATTTTATTTATGAAAAAATAAAAATATGTACAGTCTGTAATTAGATTACTTCAATAAATAATTATTCAAATATAGAGTTATCAAGACAGCAAGGCCGAGGCAGAATTTAAATTAGAAAAAAAAAATACTTCTTATTACGCTCAATTTCGCCAGAATATTTTGAATATTTTGATCACATCTAGAGGCTAATACAAATATTCTGTGAATTATAACTAAAAAAAAGTCGAATATAATGAAACCGTTAAGAAACAAAAAATCATTATAATCAAAATACGATTTTGACCCGAGCTTGGTAAATTGAGAAGTTTGTTTTTTTCTCTTGTAAGCCAAAGTAACCCAGAAATCAATAAAAATAAAACCGTCATTTGTTGCCAATTTTTTTTTTTTTTTTTTAAAAAACTTTTAGAAATATATTAAATATTTTTAAGTAAAATACTATCGGGTGGAAATTCCGTAGCTTTAAAATTAGATATTAAGCCAGGAAAATAAGAGCATTTTACTTACCAAATTGTTGTTTTAAAAAAAATATAAATGCAATTTTTTTTGAATAAAGAAATAGGAATTTTGAACAAATGGTCAAATACATCGACACCGCATGCAAAATTCACATCTATTAAGGTTTAACATAAAAAAATCTAAGCATTTTTACTAACTGATAGTGTTTCTTTTTTTTTTTTTGGAGAAATAAAATAACAAAATATTATATTAGTATTGTTAGTATTTAGAATATTAAATTCAAAATGTATCTTTTTTTTATTTTAAACTTACCAAATAGTCTTAAGAGATTAATGATCATAAATATAATTTCAATGTTTGTCTATTTTTAATTTCGAAATTTTTTTTGACATCAATAAATACGAGTATATTTTATATTTTCCTTTTTGAAGTGTGGTAAAATTATCAAAATATTTTGATAAATTAAATGACCACCCAAAAGTATCTCCTCAGTCAAATTTCCTTTACGGAAAAGTGCTATCATTGTAAATCGGAGCAAAATTATTGGTAGACAAGTTGTTTACAGAAAAAAAAAAAATAATAATAATAATATTTTTTAACTAATACCTACATTTCGTACATTTTTCCGTTTTTCCTCCGCTTTTTTTAATATATTAGGAGAGCTCATGGAAAAATCAAAAATTACCTTCCTAAAGTAACACCACAGTCAGATTTCCTTTTAGAAAACGTGCTTCACTTGTGAATTGGAGAAATATGATTAGTATAAAAGTTGTTAATAGATAAAAATAAAAATAAAATAAACACAATTGCAAAACCATATGGTTTTTCCCTCCACTTAGAATCTGGTCTAATCAGAATTTTGTTAAAATGTTAACATTTTGATACATATAATAATTACTTATTTAACACTTATCAATCATATGTCTACAGAAAATATAAAGTATACCATAAAATATAAAAGTGTACTATTTTTGTTTTTATATAGTGGGAAGGGACCCTTGGAATCTGGGGACCTTGTCATTGTGTACCGCATACACATGAGTAAATTAGGGCCAGGTCCCCAGTAACTGATCTTTTTTTTTATTATTTGTTTGGCCAACAGTATTTCTGATAGTAATTGTTTTTAGCCAGTAATAATAATAATTACTTACAGTAAATTATTTAATGGGGCCTCCTTTATGCTGAGCGTAACGCGACGATCTATCAGATAACTTTTGTTCCGTTCAATATTTTTAAATTTTTTTTTTTTTTAGTAATTACTCTAGTGCTATTATTTCTTCATTCTAAGTTTTTATATTTTTTTAAAAATTAAAAATTGTTTTTACAAAACCCAAATTACCCGTTTTATTTAAGATATGTTGAAACATAAACCATTTGATGATGTTACAAATATTTGATAATGATGAATCGTTAATTTACTGCAATTTTTTGTAGTTTATGATTGTTTTTATCGTCAATGCTATAGGTGTAGTATCTATTGATTCACCAATTTGACCATGTAAAATAATTTTCGTATACTTCAAAAAATGGTAGAAACCTAATGATTCATTTACGAATGATTCATTCAGTAGATTAATTTATACATATATATATATATATATATATATAACTGACGAGGACATAATAATTTGGATTTTTTTATAGGTATCTCTTCATTTGCAATTAAGTATATTGTTATTCGATATTATTATTTAATATTGAAAAGTAACTTATCTGTAACGAACAAAAAGTATAAATTTAAATAAAAACACCGTGTATAATGTCTTCTTTTTTTTGTGGCCTTTGTAGCTCTCTTAGAGTTTTTGTCGCCAACGCAATATTTCGCCATGTGTCTATAATATAGTTTTTTTTTTTTTCTTTTTTAAATCATTTGGATATAATAACAGTGTATATACTTAGTGTACAATTACAGCAACTTTTATACTTTAAGTTATACTAAATTATGTATTTTTAATAATTGCATATAAAACCAATTTTTTAATTTTATTTAAATGTTGAATTTCAGGAAACCATGCGTCGATGCAATCTTGTGCTGTGACCTTTGATATGGTCACCGGAAAATGAAGACGTTGGCCGGCGCCATAATATTATGCATCATGCTCGTCATAATTTCTGGTAAGTCAGAATAATTTGAAATACATATTATAATTAAATATTTTATTTTTCAACAACTCAATTTATTAGTGTACTGTCACTAATAAGCCACCTTTCTCTAATCAACGTCCAATTCATTGCTGCATTCCCGTCTTTACCAGTCTTGTATCTTTTTCCACAGTGATTCTCCATCTGCAGGTCGTTGGTGTTCTTAGTGACCATTATAGTTTTTCTGCTCAATCAGGGCTTCAAAGCACTTCTTAGAACATTCCCATTTGCTTTCTACTCGTGTATTCCAAACATTTATACCTTATACATATGTGATAATATTAGATTTTTCGCATGTAGCTAATACCTTACTGTAGTATCTAATTTACACGACTTTTACAATAGTCAACTACACCATCTGTTGTTTACAATTTCGTATATACAAATTTATTATTAACTATTTTAACATTATATTTCATACACACGTGCATTGTATGTAGGAAACCTGTATTTTGTTCTGCTCATTAACTATGAAATATTATTATAGTTATAATAAAATATTTAGCCATTACTATGAAAAAGCAGATTGGGTTTTTTTAGGGTGCTAATTTTAAACTTGGGGGGGGGTGCTAAAAACCACCTAGCATCTTCCTAGTTACGCCTATGAATACAAAACAAGTAATATTTATAAACAAAAAACCATACCTGTACAAGTTTATTTTTACAGAAATAATATCTATATAACTTATAGGACTACTAAAATATGACGATACATGCACATAGAACATAAACGAATCGTCTTTAGTAAGAAAATGGAAAGCTATTACGTATTTTGTAGAAGAGTTAAAGGATTTTCAAACAAATAAATAATAGACAGAGTATAATTACTCACGCTTAACAATAAGTGGTTAAATGTGAACTATAGGAAAGTTTGAATATTATTCTTTACAAAGTTTATAACTACGTCAAAAGTCATATCGATTTTTATAATAATGAATATAAATTTTTAACTTTAACTTTAACTTTAATAATTATTATGAAAGAAAAAACAAAAACTAATCGGCGAAAGCCTTTGAAGTAAAAAAATTATGGGTAGCAATTGAACAAACATTTAAGGTTACCTTATGACGTTAAAACGATCATATGCAGACAATTTATATTGAATTTTGTACTGATGAATAAAATTGTACAAAATACAGACGGGATAAAGACTGTACATTATTAAAAAACGTTTTTAATAAATATAAAAAGCAACTATAAATTACTTCGTTTGAAAATTTGATTACTGCAGTGTCGAACTTAGAATTAAATATCGATGCTCAAATTTTTATCCTGGTTATTTTTTGATTTTCCGCTATTTTCCAGACATCAAGCTGCGATTTATCAATTGAATATTTCGAATAATGACTCATTTAAAAATTATTACTACATTATTCGTGTTCTATAATTATTTACATATCTAAAAAGTTGTTGGGTGAAACTTTTTGATCATTTTTACAATTCCGCAAAAAGTTTTTTTCCGAGACAAAAAAATAAAAACGGGAAGCAGTGCACTTCATTATATAATAGTTGTTTGTTGTAAAGTTTCTTATTTTCCTCGTTTTAAACAAAGAGTTTAAAAGTTTTTCCATTCTTGTATTCATAATAATGCTAGGTATTATATTATAATTAAATTTTTCATTCATATGGACGTATTTTTTTTGTATCAACACAATATACACGAGTATAGTTAGGTAATAATTAATATTATTGCGTCTAATTATTGTGTATTATTCTGATCATGGAAAATGAGTACAGTTGTACAAGTACCATCAATATTTTCAGTAGTGTATACGTGATTTTATTTAAAGTGTAGAGAGGGCAACAAAGAGGCAAGAAGAGGAGGAGCGGTAGCCCTCTACTTCAAGTACTGATTCTTGCTATTCTCCGCAGATATTTTGGCAGTTCTTTTTATTTTTTTTTTTATTTTTTTTTTTACATAATTATACGAGTAAGTGAAGTTAGGATTTCAATACATCGTATATTGTTTTTCAATGCTTGATGTGTGATACTCATTTTGTTACAAATTCGCTTCGTGTATTTTTGAATGAAAATGTAAAAAATTTATTTCCCATTTTTTTGATTTCTAAGTGTATTTTATAATTAAATTTAACATTGTATTGTATTTGTACAATTTCTATGGTTAAAAAAAAAGCGACGGGGAATCTGCACCACTCCTTATATTCTTAAAAATGTTTTTGTAATGCATAAATATATTTTCCTTTCTTTTTTTTTATCATTACTCGAATTTGACATCGTAAGCTATGAATATTATTATAGTAATGTAATAGTAAAATATTTTTATATTTTTTCTCACTGGTTATTCGGTTATAAAGTAGGCAAATAAAAGAAAATTGGCTGTACTTTATTAAATTCTTCAAAAATGACTTAACCTCACATGGCGATGGTTTTATATGATGTAAACATCAACTTCAAAAACAAACGGACATACGTTGGGTGGGCCATTTGAAAATAACGTATTTTCTAAATTTCCAGGTTTTCCTAGGTTTTTTCTTGGTTTTTTCTATTAATTATGAAAACCCATAGTAAAAATTAAAAAGTACCTTCTCAAAGTACCACCCCAGTCAGATTTCCTTTCAGAAAAAATGCTACACTTGAAAATCGGATCAAAATTGCTAGTAGAAAAGTTGTTCACGGACGAAAAAAAAAAAAATAAGAAAAAATAAACATTGTTGTAAAACCAATGCATTCCTTAGCTCCGCCAAGAATCTGAAATATAAGTATTAAAAAGTCGAAACATATACTTATGTTTTTGAATTTTATTATCTGTAATAATATTACAAGAGTCGTTTGAGTTGTTCCCAATATATTATTTACATATCCACTAAAAGTAAATAACCTAACTCGAGAAAGTAATATTGATTTTAGGTTGCGTAAAAAAAGTAAAGAAAAATAATAATAATAAACAATTGTACAAATTACCATTTCGAGAAATACATAATAATTCTAAAGGAATAAATAATGATTTTAATAATGCGTGATGTATATATTGTGCGAGTTTTTGAATGGAAAACTTGCAACGAAACATCGTTTGTCCACTCGTACATCTGGCGAGAGCTATATGGCATTATATTATGGTCAAGAAAGGATGGGAAAAAATAATCGGGACTTTCTGCCGGAAGGGATGGGGTATAATGAAATTCTCGAGGACTCGATCTAAACACTGTATATATGTATTATACTCGCATACGAGAATCAGTCACGAAAATTGCATTTTCTCGGTAAGATAGACACGAGGGTGTTTTCCGGGTCAGGGCTGAGGAAGGGGGTTACAGAACATAAGTGATTTTATCGAGCCATCCGTTAAAGTATATATTCGTTCCGTCGTTTTACGACTAATGGGCTTTTGAACCGCCCGAAATTTAACGCGGCTGTTAATATCGCTATCCGCATGTGTGTGTGTGTGTATGTGTGCTGCGTGGGAGTTGCGTTACTATCACCGTAGGTATATTATGGCTTGGTAACGAAACCCCTTGAGAAATATAACAGGTGAACTGGACGTACACTCCACGTGTAATTGATATCTTTCTTACTTATTGTTATTGTTCACACGCGTTCATCTCAAACCCGTCCTAAAGTGTTTTTATACGTCAAAAGTCGGTTTTTTTTTACATAGCTATACTTACGTACTGTAAAATATTTTTATCTAATAATTACTGTTCTGTTTATATATTTTTAAAGTGGATGCCAATTGTCAATCAAAACAATTTGTGTACTAAACTTCGGTAAATAATATTGTTTTAGTTTTACTATTGGAGAAAATGGCCATTATATTGACCGTCATTTGTCACACAATTTGAAAAAAAGTTATTTTTAGATTCTGAGCGCAACGAGGAATGCATATGATTATTGATTTTACTATGATGTATGCTTAAATGTTTATTTTTTTTGTGTTTATGAAACACATATACATACACACACATGAACACTAATGTTTATTAGTGAAACAAATATTTATTGATTCACATTTCAGGATGTTCGATGAATCCGGATGCAAAAAGGCTGTACGATGACCTTTTGTCTAATTATAACAAACTCGTAAGACCTGTGCTCAACAACACTGATCCACTTCCAGTACGGATTAAGCTCAAATTATCACAACTCATCGACATTGTGAGTAAAATAAGTACAATATTATAATATAATTTATTTAAATTTAAGTAATATGGTTGATTTTGCTGATAGGTGTGCCACTGTTGTAGGTGAGAAAATGGGAAGATAGGAAAGTTACTCGTAAATGTATTTAATTTATATCTATACGCAATGATAATATTATTAAAGAAAATATATAATGCGTATGCAATTATTTTACTAAAATATGACATATATATATTGTTAACAAAGCAACACTATCAACCGAATTCCACATAGAATCGTATTTTCGTTAGCAATGGTTAATGGTTGCATACAGATGTATATTAAATTTACCCTCTACCAACTTCCCGATTTCTCACCCATAACAGTCGCTGCACCCATTTCCATTATCCTAGAACAGCTTTTTTTTTTTCTTTTAAGGTAGGTATGATTACATTTTTAACTCAGCGATTAATATTTTGTCAGCAAGTTTTGTATATATTTGGTATATATTTTTTTCCGTTTGTACTGTTTAATTTCATTTACTATATAGACTTTTTCTATCCAAGTTATAGCTAGTTTACGATATTGATTTGGAGTGTTCAGACTTCAGACTCATAAACATAATTATGTATGTTAACAATTGCATAAGGAAGTCGAATAAAATCTATTTTTATTTTCGGATTTATATTTTTAACGATTTTAAGATAAGAATTTTTTTGTCTGTAGACATTTTTTATACCAGCAATTTTGCTCCGACTCCCAATAATAGTACTTTTTCCAAAAGGAAATCTGACTGGGAAGGTTTTTTAGGGGTGTCATTTTTCGAGTTTCTCAATAGTTTTCCCAGCAAATGTGAAAAACCGGGAAAATCGATACAATATTAAACAAATATTATTAAAGAAAATATATAATGCCTATTTAACTATTTTACTATAATATGACTTACATATTGTTGACAAAGCATCACTATCAACTGAACTTCGCTCAGAATCGTTTTTCGTTAGCAATGGTTTATCGTTGCTTACAGATATACATTAAATTATCAATGGCAGTGGCTGAACCGTCTTCATTATCCTAAAACATCTTTTTACACATTGTATTGTTTGAAAATGATAAATCGATTTGTACGCAGTCATTTGGTTAATCGTATCTATAGAGAGTAGTAATGCAAAAGAATTTTGAATGATAATTTTATGCAAAGCTATCAAGGGTAAAAAAAATATGCAATGATATATAATGTTAAAATAAACATTATACACACAGAAAACATAAAACATTTTATTTTTTTAAATTACAGTTCAAAACATTTTATTTGTCTCAGTGCCTTTACTATAAAGTAAAAGGCGAAAAATAATTTATTTTTTGTGGAATACTGACTCACGTTTTAATCTTATCCTATCCTTATTTCGAATTCATATTATTATAATAATATTTCAGTGTAATCGTTCAACAACCGACATCAAAAGTATTCGTTAGGATGGTGAAACTAAACTCACGAGTAGGTACTCTTTTAATATGGAAACATTAAATCGTTCTGGCATTGAGTTGAGAATTTGAGATCGATAGCAGATTAGCTCTTTAAATCTCCTATACAGAACAGAATACAGAGTAAATCGAGTTTCTAATGCAGAACCGCACCACATATAATTTAGTATTATTGTATTAAGGTAGTTAAACTGTATATTTATTTTTAATGAAAAAAAATAAATCGTTAAAAAAATCCATGTCTTGTGCATTGGGTTTTAATACTATAACGCGTTATTTCTATCAGTGTTTTTCTTCAGTTTATTTTTTTTCATTATTTACGTACAGCATAAAACTGGGAAATTTAAAAAACGATCTTTTTAATGTAACATAAATATTCAATCACTTACACCAATAGGAAGTTTTCTCGTGTTTTTCAGATTGCTATAAAAATAACAAAACATGCAAATATTTTATTTTATGGTTATAATAGCCAACTTGATCCATTCAGAATCTAATTTTTAAGAATGCAATATTTTCAAGAGAATCAGCTTTTGTAGGTATTTTTAATTTAATTTATTGTGTAGTAAAAAAAAATACACATATATATTTTGTTGTATTTATTGTTAAGAATAGATGTTAATTTATTAAATGTATTAAATGTTGTGTTTTATTTTAGTTCATTTTAATTAAACACGTTTTAAAAGTTGCACGCTTGATAAATCACATACAAACATTCGTAAATGAATTAGAATTATTGCGATTTTGATTGGGGCCAATAATATAATTCAAACCATAGAGTAATTTTAATTCGTAAATATTGAGTAGGTATCTAAATCTATTAATTTAGTCAGTTGGAATAAATGAGAATGAATGTATTTTGTTAAATTGACTGTGTTTTATTCGTTTTCAAACTGCAGAAATCGGTCAATAAATGATTTTCATTTTTTATTTGTGTAAATATTTACTCAATACACGCGCCTATTACAATCATTAAGTTCCAACACATTTTTCATCAATTTTATCGTTTTAAATTATCGTGAGTTTAGTTTTATGTTAAATTTTGAACCCGACCAAGCGAATTATTATTATCTAGTTGTTTTACAATGGTGTTTTCTTTTTCCTTCTTCTTTCGGTTAACAGTTTTAATACGTTTCGGAGCATTAAACACAAATAAACACAGTTACAAAAGTTAACAAAACTTTGTACACAAGTAATTATACATAAATATCATAAGTACCCTTTAAAGTAGTAATTTTTAGTTCATTATGGAGTTTGCTGTCTTGAAAATGTTCAGTGACTGCAGCTGTGAAAAATGAGTGTCTATAGACGAAATATTCAAAAGTATTTTTAAAAAAAATTGTGTTGGAATTGATTTTAAATATTTAAAAAAATGTATAAATTGCCATTTTTTTGCAGAGTAGTTATAATACCATTGTCAGGTATAATAAACTACATTTATATTAGTATATATTATATATAGATATTAATAATTAATGGTATTGATTATAATTTGAGTAATAATTATAAAATATTTGTACAAGTACAAATCATGTAATCAATCAAGTACAAGTTCATGTTTTTCTACAAGTAAGTTTATTGAATAGGGTTCATTCGTATTATATTTGGGCCTGTGTCACAATTTTTGTCAACACGTTTACCCATAACATTTTCAACTAATGTGAATTTAATATTATTTAATCTATGCATAACGACCATGTTGTTATCTGCCGAATTTAATCTGATTTCTATATTGGTATACAGCGTACCTGTATAATATTTTTTGTCAGTAAAAATACTTAAATCGTTCTCGAAATCCCGTTTCGAGAGTTATTCTTATCTTCTGTCGGTTTCCTTTTTTTCGTTTTGATCGTGTTCGGTCGAAAAAATGAAACCGATGACTTCCTGAGCTATTCAAATTCGTTTTCGTTAAAAAGATATCGAACCCGTCAAAACGGAAACGGGCACATCCATTTGCCGCGTGACAAAGATAAGTCGACAATGGGCTGTATAAACGATATTTATACATACATTATAACATTATGTAGGTACATAAAAACGACATAATGCAAAGTACACCTGACAAAGAAATATCTGTCCGTCAAGTGACACGCAAGAATTGTAAAATATATACATAAATACCCTGTACCTATCGGTCGTAAGTACCATAAACGAAACACTGTTATGTTTAATAGAGTATTATAAATTAGGTATATAGTGTTTATAATTTTACTTTAAGAAAACCGTTATTAGCCTTGATAAAATATCGCTGTTTGTGTACGTGGTATTTTTTATGTTGACCTGCATAACCTATGTGTTTATCGTGTATACTTAACTTTTTGTTGCAGAATTTAAAAAATCAAATTATGACGACCAACCTATGGGTAGAACAGGTAAGAATTGAAGGGAAAACCGAACTTTTACTTATTTGATGTAAAATTATCAAACAATTTCACTATAATTAGAAAAATAAAACACACCAAGTCAAATGTTTTATCATATTATATTTTATTCCGTGTACAAATTATTTTTATCCATGTCAACAAATAACTCAGAAAACAACAAAAATAATCCAATTTTTTTGGTATCAAACTACCGAAAACCCTTTGTCAGTCACCTTAAATGGTCGGATTTCGGAAATCTGACTACGAGGCGCGCACGGACTTGACTAAATGTCAGATAGATTCGATGGATTCGGTTATGGATCGCGCACAGATAGACATTTGCTTCAGTTAATATTTAATATATAGATTAAAACCAATATACTGTTTTGATATGCCTTCATAATAATATTATAATGTAAATTTTTGGTTTTTCAAGTATTGGTACGACTATAAGTTGACGTGGAATCCCAGTGAATACGGTGGCGTCGAAGGGCTACACGTACCGTCAGAACACGTTTGGAGGCCAGATATTGTGCTCTATAACAAGTAAGTGATTTGTTTTCGAATTTAACTAACACTCGTACGTGTATAATAATTATCTGTAAATAATTCGGTATGCATATTCATATTTAAAGTGCCGACGGGAATTTCGAAGTGACATTGGCCACTAAAGCCATGCTCCATTATAGCGGCCGGGTCGAATGGAAACCGCCAGCTATTTACAAGTCTTCCTGTGAAATAGACGTAGAGTTTTTCCCGTTCGATGAACAGACGTGCGTGATGAAATTCGGCTCGTGGACGTACGACGGTTTCCAGGTAGGAAATATACTTTTTCACGTACCTATTATTATAATTTTTTCGAAAGTTTTAACGGTATGAAAATTCAATAGTTATTCTAATAAAAATGTATGCATACGTCATAACTTTGGCTATATTTTCAATGCGTATTTCCGAAAGTACACTTACCAATATGTATTGGTTATTATTTTTGGCGAGTGGATTATTCATAGCATTTGATATAAATTAGGCATGTTCAGTTTCCGGGAAACTTAATTGACCTTTGTCGGTTCTTCCTTGCAAATGCCGGTGTTGAGATTGTTACGGTGGGGAAGCAGGGCAAAGCAGAGAGGGCCGCGAAAAGTTCGTTAATTACGCGTACCGTTGCAGGTGTTTCGGTTATAAAGTTCTGGTTATTTCCATCATATCTCACTGGCCCGCTTCTTTGCCAGGTTAAATCGTGGCTTTCATTAAAAATTAGACTTTGACGATTATATTAAGTATATTTATGCAAGACGAGCATTTTTGACCAAATTGTGTCCATATATAATATAAATTATTTTTGATTACATAACGCGTAACAGAAAATTAAGGTCTTTTAGGCCATTAAGGCACGTTTTTACCAAGCGCCTTCTATATCCATCCTGGTCTATTGAATTTCCCATTTCCATTAATATAACTTACTTACCCTGCAGTTACACTATCCAACCCCAGCTGGCGCGGTCTTCCGTCTGGCCGCTTTTTTGTTGGGTTTCTATGACTAGGAAATTTAGTAAATCACGTCTTCCATCAGTCTGCCAAACATGATCAGCCCACTCAAATTGTTATATGCTATACTTTACAACATTCTAATTTTTTTTTACAATCATTCTAGTTGAGCGTTTTTTGCCTTTCGTACATATATACCCTATTTTAATTTCGTACAGGTCCACGAATTTTCTTCAAAATTATTCTTTATAAATCCAATACTTGTTTCAATAGTATTTATTATTTTTAAAACGTAGATTCACTGAATACAATGTTTGAATCCTGATGAAATAATTGCGAACGTATTTTAAGAATTTTTTAATTAAAACAATTATGTATACCTATATAAATAGGTTCTGCAGTATCGGTGCCGTAACTGAAGAGTCAAATACCTAGGTGCACACAAATGTGTATAGGTCCCTCTTTCTTGACCATGACAAAATGGATGTATACAAAAGATGGACTTACTTCACGCCATAAATATTTTTCACTCCTTAGATATGATGGTGAATGTTTTGAATTTTAAAAAATTGATTAATCATTTTTTTGTCATTGAAACAATTGTGTGTGGAGCTTCAATGTAATATACATGATTATAGTTTTATATTGAAAACCTGTGGAATGAACTATATAAATAGGTAAAATAAATTATTTAATATTTAAGTTTAAAATTATCACGTATGATAACCAAAAAATATATTTATGTGAGGCTTAGTAATTTTTCTAATATTTAGATAAACAATTCCTAGTCAAAACCCACCAGGTTTTTACTTTGCATTTTATGAAATTTAATACAAGATAATAATAAATGATAATGAATCAAAATAATGTGCAAATAAAAAAAAAAAAATATTTGTCGACGGTTATGGATTCTTAAACACGGCGGCCCACCAGTACTGTGCACCGCCTGCACCTATAATTTTTACGGCATTGTGTAGAATATCTTTATATTGACCTAAATCGATTGTTTCGTTATTTTATAATACTTGTTTAATTGTTTCTGTAGAACAACAAAACAATAAAAATCGAAAATAATAATAGTTAAAAAAAACATCAACTTTATGATTGCTGTAAAATATCGTCATATTTATTCAATTCCGTTGTCCCTTTGGGTTTTTTGGGGCTTATAATTGACATTTTATTGATGTATTTTTTAATTAATTTAATTTAATTTATACATTCAAACTTAACCCAAGTTTAGATCAAATATTATCTCACTGAAACGATGAGTTACATTCAAATAGTTTGTAAATTATTATTATTATAAAATTTTTTTTTTTTTAAAGAGCATATTTTGGAGGTATAACTTCATAACCCCGTGCAATTTTCCGGTTTATTTATAAAATACAAACATTATAATAGAAATCAACACACACCGAAATCATGTTCGATTTTTAAAAATCGTCGCAAGTAGACAAATAAAGGTTTAAAATATACTGAATAAGAGTGATTGACCATTATAATATAGTTACTAGTTAGGTATACGTAATTTAAACAAAACTGTTGACTTGAGTAAAATATTTTACAATAATAATATTTCAGGAGCAGAGGTTAAATAAATATAAGGATGTTTGAATGATTTGAAGAAATTATGGATATTATATGACAATACCTAGGGAAAATTATTATGCATTATAATTTAACTACATTGAGTCTTTCATTTATCATTTGATACTTTTAAATCAAGTACCTACTGGATGGGAATTTTTAAACTAATACGTGAAAAAATCTGAATATTTTTACTAACTAAAAAAATAATTTCCAAGAAAAAATAAAACATTAAAAAGTAAAGCATTACTAATTCCAAAACGAGACTAAGAAAAATATTATTTTTTTTTAGAGAATAAAATACATTTTAAAACTATTCAGAATACAGTATTGCATACTTTAGAAAAAAAAATATTTTTGAAATGTTCATAATAATTAAAATATGTTCAGAACACTAGCCATGTCTGCAAAATTGTGGTCTAGTATCAACGAGTCTAACACGGAATTTCAGTATTGCATTATTGATTATATTTTAAAAATATTATGTACGGTTATTATACGTCGTCGTGGTATAGATTAATCCAGTTGCTATAAACATAACTCATACGTCAGCTAAAGTTGACAACAATCTGGTAATGACGTGCTTTAAACAACGGCTAATGCACAATGTAGTTTGAAATTAGTTTTACATTGTTACAATTTATAACCAAAATGTACATTATACACAAACAAGTAATGTAGAAATTTAAATCACTTTTTAATTATTTACGCGATAAAACCGGGTTTTGATATTCCTACGATACTCTCAAAAATAGCAAGATAATAATCAAATTGCTGGCAATGCCGTAACTGGAACTTGACAAGCCTTGGCTTAGCCACAAGAGCGCATCTCAGAAAATAATGGAAAATTCAGAATTTGTATAAATAGGTAATTGAAATATAATGTTTTAACGAAAACGAATAAACTACAAAGGCGGCGATTAGTGTGGTGTGTTCAAACGTTTTGCGAAATTGTTATAATACTATACCCGCATAATGTAAATTATTTACTGCGGGGTTTGTTGGTTTCAAAAAATGAAAGCGGAGCTAGTCAAATTTAATCGTATTCGATATGAATTATTATTACTACAGTTTGCCATAATCGTTACCTACATATTTTGCATAAAAGTTTTCGAAGGAAAAATTAAAAGGTACCCGCGAGTATAATTCGAGATCTTCGAATACGTATGAAAAGCACTTTGCTTTATTGCGTTTCTTTTCTTTTTCGTGTTCGTGCGCTCGAGGTTTATATAGATATTCGGCTAAGGAAAACTTATTAATATTATACTAACAAGTCAAATGGTAAGTCGAAAGAGGATCGTTTTAGTGGTTTCGAACAAAAGCTACAATACGAATTAAATCCCATAAAGTGTTTTCCATTATATATTGGTATGCCTATAATTTTCAAACTAGGTCGTGTGCGACTGACGTAATCTCCTATTTTAGCGTACCTATATTCAGGGACGTTTTTAAGAGGATGATAAATCCTCCTAGTATTTTTTTGGCTTACGAAATTGTTACCAATATTAAACAATAATAATGACAATAAAATAAAAAATCGTATACATGTATAAAAAAAACTAGCTGTCCGATCCGGCGTTGCTCGGGCCAATTCTTTTGTTTTTTTATTTCATCTGTATCACCAAGGTAACCCATGAATAAACAAAAATAAATAAATAAACAATTAGATATTCGTAGAAAAAATACCTAAAACCCCTATTTTATCACCTTAGGGATTGAATTTTAAAAAGTCCTTTATTAACGTATGCCTACGTCATAATAGCTATCCGTATGCCAAATTTCAGCCCGATCCGTCCGGTGGTTTGGGCTGTGCGATAATCAATCAGTCAAGACATAAAAGATAGACAAACAGTTTCAATTCTGCATTATTCGGTTTCTAAGCGACTACTATGGTTATTGCCCTCTTACTTAAAATAGAGTTTGTTACAATGTTAGTAGATAATAATATTTACGAAACATGAACTTTGCCGTCGAATATCACAGCGCTATTCGTTATCAATTAGCAAGTTAGCATGACACGTACATAAGTGCATTACTATTATTAACCTTGACTAACCGTCATTAGCATACTGTTATTTGTTCTTATTAAATATATATACCTAATACTATTAGGTATTATTTTGTTGGTTTTTTGATTGTTTTAAAATGGAGGATAAAATAAAATACATAATAGATTATAATTTCAAGAAAGAAAAAAAAAACCCGATGAATGCGATAAAAATACAGTATGCACATTAAATAACAGTAAGCACACTTCTTCGCTTTAATAATATTATTTACTTTGCTGATAAAAATAATTTGTGTGATGCTAATAAACATGTAGTAAGTTTTTTTTTTCAATTTATTTTGTACAATGTATTAAACTAATTATTAATTTTTTTAAAATTGTCATTTGATTTTAAAATAATAAATTTTTCTCTGTAAGTACTCATAAATTTGAGGGTACTTTTAAATATAATTTCCATTAAATGAAAACAAAATTAAAAGCGTGAATTATGGTTTCAATACAAATGGCTTTTAGAATTCAATTAGTTCGTTTGCTCAGAAAACAAATCTAGAGCTTTTTGTATACATATTGTACTATTTATTTTAAAGTTTATGTAAAAAATGGTCAGTCTTTAAGAAACTTTGTGAAAATAGTCTTTGATGCATAATATATTTATTTGCTGGTAATAAACAACTTGTTTTATTAAAAAATACGTATCCCTCCCTTCCCAAAGCAAATTCCTAATTACACCACTGTCTATAAATATTATAATCAAATTTGGTAACTCAATGTTTACTTGTTTATTTTCATTTTAGATTCTGAGTGGATTTGAAGAATGTGTATTGGTTTTATTGCAATGATGTTTATTTTTTTTTTGTGGACAGCTTCCAGCATTTTCCCTTCAATTTACAATGATAGCACTTTTTCTAAAATTAAATCTTATTGGGAAGGTACTCTAGGGAGGTTATTTTTTGATTCTTGCAGGAGTTTTCCAAATAAATTGGAAAAATCGGAAATAGAAGTATAACATTAAACAAATATTATTGAAGAAAATATTTAATGCATATGTAATTATTTTACCATAATATGACATATATACTGTTGATATAGGCAACACTACCAATCTAACTCTGCTCAAAATCGTTTTTTCGTCAGCAATAGTTTATCGTTGCTTATTGACTTATTGCTTATTCAATTTTCCCTTTACTACCTTCTCAACTTCCCATCTATAACAGTGACTGCATCCGTCCTCATTACCTTAGGACAGCTTTGCAGAAATAAAATAAATCTTAATAATATATAGATGAATGAAATATGTTGGTGTTTTTATTATAATGTAACTTGTATACCTACATAGTTAACATTAAATTAATAAAACATCGTTATAAATTTAAACGAAATATTACAATTATTTCTATAAAAAAAAAAAAAATACTATCCATTTCGTTAGCAATAAATTATAATAGAATATTATACTCATTTATCATCGGTACAATAAAAAGGATATTTTACATTAAACGAAAAAGAATATTTCACATATTTGTGTCGTGAAAATATTGAAGGAAAAATAATGGTAGAATTAAATAAAATATAATTTTTGAATACGAAAATTGCGGGATTTATGTGACTTTTTTCTAATTTAATGCACCGTAAAATGCGTATTATCAGGATTTTATCGATCCAATTACCAGATGGAAATATGTTTCATACGTTTGGTACGCTGTTTGGTTGTGTGTGTGTGCGTGTGTTTGACTAGTGCGATATATAAAAATATTTTGTTAGCCGTATAGTATGCAGTTGTACTATTACTATAATTTTTGGTTATAAATTTTAACGTAACCCGCGCCAGAAAGAGAAAACGAACGGTTCAATAAAAGGGCTGCTTCTCCTCTGTTTGTCCTTCCGACTTGTTCCACCCTCACTACCCGACCGCTCTGTCCCACTCAAACGCTGCTCTCATCTACTCTTCACACCGTCTACAGGATATCCTTATAAATCCCACTTTTCACCAAGGTATACACGCACGCTACTCGATTCAATATACAGTACCCGATATGTTCCTATAACGGAGAGAAAAAATAAAAATAAAATAAAATCTGTCTCTCTCACTCTTCTTGTTTCGTCCGTTCTCCCTCAGTTTTTCTTTATTTTTACATTTCATTTTTGTTCATTGCGTTTCATATTGGATTTTCTCCAAAAAGATTGAATAATTTTATCGGCTTGTATATAGGTACCTGTATTAGTATTTTTAATTGTGTATCGCAATCGGGTGATTTTAAGGTGAAATATATTCCCTTTTATGCTTTTTGGCTTAAGTAACGATTGCGTTATCACACCGGAGAAAATGTATTCGAGACAAGTTCTGAAATTACGTTTATGAAGTCAATTGTAAATTATTGGATACCTACTTATACGAATATTATATGTATAGCTTTTTGACATTCTCAAAATACTGGATACGTTTTAGATTCTGAGTGGAGCGAGGAATACGTTGATTTTACAATGATCTATATTTTTTTCTATGAACAACTTTTCTACCAGCAATTTTGCTCCGATTTACAATAATAGCACTTTTTTTCAAAGAAAATCTAACTGGAGTGGTACTTTAGGAAGACTATTTTTTGATTTCCCCAAGAGTTTTCATAATAAATGTGAAAAATCGGAAAAAAATCGTAAGACAAACTGGCAAATTTACGAAATATATTATTTTCGTAAATATTACGGCCTTTTAAAACATGTATAACCGAACTCCACTCAGAATAGTTTTTCATTAGCAATGATCAATCGTTGCGTACAGATATGCATTAAATGTCCCTTCTACTTTTTTAACTTCTCACCTTCAACAGTTGTCCACCCATCGTGCGAAGTATGTCCGTTTGTTGTTTTTTTTTTTTTTGGATTGTGATTATTCGAATTTCTCTCTCTGTGCAACCTGTGAGTCGGTTCACAGTTTTTATAATTCTTCATCATTACTACTCATCATTTGTATGTTTTTTTAAGTGGCTTATCAAGAAGTAGTGATGTCGTCCTGTTGTTCTCATTCCCGCAATTCAAGAATGATATTATACAATTCTCCCGAGTGTCTTATTGTGTGTTCAATCATTTTCTATCGACGCCTTTTAATCATTTCCACCAAACTGTGTTCTTATCCGGCAATATCACCTAGTATTTTATCGTTAATTTTTCTTTCCGTCTAGTCTATTTTTCCGAATCCGGCTTCAGCCTCTAACCTCACATTTCTATAGATTCCAATTGCTTTTCTAAAATATATTAATATTATAATTATAATTGATTTTTCGTTTATGTAAACTACCTGTGTAGAAAATGTAATTAAAAGTTTTTTTAAAATGTACTCCGATACAGTTTTATCCTTCGAAAATTCGTAAATAGGTAATTATATTAAATATTTTTCCTGAGCAATTACCTTGAGATTTAAACTATTATATAAAAGTTATAATTTTTACTAGATGCATAAGACTTGTTTAAAATAAAGTGTCGTTTTACCAGTGGATTGAAATGGCGGGACGTTGACCATAAAAAAAACAATTACACGTTTCAAACATCAGCTGGTGTTATCATAAAAAATGTCCATAAATCAAATATATAGTGTAATATTTATTGTCTCTTGGGCTGTCATAATACAATAACAAATTGCAATAATATGTTTTATTGTCTGTATTAATTTAAAAAAAGACAATATATAATTCATTTTTTTATGATTTCCTGTGCGGTAATAAAATAATCCGATTACGCGTTTTAAAATCTTAAAAGTTATTTTTCGAGTAGGCAATATAAATGTGCTTCAGAATAGTTTCAAATAAAATAGATAATAATTTAGAAATCTATAATGGTAATTTTAAATCAAAAATTCGAAATAGTTTTCCTTTAAAATGTGATTCCCACATAAAGACACTCTGTAAGTACAGGTTGCATACAAATTTCGAAAGCGGAATTAAATAAGTTATGTGTGTCCGGTGTAACTTTTATTCAGTATATAATATTATGCTTATTCAGGGATTTGAGACGGTTTACTGATTTACCGATTAAACTCTGGATCGCTATAAATATTACGATTTGTAATTTTGAATTACTCGGATCATATTTTACTTGATAAAAATACTAAAAACATCTTGCGAACAATTGCAATTTACTGTTTTCAAACGTGAAAATAATTGGAATGTCAAAAGAAAAATCAAATCAAGATTACGTGTATTATAAAATTAAACGTTAGGCAATAAGTGTATTTGTTGAGCTCTGTGCTCAATTAAAATGTGATTGAAAAACGTCCGAATATTTCGGGATTTAATTAAATTGAACACCCAATTTCGAAATTCAACCCCTATAAAAAAAAAAAAATGAGAATTAAATTAGCACGGATATCGCCCCGTGTAGGACAGCTTAATAGTCATAATGCACGTAAATCATCATATATTATACGACGATGAAATATTATATTAGCGTATAGAGTTCACAGCCGTACGAGACGAAGAAAAAACCGGACATATTTTATTATTCTGCTCAATATGAGTGAACAACAGTTTTGGGCGAGTCAACACTCGATCCGAGTATACATATTACATATATATATATATATATATATATATATATATCTAAATGATAAATTGTAAATATTTAAATAAAAAAAAAAAAATATATATATATATGTATACAATGGCTACCTAGGATTTTGTAAAAAACATATTTTAACAAATTTAAATTGTTTAAATTTATTCATTTTTTAAATATATATTAGAGGAATTATAGAGTAAGGTTCCATAGTAGTTACTGCAATAAAAAAAAAAAAATTGAAAATATTTAACAGACCAAAATTTATTTTAGATGTCGGATCTTCGTGTTACAGTCTACAGTATATGGTATTACGTTGGTACCCATATAATATTACGTTCGAACGATTAATGTCCATAAAAAAATGAATTTATAAAACCGATCATTACCAGTGGCTGGGTTGTCACGTTTTTGTTTTCAAAATAAAGTATCTACAACATAACACATGAACCTTTTTTTATTATTTCTTTGGAAAATCTTCTTTTTTTTAGAATTAAAATCATATATTCCGAAAAATGTGTTAATATTAAAAAAAGAAAAAAAGTATTTCAGCGTAGGTACTTTATTGATACTGACAAGTACAGTACATACATTGTATTTATACAATGTATTTTGAAAAAAAAAAAGACGTCCTAAGATAATGGGGACGGGTGCAGCCACTATTATAGATAATTTAATGTATATCTATAAGCAACGATAAACCATTACTAACGAAAAACGATTCTGAGCTGAGTTCAGTTGATAGTGATGCTTCGTCAACAATATATATGTCATTTTATAGTAAATAATGAAACAGGCTTCATATATTTTCTTTAATAATATTTGTTTCGTGTAGTACCGATTTTCCCAGATTTCCTAGGTTTTCCCGGTTTTCCCATGTTTTATCCCGGTTTTTCACATTTGCTGGGACAACTCTTGTGAAAATCAAAAAACGACTTCGCTAGTGAACAGTCTTTTAAGAAACACTGCTATTATTAAAAATCGGAGCTAAATTGCTAGTATAAAAGTTGTGCACGGAAATGAAGAAAGCCGTAATATATTTTAACTCATACCCACATTTCTTATATTTTCCTGTTATTGTTTTCAGTTTTTCGCATTTAATGACAAAACTCTTTAGAAAATTGAAAAGTGATCTCCTTAAAGTACCTCCTCACAGCAATTTCCTTTCAGAAAAGGTTATACACCACGTAGAAATCCGAGCAAGTCTTCAGAAAAAATGCACTCTTTGTAAAACTATAAGCTTCTCCGCTCTACTCAGAATCTAAAATAGTTAAATAAATTATTATTTTAGAAAAATAGCTAAATACAGTTTACAGAAAATTATTTGCGATATTGTTATTGTTAATATTTAAACTTGAACGCTTTTATAGAAATAATATAGAAATTATTAGAATATTAAATGTCAGATACAATAATATTAGTAGAACGTAAAACAAAATAATTAAATAACATCATACAATATTTGTAGAAGGCAGACAAATTTTTGAATATGTTGCTACATAAACATTTGGATTTGTTTCATAAACGAAATTTCTTTTTCGGTTCAAATTTGATATACGCGCGAATTATGAATATTTTTAAATTAAAGCAAACGGACATTAGGAAATTTGGCGGTGAATTTTCGCAAAGTTTTAATAAAACAGAAATACATAGCTCTGATTACTTAATTACTTGATTACTTGATTTCCCTGACGTATAAAAATATTCACACTTTGCCTTTAATTAAGATTCAGATTTTTTCCACCCACTAAAAAATGTTTCCCACAGTAAAAATATATACAAGACTATTTCGTTTAGATTCAAATACAGATTCGTATACAGTAGAATGGCTTTTGGTTTGAATCGGAAAAATTCTAAAATCGTTCGATATTACAAATTCAATACACTGTACGCACACTTTCTTAACAGGGCGTGGGTCAGTAAATTATTCCGTAACTTACTTTTTCCGTTTGGGACCGTTTGGGTCCCAAATCGTATACATCACTACTCGGGGGATTATTTCCCCCTTACTATACTATAAATAAACCAATTACTGAAAGTTTTAAATTATCAGCTTGCACGGGATGGGTTTTGTATTTTATTTAAATAGGTTTTTTTTTTTTTCACATACCGAAAGCAAAATATTTTTAAATTTACTAAATCAGTGACGGGTGCTTTTTCCTCCTCATCACAATATATAAGAGGATTTGCAGATAATATTTCAATGCCAAGCAGTAGCGCCGAAATAAGTTTTTATATTTGTGGCAATAAACAGTAATTTATACCAACCTACCTACATGATATTAAACCTAAGTTATGGGGGAACATAGCCCCCCGAACGAACTACCAATTTCTTAAACTATAAAATATTATTTTCACAAATTATATTATTTACTGAATAATGTTTACATTTTTGCATCATTTGCATGTTTTATGTGTAAATACTTTAAATAGGTATTTAAATTTTTAATTAGCATGCAAATTATTTATATAATCATTAGAAATATTTTGGTTTTACTATGATGTGTTTTTTTTTTTTTGTGTGTATCATCAATACTTTTCTATCAGAAATTTTACTCCGATGTTTACTTTTTAGAAGCAACACACTTTCCAAAAGGTAATTTTGTCTAGTTAGTGCATTAAACGTAAAATTAGACGTCAATTTTTGATTTTCTTAGAGGTTTTCATAATAATTGGGAAAAACCCGAAAGAAAATTATAGATAAAACGGCAAATATTCACAACGCGGCTCGGCGTTACAAATTTAATTACTTTAAATTTGTACACACGATATGTCGTACCAGAAATATTGCTTCAATCGAAAAATGACAATAAATCGATTTTGTTCCTTTAACATATAACCATTAACGAAAGTAATTTTTTGATATCTAAAATATTTTTCATAATAATTTAGAAAAACCAAAAAAGACAAAAAATCAGATTTTTTTCAAATCACTGCGCGACGATTTTATTATTTAAAATTTGTACGACTTATGTTTTCTACCATAAATGTTGGTCCAGTAAAAAAACGACAAGAAACCATTTTTTTTTTTAATTTTTAATTTTATTGGTAAATTAAACAATAGTTTGTCGATTTTCCGTGAAATTTTTTTAATAATTGAGTAAAACTGAAAAAAAGCGGAAAAATTTACCAAAATAATGATTTTATAATTTTCAATTTAGTTTATTTATTTCGATTCGTTTAACCCTATTCGTAGAAACATGAAATTTAGACAAAAACTTATATTTAGCTTTTCTAGAAGTAGTAAAATTTTCAAATATTTGAACCTATTTTGAGCTATTTATAAACTTTATAATTTTGGGATTATTACGAATGAAAAAGAAACTTTGCTTTTTTTTAAAAATTGTTCTAAAAAAACCACTCAGCTATGTACGTAAAGTTTTTAAATAAATGTTGTTCACCATTGTGTAACATTCTTGGAACGATCTTAGGTAATGTCAATTGTGGTGTGTCAGAAGTAAATTCTTCATAAAAGTTACTCACATCTTCTAGGGAATTCCAAATTTATATTTTTATTTTTTTCATATTAGTATAATTTATTATGTAGATCTAATATTAGGTTTCAAAACAGATATATTTAAGACGCTTACAACGTTAGGTATGAATGGAGGTTGAACTTTACTCTGTAACAAATCATCCTAAACAACTTGTCCGAAAAAAGTTTCTATTTTCATATCTTTTGCTTCTATTTCACTCGAACCTAATCTGTGTTTTAGATTTTTACATAATAACTATATCCACAAAAATAATAAAATATATTTTTTTTTTTCGTAAGTATATAGTTTAGGTACTCTAATATAAATTAAAAATAAAATACTTTTCTAATGATCGCAATCGCTTTTAACGATAAAAATTAGGATATTAAACTCCATCGTTCACTATAGAGTCAAAAACTTTTTGGTCATCGCCGCCTGTGAGGGGGAATTATGTGATACAAATTTATATTAGTTACGGTGTTATGTTACACATCAATATCCAAGATATATTTACCTCTCGGACAAACATTTCAAATATTAGTACTCCTGAGGCCCACCAATCTACATTACGCGTATACGAAGTTTCGGTAAGAAGAACTTCAGGAACTATAAATTCGGTAGTTTCACGAAAGGTTCCGGTCCGATCGCCAAATACCAAACCCTCTTTGTACAATCCAAAATCGATTATTTTGACGTACCCATCAGTGTAAACTAACAAGTTGTGTAATTTTAAGTAGCTAACAAATAATAAACGCACCATATTAATAAAACGTCAAGTATAAAAATGATATTTAACATTGTACTAACCGATAAATGATACTGTTTCCATGTAAATATTTTATTCATAAATCAACACAAGCATAGACACCTGCTCTTGATTCTGTAAACGCCCCGTCATTTATGTGTGTATTTAAAACACCACCAGCAGCATATTCCATTACAAAACAAACATGAGCCTGTAAACACTAAACCAAACAGTTTTAAAATACAAATAAATAACTAATTTTTTTACTACACTTACGTCTGTTTGAAAGCAGGCGAATAAATTTACTAAGAACGGGTGTCGTATATCATTAGCCACTTCGAATATTTTTTTTTTCGGATATTAATGTTTCCACATCGCCTTCAGCAATTATATTCCCTTTTTTCGGTGTTTTTATGGCGAAATATTCACTTGATTTTCCAAGTTAACATAATATTACCTAATGTGAATGGAAAGCAAATGAAACACAAATTGCTTATTTGTAACCCAATTATTTTTGCCTTCCAAAACCGCCTCATCCCAATAAGCGCAGAATTCTGAAATCGTTCATAGACATTTGTTGAGTGTAGTGTAGAATTTATCTTTTTTGGGCGTGGTAACATTTTCAAAACAATTTTTCCATTTTTAAGCTGTTTATAGACATTTTAATTTTGCAAGTTTTTTACGTAATTTTTATTTTGTAGATACTTTGTAGATAAAATTGTTTAACCAAACGAAAATGCTTAAAAATTTAATAGGAGATTCATTATAAAATAATATTTTAATGCATTTTTTTTTTTATAAGTATTTTAATATCAAATTTTGACGAAAATCGTAAATATTACCCACGGTCTTTCAAAACATGTATAAATGAACTCTGCTCAGAATCGTTAGCAATGATTAATCTTTGCGCACAGATATATTAAATTCGCTTTTTTATCCCATCATCCCAACTTCTCACCTACAACAGTGCCAATATTGTGAAGTATGTCCGTCATTTTCAACATAAATATATGCTCATTGTATTTCGTTTGATCAGCGTAATATTTTTTATCTTTTAAATGTATAAAAAATTATATTATTTTTTTACCACAATCTGTAATCTCAGATACAACGAAAAATATTTAAATAATAACATTACTATCGTGTATATGTTTTCACTCTGTATAGCTTGCCTACAACACCGTGAACTATCTGTAGCCGCTGTAGTAGATTTATAAATGTATTATTATTACTATTGTACTATTGGTTATTTATCATAAAACTATTAATTAAACAGTAATAGTTATAGTTAAATACTTATCTGCTTCTACTAATGCAATTGTACAGTATCTACACGCTACTGCAGTCTAGGGATAGACTAGTTTGCGTTATTTGTAATACAAAGTCTACTGCTCCTCGTATTAATTGTAAAAATTACAATGTTTTATAATAAACTGTCAATGCTAGAGGGTATACTCACCCCTTAAATTAGGTTCAGCACCACTGATTCTAAGTGTATTATCCGTATTAAGAAATATAAAATTATTATTTGTTATTTTGCCAAGGAATATAAATTGATCGTTTCAAATCTATTGTTCATTGTACGCGTCTGTCTAATACAGTGCTAATCGCCAGTAACGATTAATTGTTAATGTTTTCATTTCAACGATTTTATTTCGTAACGTCAAAAAATACCATAAACTTATTATATCATTACGTACTTATTACTTTCCGGTCAATATTTTAAACTTATATAACTGTGTACAGAAAAAAAAAATCACTAATCAGTACGGGTTATTTCAGAAATTTTTCGAGGGAGGGTTGGGAAGGGAGAAGAGTGCAGAGCTAGAATAAATACGATACGTGAGAAAAAAAAAATACCGAAAATTGCACAAGTATTTCTGAAAATGTCGGTGCACATAATTATTATCGATTATTGAGCCGAAAGTTTATTATTTATTGCAGTATATGCGTTCAAATTCACGATAGTGCATAAGAGGATCCGGGGTAGTGCTGTCTTATATCATTATAAAAATTGTTCTTTCTACTGCCGTATAATCACTCCGCACATATAAACACCTTACGAAAAATGTGCAACGTTAAAAAACATGTAACGGTGAGTTAACTATATTATCGGCACGTAAACGTTTTCAAAAAAAAATAAATAACACTTCGGAAATTGCATGGTTAAATTATACTGCAATAGTCAGTGAAAACTAAAAAAAAAAAAAAACCCTGCAATATTCAGATTTCATTAACAGTGCGGTCCTGGAGGTACTGGATATTTATTTTTGCAAAAAGAAAAAAAAAACAGTTTTTAAATTAAAACTAAAATCCGGGGTTTCTTTTTGTTTTACACATTATTTTTTGTACGTATCATAATATTATAAAAAAATAGTGAATAACAAATATAAATTGATCTAAGTTTAAGAACAAAATAACAATAAATTGTAAAAATATGTTATAGTTCTTTGTCCGAAAGTAATAGAAATTAATGGTATTAATTTATGTTTGTTCAGATCCTCGTAAAACCTGGTGCCGTCACAGTACGTTAAAGTAAATCGGTGAAATAAATATCATAAATATCTTCTACCTATTGAACTAACAAATATTTTACCACCAGAAAATATCGGAAAAACTATTATTTTTTTTTTTTTTTTATATGTACTTTAGTCGTTGAATTTTGCTCACGTTTTTTTTTTTCTCTCGGTGTAGTATTTTATTATTATTATTATTTTTTTTTTTAAACATGTCTCGGTGTCTCTCACGGGACTCGCCGTCATCAATATTCATGAGAACCGGGTCATTCTGTCACCCCTCGGCCCTCGTCAACTTAAACGTCGTCGTCATCGTCGTCGTCCTACATCACAAACGTATTTATTCGCCTATTGATCTCGTCTGAAATGTTTTTTTCCCCTTTTTTCCACCCCTTGAATATTAAAAACGCATAATACGCGCGTACAGTATATCTTTGTATCTATATTATATATATTAGCACAAAAGCACACGTTTGTCGTCTTCATTATATTCCCGGGTACGATGCTTTTACAGGGCACCAAAGTGTTCGATCATCGTCGAGCTCGTTGTGATAATATTATTTTAAGTATAGAAAGTAAAAAAAAAATGTCATCGCATAAAAAAAAATAACACTCGATAAAGGCGTATGAATATAATTCTTTTGAATGCGTTTTTCTTCTTATGCGGTATGGCGTGAAACGATACATTTTTGTCACATATGCCGATCACTTTAGACGTTTTCGATCGATTTGTTTACCATTGGCCGACGGGTGAACGTAACCAACACCTTGACGATCAACCAAAAGACGACCATGTAAGCCTGCAACACTGCGGCTACCTAGAAATATAAATCCATTCCGATCTGGAGATAGTAGTCGTCATTTAGATCTGTCGGGTGCTCCGGCTAATGGTCTACCGGTGGTCCGCCCGGGTACCAGATTGCCACGGACATGCCCCACAGGGCTGGATACCAACGGTCAGTAGCGATCCCGGGCGTTACTAACGGCTGAACCGTGGTATTCACGGTCAGAGCCGTGTCAGCCTCCGAATCTGGCGAGCCCCGTTGGCCCGCCGTCAGTTTCGCACAACTTCGGACGTTCGGCGTTCGTGTTCGAAACATGACTATACGGCACAACGTTAAGTTAGGATAGGTTAGATTAGGTTCCCATCCTAAGATTGATAAGAGCGTACCACACCGCCTCCACGAGCCAGGATCCGGACGAGAGCTCCCGACGAGGAACGGCTGTCCCAGAGTATCAGTTCTACCAGTGTATCTGTCCTCAGTTAAGAAAGAGAAGCTGGTGGTGAAGCTGCATCTCTGGCAGGATTGCCTTTGGCAGTGTAGGTGTCTGGAGTAGGCAAAGGAGAGAAGCGAGGTCCGGGGGTTCTTCGATAGTCGAGATCTGCGGCTAGAAGATACTCTAGATCTGTCGTGTGGCCCTGACAGGTTCCATAACGACTTCGTCAGACTGTTGGCTGTGGCAAATCGGGGACGGGACACCTTCCTCACCATGGTCGAGTCGATAATGGTGAGTAACGAAGAAGACGAGAGGGCAAAGCAAGCCCCAGAGCAGATGGCTAGACGTCGGCGGCGTCCTGCTTGATAGGTTTATGTCGCCTTCTGAAAGGCGGCTCCGTTTAAGAGTGTAGACCGAAACCGAACCGGGAGAAGCAATGCTACCGGGATTCCCACCGGTTCGGCGTAGTTTACTGTAAGGCACAAAAAGATAAGGCTTGGTTAGGTTCGGTTAAGTTCGACACGATCATAAGTATACGAGTTATTTAAGAGCCATCGTTTAGGAACCTAATCATTTCGTTGTATAATTCGTAGGTATCGGCATAAATACATGTAACATTTAATTTATTTCCTATTGGTCTAATAATATACACGGAAACTTTATACGTCGGCTATAAAAATTTGTTTCATTAAGTAACATACGTATAGATTAAAACATTAAATTTGTTTTCTCGCTTCTTTAGCAATTCAATCGGTTTTTTTTTTTTCTAGTAATTCATTTTTTTTAACTTAACCGGCCAATAAATATTGGGGACGAATATTTGTATGCGGTTTCCGGGACGAAAATACAAAATACATTGACGATTCGGTAAAGGTCTATGACGTGTCGTTCCAGTCCAATCGCTATTGTACTTGGGTACCGACTGACTTTTGCGTTTCGCTAGACCGCGAATGATTATGGATTCAAAACAATATAATAAAATAATATATTTACGAATCGCGTATATGCGAAATATATATCGAAAAAAGTTTTCTATTAGAGATCGTGTCCGGAGAGTTGCAAAAAAAAAAAAAAAAAATAGAAATAAAAACTCGGCCATTGAACACGGAGATTACGACAGTTTCATTGTTTTTTAGTTTTTTTTTTTTTTTTTATACATATATATTAAATAGCGCCGGAGTTTTTAAACTCGGGTATTATTATAATATTTTTATTTGAATTATAATTTATATATTCGAGTTTCATATTGCGCTTAGTTGGAAAACCGTTGCACGTTGCGTATTGATCTAAAAATACGAACTCGCATTATTATACTCGGTTATGGTTTCAGTGCCGCCACAGATGATAATATTACGCAAACTTATTATTTTTGTTCATCATTAACTGTTGGATTTTTATTTGAAATTAAAAAAAAAAAAAAATAAAATGAATCCACTAGGGGATATAATTTTCGGGCTATATAGCTCGATCGTCGATGAGTTAACATGGTATCGGTTAAAAATATTATTATTTGTGTAAGCAATATAATTACTGCGGGTTTGAAAAAAAAATTGTTACGAGACGAGGTCAAAAAATAAAATGTTCGATTTTATGCATTTTAATATCAAATTTGACGAAAATCGTAAATATTTCTACATTTTAAAACATTTTTTATCGAATTTCACTTAGAATCGTTTTTCGTTAGCAATGTTTAATCATCGCGTACAGATAAACATTAGATTTTAAGTTTTACACAGTTTTTTTAATTTCCCTTTGTTTATCTGCCTATCTATCTACTTATCTTGGTATCTATGTCCCTCAATTTTCTACTTCTCCATCTATCTATATTAGAGGCGTTTGATGGTTTAAAATCCTAAAATTATAACGGTACTGGAATATTATCGTTTGGACGTCATAATATTATTATTGTTGCATAACAGTCATATAAGTACAGTATGTTATTAAATATCGTAATAAATCCTATTTCTAAACGAGTTTAGTCTTAATAAATTATGGCTTCGAATTACGCATCGGTCTGCGAGTAAATATATTAAATCCGGGTCACGTTTACATAATATTAATTCTAAAAACGGTCGGATTATTGAAAAATTCATTAATTTATTCGTTTGTTGTTAGCCAATACTGATAAATATGAATACTAAAATAATATGCTAATAATAATAATACTAAAGTAATAATACTAAAAAAAATACGAAGATAAGAATCTTGAATCGATAACGGGAAACACTAAGACTGGGCTAGTTAATGAATAATTTTAAGTCAATTAAGTAAATTGAATATAATTTAGAAAGTTAAGTTTTAAAGTTACAAGGTTATTATTATATTTATTAATTTAGGTTTAGACTTTTTATATTAATAGATATCTAATATATGTAAATCAATAGTTAGGTAAACAGAATTCCCATGATTTGAAAAACAATTAATCGAATCTTTCAATAACCTATGTATAAACGCTCAGTGGTAATAATACGTGTAAACCCAGCTCATTTTATTTGCACAAAATTTACTCCGAGGTGATTTTTTTCAGAAAATGTTTATTATGAAAGTTAAAAAAGTTTTATTTTTCATTTTCATGATCACGATTAGTGAAAATCATTCAAAACGATCACAACATACCGACATTAAAATCAGAGGCATTTCCGACAAATGGTACACTTATTTATTTGAAATATGTTTATAAATTCCCATTAATTTTTCAAAATAAAAAAAGACGTCCTAGGATAATGGGGACAGTTGCAGCCACTGTTATAGATAATTTAATGTATACCTGTTGTAAGCAACAATAACCCACTGCTTACGAAAAAACGATTCTGAGCGGAGTTCAGTTGTTAGTAATGCATTGTCAACAATATTTATGTCATTTTGTAGTAAAATAATTAAATAGGCTTCATATATTTTCTTTAATAATATTTGTTAATGTTATACCGATTTTCCCAGTTTTTCTACGTTTTTCCCATGGTTTATCTCGATTTTTTACATTTGCTGGGAAAACTCTTGAGAAAAATGACCTCAAAGTACCTCTCCATGCTGTTTTCTTTCAGAAAAGATGCTACACGTAGAAAACCGAACAAGTATTCCGGCACAAAATTTGCACACAGAAAAAAAAATAAATATCATTGTAAAACTATAAGCTTCTTAGTTCCACTCAGAATCTAAAAAATGGTCCTCAACAGTCACCAATACAAAATGCGAATAATTCATTAAGAGAGGGGAAAAAGTGGACAAAGCACAAACGCACGCTCCAAACTTAAAATAGGGGTCATCAAACATATTAACTAACAAAAAGTCAACAAAAATTAAATGATACGACACCAGTGGGCTTAAATAAAATCTAAAAATAAACATTTCATTATAGCAACTATGCGGAAAATTGGAATTTTCAACATGGACGTAATCGTCGATATCATTTTAGTTATTACGTTTCTGCCAGTAAATTAATAAACTTTTACTTGATAGCTTTCACAAGGTCTTGTAATCGTTTTTTTTTTATCAATGATTTCGATTTCCCGTCGTAGTAGAGTTGAGGCAACATTTCGGTGTGTAAATATCTACCAATCGTGTCCACGATCATTATCGTTGTGCATTTCCTGCAGGCCAACGGACGGATTTTAGTGATGAGTTTTTTCATCAAATTGAAATACGCTAGAAACGTTTCACTGTCGTCCGGTATTTTTGTCGGAACCAGCGATCCGACTAACATTCTGCACTAAAGTTCGATCAGTTCGATGTCGATCCATTATTCCCGATTTAGTATACTTGGTTTTGCCAAAATTTGCAGCGTCTTGTTCGATGCTTACTTCGGTGAACAGGGGCGTACTTAAAAGGGAATTTATATTTTGTTATTGGTTTCTAGAATAATTTTATATTTATGTAACATAATAACAATTTATCATTTTTTAAATTTAAATTTGTCATTTCTTTATTCGATATATACATCAAAATAACGAATGTAAAAATGTTCGTTATCACATTCTCATAATATTTTTTCAACATTTTCTTGAAATCGTAAACAGTTTATAGCAGTTTTTGTTGAAGTTTCACAATTCACTAGAGAATGTCCTAAAAGCCATGCAATTTTAAAAATTAAAGTTAAAAAACACTGTCCAGATTTTAAATCAGATATCGTATTATTACTACTCGTATTATTAAAAAACCGCGCACAAATAGACGGATCGAACATCACCAAGCTTTTATAAAAATTAATCAAATATTTCATGCAATTATTTAATTTTTAGAATATTTAGAATTGTATACGTTTAGAACATTTAGAACATTATTTTGAACCGGTAAATATGAGTCATAAATATGCATAATTTGAATTTTTTGCCGGCGAATATTAAGTCGGCAGCACATAATAATAATGATGTCGTGACAAAATGTGTACATGTCATATTTTACAAAAATTGTAAAGATATATATTTTTGTATAAGACAAATATGCTATTTAAAATGCAATAAGTGGAACTAGCGCCAAGTTGATAAAATAAATTAATAAATTAAATATTGTTAATTAAAAGAACAAAAGGCTGATATTTCTGATTGATGTTCCGCTATTTTTGGAGGAAAGTTGGAAGGGTGGATATGTTAAAGTAAATTTAATTTATATCTGTACACAACGGTATACCATGGATAACGGAAAACGGTTTGGAAAAAATTATTATTAGTAATATTATTAGTCGTAGGTTTTCCATTTTTTGACAAGGTAAAACAGCACTCGACACAAATTAATCAAAAAATTACCAATTTCCCCATTTATTAAGAAAACTACAAGGGGAATTAAAAAATAATCGCCACCATACATCAATAAAACCAAAAATACTATGAGAAAGGTTTTATACATTTTTTTTTTATTGAACTAAGGTTTTAGTTAAAATATTTTTTCAAAAAAAAAAAAAAAAAAAATGAAATACATCATTACAAAGCCTCCTCATTACTCCTCGCTTCTCTCAGTATCTACAAAAGTACCACGAAAAAAATTGTGCTTTTAACCACTTGTCGTTCCCCATAATTAACGGTGCATTTGTATTCTCTCTTATTTTGAATAGAGACCGTGATCTGGTGATGAGGAAGTAATTGCAAAAAAACACGAAAATTCGCTTGAATTTATTGACGCTGTAGAACTCACACAAACCAAAGGCATATTTATGGGGAGGAGATAAAGAGTTCGCAGCCCTAAAACATATGAGTTAAACATAGTTTTAAACAAAAGTATGGTGAGTTCTGGAGTCTTCGAATGGTATTTATGGAAAAAAATCTGTTAGCTCCCTCTCTTCTAGAAAAAATCTTTAGAAATATTTATATTATATTTTTAATTTTACGACTTCGAGAGCTATTTAAATTACTTGCACAGTCTCTATAATATTATTATATAAAAAATGTTATTTTGAAAAACGTTATTTTCTGAATTAAAAGTCGATGATGGACAAAAAAATACAAATTACCTTTTATAAAATTACGCTCTAAATATAATCAAAATAATCGAGTTAATATTTAACCGGCAATATTTTCATTCTACTCCGTATTTAGCATAAAATAATTAATAATATTCTGAAATTACGACTATTTTTTTATTTTTGGAGGGTGGGGAGATGGATTCTATTGACTTTTTTGCATTATTCATTAGTTTCTCGAAACTCAATATTCAACTAAAATATTGTTATAATGATTGATGATGAAGCGAATAACGCGCAAGACAAAACAAAATCCATTATTAATAATATTTTACATTATGACTTATTATAAGCATTAAGCGCTAAAATTTGAATAGCGTTAAAAAAATGATTTATTAATCATAAACGAATATTACATTCATAATTTTAGGTTCTCAGAAAAACAGTAAAGAATAAGCTATTATTTTTACTAATATGTGTTCACGGGAAAAAGTTTTTCGGTTACTTGACAAGTGCTTCGATTTTTTCACACAATACTTTAAAAGATGCACATTTTATTTTAAAATATTTTCGAAATTCCCAACTTTTACTAAAATATATATTTTTTTTTAAATAATCACAACGAACGACAATCCATCGGTTTTGTTTTTGTCAATTTCTGGATTACCTTTTGGCTACACACAGGAGAAAACACAACGGCACCAACTTAGGCTCCAAGTTACTGAGCTCAGCTTAGAATGATTTTTCGATCTCAATGCTTCACCGAAATTTAGAAATTTCATGGATCATGTGGTTCCTTAACCCTCCGCAAAATTTCTTACGTCATGCAAATTAATTCCTCAAGTTTTACGATTTATAATATATTATGTCCTCTCCTCCCCAAAAACATCTTGTGTGCATCACTGTGGTCGGATTTTTGTTAATTTTACTTTAATAATCATATATATTAATTTTATTTTTTTTTAGGTCGATTTGAGACATGCCAGTGAAATCAATGGTTCGCGGGTCGTGGACGTCGGCGTTGATTTATCCGAATTTTATGCGTCCGTCGAATGGGATATTTTAGAGGTTCCGGCAATAAGGTATGAGCCTTTTGAAAATTATATATTCATCACGGTCGGCGTTCATTAGCATAATTTCATTATGTTATACCTACCCTCTATTTTGCATATTATCATTATAAATTAAAATAATATTAACGGAGTTATTGTAACTGCTAGTGATGTCTATACGACATTGTTTTTGTATGTGTACCTTTGTTAACCATACTTTATTAGACTTTTGACAATTTAAGTTCATCACCGTTACGCGATGTGTTCCCCTACGATGAATTATTAATTCCAAAATTATAATATTAAAAAATAAGACAGGTAGGTATACTACCTACCGTTCGGGTAGCGTATTTACAGACTTCGAGTTTGGCTCAATTTGAAACATACCCGGTACCTAACCAAGTTTGTTTAGTAGACGTTTTAGGAGATTTTTAAGAGTTTCACAAAAATCAACCTACTTGTTGTTCTAAACCTAAAACTATTCCAAGGAAGTGTTAGTTTAATAGTGACCTAAATGTGAACCTAAGAAATCTAGGTTCCAGTCAATGAAAAATAACGATTGTTCGCTTGTTTACATATGTGACTTGGACTGAATTTAGATAGGGTCTGTAAACACACGTCCAGGTAATGGTGTACAAATATTATTCAAATTTTTTCCTTGAGAATTAATCAATTATAAATGTAAAACAAATAATATGGTGATTACTTATTTTACAATCAAGTATTATTGATTTATTTTTATTTGAATAACGCAGTAATAGGAGAAAATAGGAGAGGGCGTCGATAAATAAAACAGTACGTATTAGGTGCTTTTTTTTTGAAGATAACCGAGGCAATTCTGTTACTGTGAATAATGAACGTTATCGAGGCATGATAAACAACATTTTTGTGGCCAGTTCTGCAAGAACTTGAAATGGAAGAAATTAATATTGATCAACTAAGGTTTCAAGAGCATAATGGACGGAGCAACCTGCCACACAGTCCGAGAGACCATAACTTAACTGCGTGAGAAATTCCATGACCGTTTGATTTTACTTCGCAGCAAACATTTAGCCACCTAAATCATGTGATCTAACTCCTTTGGACTTTTTTTATGGGAATAAGTCAAGTCATAAGTTAATGTAAACAAACCATGTATACTAGTATACTGGTATTGTCTCGACCGCTGACAAAACGCTACTGATAATTTGTCATCAGAGATAGCGTATATATGTATTGAGGATAAAAAAAAACCCCTGATCAAACACCACACAAGGAAAAAACTCCTGGCGTAGGAAAAAAACCCAGGAAAAGAATGCATTTACTAGTACCTTAAAACAATTTTTTTTTAATTAAAAAAGAAAGCATGGAAAAAACCCCATTGTAAATTAATGTAATGAAAACATAAAAAATTGTATTTTTAAATAATAATTTTTTAATTTTATTTGTAAATTTAAGTCATTGGTACAGGTATTATTTTTTAATAAAAATAACTTTAAAATAAAAAGACGTAATTTCATGAATAATAGCTTGATTACAACATAATATTTGTTATTTTATATACGCGGTTCAATTACTCGAAGTTTAAAACATTTTAAGTATAAATCTTCTTCTCTATATTTTATTTGTTATTATACATTTTTTTTACCACAAAAAAAATAATATGTAATAAATATTTAAATTTGTGTTTTTAATATTTTTTTGTCTTGGCTTTTTTTTCCTTCGTCAGAGCTTTTTTTTCCTGCGTCAGAGCTTTTATTTCTAGTATGTATTGTGGTCCGGGACTTTTTTTCCTAATACAATTTGCATGGCTGGTTTGACGGCGGCGCGTCACGGAAGTAAAAGAATGTAGTGGCATCAGAGCGTGTGACACTATTTAGTGTTTACATATTTATAATAAAAACGATTGTACTTATGGCATAAAAGAAAAAAAATTACTTCGCACGGGGGGGCAACCACTGCTATAGGTGAGAAGTTGGGAAGATAGTAGAGGGAATTTAATGTAGGTATATCTGTGAGCAACGATAAACCATTGCTAACGAAAAAAAAGATTCTGAGCGAAGTTCAGTTGATAGTGTAGTTGCTTTGTCAACAATATAACAATGTGCAATATTATATTAAATTAATTAAATAGACATTAAATATTTTCTTTAATAATATTTGTCTAATATTGTACCTATTTTCCCGTTTTTCCTACAGTTTTCTCATGTTTTTTTTCCAGTTTTACACATTTGATGAGAAAATCAAAAAAACACCACCTCCCCAATCCAATTTCCTTTCAGGAAACCCTCTACACTTAGAAATCGCAGTAAGATATCTGGTAGAAAAATTGTGCACAGATGAAAAATATAAACATTTTCGAAAAACCATAAGCTTCTTTGATCCATTCAGAATCTAAAAAAAAAGTTAGGTTATGACGATATGTTTATTACGAGCACAAAAACCGTTTTGGTATCTATGTTTTTTGAATTTATTCTTCAACGAAAATTACGTGTTTTTTCCTTATTATCACGTAACAAGCCTGTGCTGCCTAAGTGATACCTACCCTCTACACGAATTTTGTCAATAAGTCTAAACAAGTAAAAAGTATCAGAGTACAGAATACGAGTTTACGAGTGTAATTTAAAAAAAAAAAAAGTAAATTTTAACTCAAGTGATCATTTTTTTGAAAATTTAACTCTGAGCTTAATTCATTTTTCAAATAACTTAAATCGGTTATTAAAAATTGATTAACTTGCGGAGCTTTACCAGAAATACTATAAATAAAAATAAATAAACACGGCTTATAATGCTTTATGAGCGTATAATATTGTGACACACGAATCCGATTGGACGTTTATGGAGTTGAATCAACGAACACCGAACGCAAATGTTGAAACAATAATATTGTTTACACGTATAAAGCACAAAATAATATCAATTTTAGTCGCACTGCTGTAACGTTATATTTAATATTAAATAACAGCGTAAATAATAATAGGCCCTCGTATTACAAACGGCAGTCTGTATCATACTTCGGAAATCCATTACAATATCACGTCCGTAACACGGTAATGCGTTTTCACGTTCTGATTTCCACAGCCATTTCGAGGCTTGCCGTGCAGCGCATTATTAATTTCTCTCGGCGTACTACCGTCAGTGTATTATAATAAAGCCAACGTTTAATACGCGTATACGTTCTGAACGTCAAAACTGATTAATCGAACGGGGCAGTCCTGCCCCGGCCGATTATGAACAGTTTCTGTTTACATAGACACGTACAATACATAGTACGTACCATTGTAACCTATTGTATAAATGTTATATTTTACAGGAACGAGAAATTTTACACTTGCTGTGAAGAACCGTACTTGGATATCACGTTCAACATCACCATGCGACGAAAAACGCTGTTCTACACGGTAAACCTGATTATACCGTGTATGGGCATATCGTTTCTAACGATACTCGTGTTTTACCTCCCGTCGGATAGTAACGAAAAGGTAAGTCGCCCGTCGTCGGGTCTTACACGCATATTAGGTTCCGTGATATGTAAAAATATTTTTTTATTTTTTTTTTTATCACAGGTTAGTTTAAGTATTTCGATTCTTCTATCGTTGACCGTGTTCTTCCTGTTGCTAGCCGAGATCATTCCACCCACGTCGTTGGTTGTCCCGCTTTTGGGCAAGTTCGTACTGTTCACGATGATTCTCGACACGCTCAGGTATAACCGCCGTGCATACCTAACCGCCTTGCCGTCGTCATGTATTACTAAATACTAGATCTGTGTGAATGTAATCGTCGATTGAATATACATTGTGTATTTAATCGATGATATAATGCACCGAAAAACCTTTTGAAAAAAAACATATAATTTCCAAAAAAGTAATTGATACTTAAAAAAAAACACCCGCGACCACTGAGCAGCGTATATATTGCTTTCGTGTCAAGGATGTTCCTTTAGAGATTTCAACTTTCAACCTACGCTCTTACTACTGAATACTGAATTTTACCATTTGTTTGTATTAGGATTTATAGGTTGTAATGCAGTACCTAGTATATTAGTATACAATTGTAATATTATAGTATTCGGTTATTTATTGTTTTACAAAAAATATTTACAAAACACAAAATAGTTAAGAGGAAAATTCGACTCTACTGATTTATTTATAATGGTCTAATAGAATTTTCCCTGCTGTTCATAAGTGGTTTTTTTTAGTTGCGGTATTGCTTTTTTGGGAATTTAAATACCATTTAAAAGGTTTTTAGTACATTAAATTCACAGCCCTGCTGAAATTACCAAATTTTCATTTTTTTCAGCATATGCGTGACGGTGGTAGTGCTGAATGTTCATTTCCGATCGCCCACCACGCACGTAATGTCACCTTGGGTCCGCCGCGTGTTCATTCATATTCTGCCGAGAATGTTGATCATGCGTAGACCTCACTATCAGATGGAGAGAAAGAGGTATTACCGCTGCACTACACTATTGTTGTTGCTGCAATAATTAATATGATTATGTATTACATACGATTACATTGTGCCATATATTATTTAGTTTGATGGGAACTTGTCATCGAATCATGGTGAGAACGTGTAACGGACTGGAACTCAGAGATCAAGATTCTGCCGACGGATTACTCCAGGCCAGGTAAGTTCTACCTAAATCAGTTCATTAAGAGAATGAAGTCAAACCCCTCTTAATTCGATTTTAAAAATTGTTTTTCGCCAAACACCTCAACACTTTCCGTATTTATAGTATAAATACCACATTTTTGTAACACATTTAAAGGAGAACTTAATCTGTGTTACAGCATGCTTGGTTTTATTTGACAGCACTTTCCAATAATTTATTATAACTTTATAAGTAAATGAAAAAAGCATCGAAAGTTAGCAAATACATATCTTATATATAAAATTCTTCGGTTAGTGTTGGTTATTGAAATCCTCCGAAACGGCTTGACCAATTTTCATGAAATTGTTTGTGTATATTTGGTAGGTTTGAGAATAAGTAGTAAAGTATTTTTCACCCTGCTACCCTCGCCCACTATTTTTTAGTCGCGATTTTAGTAATTTCGCTTATATATATATACACACGAGCAAACACTAAATAATTTAGCTTATCATGTTATAAATACAATTTTTTTTTGTTGATTTGTGTTACCTCGGTAACAGGGATGAAAAAAAATGGTGATTAATTATTTCTAGAAATTAGTCGGAAAATACCATGTGATCATCAAAATCGGTCCAGCCGTTCTTGATTTATAAATGGTGTTAACTAACCAGACTTTGTTTTATTTACATAAGATTTTTGTTAATTCAAGGGTTGCCACGGAAAAGAAAACTATTATAATTATTATTATTTCTATTATTTACATTATTCAAGTTTCATAATAGAACACATTCAGTCCGCCGAACGTGGACTATCCGCTTTCCACCTATTTATTTTCATTCAATTCTAACACGGCCAAAACCAAAAACGAATATGGGTAAAATAATATTAATACAAATTGGCACGGGCAACGCCGGGCGCGGGACAGCTATTATATATACAACTTTAGTTGTTAGTTAACTAAAGTTCTTCACTGTATGTTCTGGTGTATAACTCTACGGCTCCACTATAAATAAGGAAAAAGTCAAGCTGCCCCGCGCAAAGCGGTTTTTGAGAAACATTTTAATTTATAATAATAGTGATTATATCAAAAAATGCTTGTAATTACGGCGAGTGGCTATTTATATACATTAGACAGTAAATATGAATATTTTTGAGTTGATAAATAATAAGTAGCCATTATTTTTTTTTTTTTTTTAAACTTCAAGAAGATTGCCGACTGTACACAACCTGTTAAATACAGGCGATATTATGTCCTCTTAACGCCCATTATTTTATTATACATAATATTACTATGTTCGATATATTTTTAAATGTATATTATAGGGATTTGGAGAGCGGAGTTATCGGCTGTTGCGAGATACACGGACCGATAATAGCGTTGCCCAGCCCACCAGAAATAATAAATCAAAACGTTCCGCTCCCTAAGGGTAAAAAACACTGGCATGATTGTCCGGAACTCCACAAAGCCGCCGAAGGAGCTGCCTTCATAGCCGATTACATAAGAAAAGAAGAAGAAGAGAAAAAAGTATTAGAATAGCACCCCTGATATAAACCGCAGAAGTTAGTAGGTATCATTTTAAACGTCGTTGATGTATGTTTTTCTTTCTATAGATCAAAGAAGACTGGAAATATGTCGCGATGGTGTTGGACAGGTTATTCTTGTGGATATTCACGTTGGCCGTAACCATGGGATCAGCGGGCATAATTCTACAGGCTCCCACTCTATACGATAATCGGCTGCCCATAAACGTCAAACTATCGGAAATACTGCCGCACACGCCGACAGTTAAACCAAATTACAACAACATAATGTAAACTACGATACAATATTATTATAATTGCTCAATATGGTCGAAACGTTGGATATATTTTAGGCTGGTGAGATCTATAATAATGCCTGGCATCCGAACGAACCCTGTCGGGCCTATATTTTCTACATACCAAAGGGTGGATCCAGAACTTAATTTGGGGAGGGGGAGGCAAAAGTGCAAATATAGTGCTAAAAATAGTAAATTAAAAGACCTTGTGAACCGAAACTTACTACTCCACTACAATGTTTGAATGGGGTGGCAAATCATTCCGTCGCCCCCACTCTGGATCCGCCACTGTATATACCACATTGAATAACCACGGAGGGATACCATTTCATTCGATTCCGTCCCTTTTTTCCCTGCCCGATTCCGTCCGGTTTTAGCAGGTAGATAAACATTCGATTGCGTCCCAAAGTCGGGTAAATGAAAAATATAGTATGTTTTTTCGAATATAGGAAAGAAAAGCAACGGAAAAAAAGCAAGTAAAAAATACCAAGTAAAAGAAAAAGCATATGGAAAAAAAGTAAATGAAAAAAAAGCAAATGGTAAAAAAGTAATATTATTGGTTAGTACTACATATTATATAGTACCATATAATAGATACCTACCCTATATTTTAATACCACTAACTATATTATATATTCAACGATAATATTTTAAACATTTTCACAAAAATAATTATCGGAGTAAGTTATCGAAATCTGCAGTCCATTATCAAATATAATAAAAATGACTTCTATTGTAGTGTAGGCACAAAAATGGTATTAAAATATGGTGTAGGTATCTGTTGTATGGTACTATATATAATATGAAATACTAACCAATAATATTACTTTTTATATTATAATATATAAAATAAATATATTGTTTTTTTCACCGCTTGCTTTTTTTTTCGTAACCCCGTCCTTTTCTTTTGTACCAATCTATACATGTTTCATATTCGTGCAGTTCGGTAATTCGTTATTTGCGTTGAGTCGAGCTCACAAGTTTCATACTAAAAACTCATAAATTATATTACATGGTTTTAAGCGATATTTCGATTTTTGACTAGGTAGTGTAACCGAATGCTTATTGCTTGCGCCGCGCGTCGGTAGGATATAAACATACAAATTGTATAGGTACCTATGTAGATATTGTTGTATTTTTTGAGTTTTAATATTTTCACGTGATTACTTGGTATTTTTTTTCCCCTCGGGTGTCCCTTTTGGTTATTCCGTGTTTTTACAGAGTGACCAACATAATATAAGGTACTTATTATCTCAGAAAGTATACACTTTATTCGGAATTAGCTTTTCAGAACATTAAAGAAATTAGTAGGTAGCTTTAAAATGTTACTAAAATGTAGCTTGTTAACCAGTTGATGGAAATTATAAATTCAACACCAAAATTGATTTAAACTAATACATTAATACACCGTACATTTATGACATTTTTAATATAAGTTGTCATTTTAAAATCAAAAGTAGGTAGTGGTTTTACATCCTAAAAAAAGGGAGCCAAAAAAATGAGTAATACGAGATTTTAGAGCTTTTGATTTATTAAAACGTTATTTAAAACTAATACCGATAAAGTTAATGCTTACCAAAATAATGAGTGTTTTTCGTCATGTTGATCACCCTGTATACAGGTACTAATCGGTCCGTAGATATTTATGAATTATGTTTATGTGTAACTATTATTACAAAACGCGTGGCAAGGGACCAACTGAAATAATTGAGGACTACCGGCCGTTATGTGTACAACAATAAAAATATAGTGTCAATTCTGATATTAGAAGATACCATTTTTTTTTTTTCATGATGTAATGAATACTATATTATAGCAACGCGAATACGAGTAAATGTAGATAAATATTTTTAGATAATATTATTAGTTTATGTATTGTATTATTACATTATTATGAATCAGATATTTACACGAGCGGTTTGAAAACGTTTAATATATAGGATAAATAAATACATATTGTAACAACGATAATATTATTACGGTTGTTAAAGAAATATTTAATGATTTTCGAATACTTATTTTTTATCTCTTTTGGAAAGAGAGCGACATTATAATATAATTTTAATTATTAATTATTATAATATATACATAAAAAATTAATAACACCGAGTAGTTATATATATATATATATATATTATATTATATTATTATTATAAAAATAATATATGTACATAGTATTATTTGTGATAAGTTAAATTGTGAAAAAAAAAGAATATATAATATATAATTTGTTGACGTTTAAAAAAAAAAACGAGTTAAATTTGATTTTATTGATAATACAACATACTTTCTGAAAAAAAAAAATTAACTCATCATCATTAGAATAAAAATATAAGTAGTTAAAATGGAAAATGGAATAGGAAAATGGTATTGATGGAACGCGTTTTCTTGACAATGATTTTCTAAAATATCTGTACAGCAATTTTGTGATCGCGATACTTAAAAACTAAACAAATTAAATAAAACTGTTTAAACATTAAAATTATGCTCAATAATAATAATAATCATAATAACACATCACAGCATGTGCGTAATGATTTGCTTATAAAATTTATCAGTCCATTCAATGTTTATCTTGATGGTCTCGATCGTTTGATTGATGGTTAAATCGGCTCCTTTCAAATACGACGGGGATTTATCAATAAACGTTTGGATCTGTAATAATAAAACAAGAAAAAACATTTCTCAACCATTGCTTTTCAAATACATAACAACTCGAGCTGTATAATTACCTCGTCTAGTTCTTCTACAGTTTTCATTTGGGATCCGATAACGCTTACGTATCTACCGACACGGTCTCCTCTAGGTTGGAAACTATGGAGGACAAATTAAAAACGCGTTAAATTAGATTAAGTATGTTTTCACTTGCAAATGTCTTCACACGTTCACTTACTATTGTGAAATATCTGCAATTTTACGGTACAAAAAGTCTTTGGCCACGTAAAATCCGATGTCACTACTCGCGACAGAATAGAACACCGTGATGGCGTCTTGTTTGCGAATAACGGCGTTATCTCCGATCGTCCAGTTTAAGTATCTAAAAAAAAAGTTGTTTTTTTTTATTATTAAAAAATGTAATTTACTTCCTTACACGCAAACTTTAGTACCAACCTGTTAAGCAACCACGTTTCGGAACTGCACCCCAATGCCGACAGTAGTTTCGCTTTTTCCGACGCGATGTTAGACCTCTGATAACGTTCCCATAAAAAGTCCCATTCGTCCACACCACCGTTCTTGATCGCTTGACAGTAAATTATGCTTTTCAGCTCTCTCGGCAACCTGTAATATACATTTTTAGATTTGAAATGTTAGGCTATAATATAGTTAATAAACGCTCACAGGTTATTATTGTCTGGGTCTTCGGCTGTCATCCAATTTGAGAACAACTCCAGAGATTGATGAATGCAGTCCTTCATTTGATTTCGGCACGCTTGAGCGATAATCATGTTCTTGAACCGTATCTCTTCGAAACCTTTTACTTCTTCGTTCATGTTTCGGAAATTAGTATACACGGGTGACAGTAAACGCCGCATATAGTTCTAAACATCAATGATAATAATTTATAATTAATACAATAGAGACAATACGGAAATGTATAATTCCACCTACCTGTACTTCCCCTTGGTTCGAGGTCCTCTTTAACAATTTGTTGATCGGTTCCAAGCCGTTCAAAGCAGCCATCCACGGCAAATATTCTTTTTCGTGTTTTAAATATTTCAACATGTGAAACGCGATACCGTATTCGACATCACCGGTTTTCGAAAAGCTAAATATATCGTTAATCAATTGTACTCGGTTTAATGTATGTATTTTTTCGAATCCGTTCGGATCGTTTAACGTGGATATGATTCCCATCCAATTGCGCGAATCATATAAAACCCTGAACAAACCTAAACAAGAAAAATATAAAATACATTTTAATCGTGTGTTGACCGTTAAGAACATTTGGAATATTATTTACTTTATAACTTACCGGCCATTTGCATGTTGAAAATAATCCATCCAATGTCTTTGGACATGGATAAGGTCACGTTGGTTTTGCAGTCCAAAAATATTTCCGCTTTAGTGTTGTTAAAATTTACATCCGCCGAATTCGTCATGGTTAACGGTATCATCCAACAAGATTTCTGATCCGTAACATTCGGTTTGATCGCCAGGTACCGTTCCTGTTCAATTACAAAAACCAAAATAATGATACAATGTTCCTTTAATGAAAATACCACGAGCACGATTATGATGATGCAACATACCTGTGATAACGTCACCATTCCACTAGAGTAATCCCTGGTGACCTTTAAAACTGGATATCCGGTTTGCAACGTCCATGTATCCATTATTTCTTTGACTGTGGTGTTTTTATCCAAACTACCAACTCGGTGTGCCTCATCCGTTAACGAGCTCCACAGATCGTCTTGCTCAGCGTTAGAGAACTTGTGTTTATCTATATAGTTCCTGATACCCTGTTTAAATGTTTCCTCGCCGAGGAACGAGTTCATCATGTGCAACAAAAACGAACCCTTCGTGTACGATATTGTGTCGAAAATCTGGGCGATTTCGTCGGGATGTCCTACCGGCACAGACACGGGGTGCGAGGTTTTAAGCGAATCGAGACCCAATACTTGCAAGAAGTTTTGAGCGGTTTCTACTTGGAACGAATTCCATTCGGGATATAACTGCAGTATGGAACGTGATAATTATTATATTTATTCTAGAGTAAATTTCAACCTCCAATTCCAGATACTTACGAAATCCACACCGCGAGCCGCAACATACGTTGCGAATCCTTCGTTCAACCATAAATCGGTCCACCATTTCATGGTGACCAAGTTACCGAACCACTGGTGAGCGAGTTCGTGAGCAATAACCTCGGCCACTCGATGTATGTTTGCGGAGGTAGCCACGGTCGGGTCAATCAACAGTTCGGTCTCTCTACACATTATACAAACAATTGTTATAATATTTTTTTGAGAGTGTCCACAGATCTTTAAACATGTGAGGAAAATTGATACTAGAATGTTAAATAAGGAATTAGGTAGGACAGGAAGGCTATAGATAATAAGTTGATAACTTGTTGAAAATAAGTTATTTCTTTTTGACATTTATCATGTAATTATTTACCTATATGTAACGAGACCCCAATTTTCCATAGCACCGGCCGAAAAATCTGGTATAGCCACCATGTCTTGCTTGGTCAACGGAAACTTTTCGTCGAAATAATCCTCGTAGTATTTCAAAACCAACGGTCCCGCGAGTTTAGCGAGTTCCGTTTGGTCGACCGCTCCTTTTCTTGCTAAAATTCTGAATTTTACCTCGTCGTCTTGACTTTCAGAGTCTACAAACGCAAAATCCGACACCATGTACGCTACCAGATATGTGGACATCGGAACTGAGTCTTCGAATTCGTCGAGCACGTAGTCCGGGTTAGATGGCCTAAATATGCAAAATACAAAATTACAGTTTAACTAATCGAAAATCCTAGTCTTACGGACTTACATAGGAGTAGTTTTTAGCAGCCGCATATTACTGACGGAAGTCAAGTCCTTTTGATGGCCCAACCGTATCTTGAAGGTCGCCTTCATCGCAGGTTCGTCAAAACACGGAAAAGCTCTTCTGGCGTCTGCCGGTTCAAACTGTGTAACCGCCAACCACCTGTACAAATATTTTATAAATTATTCGTTAACGATAACTTACCAAATGTACCACAACAAACTACCTACTTCGTTTGGTTCGTGTCTTTGTCCAAATAGCTACTCTTGTAGTAACCCACCAGATCGTCGGTAATGTTTCCCGTGAAGGGTATGGTCAGCACGTATTCGCCGCCGGATTTTAATTTTTCAGACGATTTCACGAACATCAGCTCGTTTTTCGAAATAAATTCAATGCTACTCACCGGGAAGATTTTTCCATCGTTGTTGGCTACGACAACCCCTTTAGTGTTGATGTTTAAATTGCTTGAATGCAAAACTACGGTATCGGTGTCTTGCGAACAAATTATCTAAAATTACGGTTACGAGAGTTACATATTATTCAGGATGATTCACTAAACGTGCTTACCCCATTTTTTTTTGGTTAAATTTTGCATATATATAGTGGATTCCGCTTAATATGAGCTTAATGTTAGGACCAATTACATTTGCCTATATTAAGTGATTGTTCGTTTTAATAAAATAAGACCATTAAGCCCATATTAAGCGGCTGCCCGCATTAACCGGTGACCATATTACGCAGAATCCACTGTATTCAAACTCTAATTTTTGGAATTTTTAAGTGTAGTTAAAGCCGATATTTTTGAATACCTAGAGTTTTTACAGCATTTTAAAAGTATCCTGTAGCGATACCAAATTTGGTTTTCTCTCCGCCTATCTTAACTTAAAAATGGAATATCTCGTCAACGGGTTGACGGAAATCAAAAATTTGAAAACCGACATTTATTTAAATTAATACTCCATGTATCTATGGAATTTTTAATATAGGTTGAAAAACCAAAGTTGATATCACCACAGGATTCTCCTTAAATGTTGTGAATAATCTAAGTATCCGCAAGTATTGGCTTTAACTACAATTGAAAATTCCAAAATTCAGAATTTGAATATATGCAAGATTTAACCAAAAAACTAGGATGAACACGTATAGTGAATCATCCTATATATAATTTTACAGGTTATGAAATAAAATATTGTCAACACACTCACTTTTATATCAACTACTCCTTCGAATACGAATTTGTCATCCAAATGTGTGGTTACGTCCAATCGATAGCTGATCGGTTTGAAATTGTCGGGCAGTCTAAATTCAGAACTGTTTAGCGCACTGCAGACGACAGCCCATAACAGGGTCAAGCTGATGATAAACCGCATTTTAATGGCCTGCATATTCTAAACAAACAATTTCGAAAGCTCTAAAATTATTATCCGGTCCTTAAAACACATTTTGTTTTTGATTTTTTTTAAATCGAGTAATATTATTACGAGCCCCGTCGATGTAACACACAACGCAATTATCATTTCGGACATGCATCACCTTCGATATTCTCTAGGATTGTAATTTTTATACGATAACTACTATACGTCGGGGAAAAAATAACGCTTATTATTTTGGCCAAAAGCGTTGTTTTGATTCTTATTATATTTTCGAAGCGTTACTACATTTTTATAAAGGCCAATATCAGCTGATCGTATAATAACTAAAAACGAAATAATTTGAATTCGTACACAGGTCACGTAATGTTTAGATTATAATATTGATCGATCGATATGGGTTACCGAACACTCGGTGGACCTTGAAAAAAATGTATTGGCGTTGGAAACACAAACAAAACTAACTCTATCATCGGAAAATGTACAGTTATCAACCGTTTATTAATAGAAAATAATAGCGAGTTAACGTTTCATAATTGTCCTGCGTGAGATATAACAGTGTAATATACGAAATCAATACAGTTGAAAAGAGACGTGTTCGTAAGCCAACACGATTTTATGAATTTATAGAAATAAACTAAAAAAAAAAAAACAAAAAACCTATTAGCTTGTAATATACCAGTAGCTGAGTAATGGAAAAACGACGAAAATGCAAAATAAAAGAGTTTCACTCTCGAAGTATCCGATGTTATAAATAAATCGAACATAGTACACAGAACATCAGCATCTCCCCAAAACAATAAAAAAAACCAATTTTGCATAGAAAATCCGAAGGCACTCTCGCACTGTTATTATTATTATTAACCGTCCCTGTATAGGCTGTTTACTTATATATTCGATTTCGTAAAAGATTTATTCGGTTTTTCAGTTTTTCGTGATGCTGATTGCTTGTATAATTCTATACACTAACGGATTCGTCGCGATTACCATTGTTTTAGTGTCGCATTGGCGAACGGGTCGCGTGATCTTCAACGATCTAATATTATTAATTCAGACGAACGGGTGTAGGATCGCGTCTGTAGGATTTCGCGCAGCAGTCGGTTTACTGAACCGAACGTGCGGTGAATTTGAAAAAAAAATTGCGTACATTCATAATGAAACCGGACTGATTTTAGACGTATACATGTCGGGAACAAAACGACACACAATATCGATGAGGTCTTACGCGAAAAATATTTTATACGAATTATTTGGGTATTTTCGATTAAATATTAATATCGTCTATCCAAAATATTTGGAACGAAAATCGTTATTCGTTACTATCTGGATTGCAAAAAAAAAAAATAAAAAAACATCTATGATAAAACACGCTTGTTCCTATTTCATTTATCGCATGATTTACATTACGGAAAGCGATATCAATAATAATTTTTATCGACGAAATGCGTAGTTACGATAATATCGTATCGGTGCCGCGGATTTTTACTCGTTCTGCATTGTTGATAATGATATATTATTATCATATTATCATACAAAAAATAATTAAATTGCTACGAACAATAATCGAATTTTTATTATTGCACCAAGCGGAATATTGTTTCACCGGCTAGTGCAATTTAATACAAAAATATACGGTCAGAGTTAATCAATCGTAATCGGTAAGCGTAATTAGAAATAAAATATAATCGGGGATACGAAAACCCAAATACGTATATTGTACGGTCATTAGAGTTAACACTTTTTTTTTACCGATACAATATGTATATATATATATATATAAGTACATATACGTGTTTTCGACAGTGACTAACACGGTAGTACATTTTTATAAAAATTCAAATTTTACTAAATTTAATACTTAATAAAACTTCATAAAACTCGAGATTTTTCCAATAATATATCGACTTGTTAGATTCTGATCGGAGCGTATTGGTTTTACAATGATATTTATTTTTATATGTGAACACTGTTTTTACCAAAAAGCTTACTCTTTTAATTATCAAATATACCATATTTTTCTGTAAGAAAATGGTCTCTGGGTGGTACTTTAAGGACCTATTTTTTTGGAATTCTCGTTAATATTCGATATAATGAGGAAAACCTGGTTCTTTAGGTTAAAAAAATTCGAAAGATTAAAAATGTTCAACCATTTTTTATTTTTTAATTATTATTAATAACCTTATTATCTATACATCTATATAAGTACGTTCGACCTTAAATAATTACGAACATAAATGCGTGTAGGTCATCGTTTATTGTTTTTTTTTTTTTTTGGATATGATATTTATTTTTTTTATTTTCGTTGCTTCGAAGTAATAATAAATTAATTATTGTTTAAGTACGCGATTTTATCGGTAACGATCGTTTTTTTTTTTCTTTTCGTAACCACGCGATGCATTTAAATAACTACATTTTTTCGGACACGAAACCGCGATGTTTTCGACATAATAATATAATATAAATAGGTATGACATTCCAAACGAATTTCAAACGCGTTCGTCTAACTCCTATAAAATTAATTAGGTTTTATGGATTTTATGTGCGTTTTCCCGCCCCTCGAGAAAGTATTAATAACGCCATATAATATATGTATACATTATAATATTATAATGTGCGTTATTACACAAACGTTGAAATGTGGTCACGGAATACATATTGTCGACCTCGTAACAAAATTATAAAATTAAAATAACGATCCTCGTACGATTATTTATAATGTATTGAAAAAATCTGTCATCGTCAAAACGAAATGACGACGCTCATTAAAACATATTAAAATACATGTACGAGTAAACTGTAGGTAAGGTTAGGTTTACCCCGCGGCCTCAGAAAAAATGTCGTATTAAAGATTTTTGACTTTGGTCTTTTGACTATTCGCCCGCGTTCGAGCGTTCAGGCGTATTAATGATTAGAATGCAATGTCTCACCCTCGGAACAATACGGCCGCAACTAAAAACCCGATATTTTCGTCATATTGGTACCGGTAGAATAGTAAAAACGCTCTCGACAAAATGGCTGACCGCCATAGCGTATAATATTGTTGTTTCCGGCCTCACTGGTGTTGTGCCAGAAATAAAAATATTAATTTTCTTTTCAATCCAATGAAAGCCAACGCGCTATCAAAGTTTTTAAAAATCGAAAATACTCGACACCCATACGCCGGACGATAATACATCATCGCGGTGGCTGTTACAAATGTCAAGAAACCCGAGTAACCCGACACTACTGTCGCACGGCTCGTTATAATCCGTATAGGTGTCGTGTAGACGGGTGCCCGGGCCGTTTCGAGCACCCCATTATAAAATTTCACATCGAATTTCGGTAATGATTCATAATTGATAATTGCGTTCGAACAATAATAAAATCAGTTCATATAATGTTGACGGTTCAAAAGAAACAATCAATTATAAGGAAAAACGATAAGAAAAATAATTGTCAGTAATTAAATTATGATTCATGCCCGTATTATTATTGCTGATATTGTCAATTAAATGGTGCAGTGTATTGAATATACACACAAATTATTGTAATATTTTATGATTTATAAATAAAATATAAGGCAGATGACTTTTAGACGACTTGAAAGATGAAATTTATAAGCCAGTAATATAAATAATAAATATGTGGTTTTGAAAAAGAAGTAATGGTTAAAACTTGTGTACACGCTATTATTTTTAACGACAGAAATACGATGATTGCGAACGTTCCTTTTTTTTTTTTTTTTTTTTTTTTTTTTAATGACACTTTTGACTGTTAAGATTGAGAACGCTCGGTTTTCATGATTCCACGAAATCTGAAAATTAAACCTATCAAAAATATATATATTTCTCGTATTGTAATCGAGTTTAATGATTACCTACTGTTGTTTGAGATGGCATATTACTGAATCCATCATTAATGATATTGAACGAATTGTTTGCAGCGAATAATCAAAATATACACATTAGTGTATTGCTCAGTACGTGGTTTCCCCCCGTATTATGCGTTTTACGCGTGAAATATTTTACGTTAATACTTAAACAAAACGGAAAATAACCAAGACTTATATCCTACGAACGTGGTGGAAATCGAATTGTTTTAAACTCCCAAAATACCGTTTAATTATACATTTTGCATACGTTTTTCATAATTTGTTTATGAGCTTTGACTTGAATATAGTTCGGCAACTTCGCACATATTTTTTTTCTCAATAGTACTCCAAAGAGTCAGCGGCTATTTCATTGTTCCATTTCGAACGTTCTCAATCGTATTGTAGCCTTTTTAACAGAGATTTAGCTCATAATAGAGCTAATAATGAAAACGCATCATAATATTATTCATAACGTTACGGCTACGTCGAAGATTGGATAATGTTATACCAATTATCAAACTTAAATAATCTGTGTTCGTGCGTTGGTTTTGTTTTTTCAATATTTAAATTTTCAAACGAGACACGAGCGTGTGAAAAATTAAAATATTGAAAAAAAATACCAAAGTACAAACCCTTGTTTTTACATTTAAATTTGATAACAGGCCAATTGGTTCTAATTATTAGAATCTAATATAAAAACTAACGGCGCGAACTATCGGTTTTGCTAAACGAAATTTAAACAACGTCGAATTTTCGTACGTTAAATCCAATTTTATATTGTTCATATTTTAATGTCACAATGAATCGGCCTACTATCAAACTTGAACCAAGAAAATTATCTATATTTGTACGTTGTTTTTTTCCTCGGCGTTTTAAACACCACGGGCATATTATGAAATATTTAATCTTAAAAATCGTAACTCGCTTAAAAATTTAAATATCGAAAAGAACAACCAACGCACAAACAGAGATAATATTCTTACCTTTTCAATTGATTATCACAAGTCGATTCGTTCTAATATCGAAATGCAACAGCACGAAATCGTATTGACTGAACGAAAATTCGACGTTATCCGATATTTACGACATCGCCCGTAACACGTAACTATATTGTACACAGACAAACGAACATTATTCGAGTATAGGAGAAAAAAAATAAGCTTGTTATTATTAAAATTTAAAATCTGTTCGACTGTGGACGGTGCGCCGAAAATAAACGCTACACTCCCGTTCGAAGTAGACGGGTATACCTGTCAAAATATTTATCGGGTTAACCGAAAATAATTAATAATACATTTTATTTGAATATAGGTGATTGAATTGTGAAAAAAAAAAAATATGAAAAAGAAAAGTAAAATCGTAATCGTAATCGTAATAAAATAATATTTGATGGCGCCTTACCCGAGAGGTCGTATAACGTGGAGCAGGTGGTCAGCGGGCGCGATGGCGAACTGGTAACGATCGGATCGCTACTAAACTGAGCACGCCGTCAAACGGGTTAAGTATACGCGCACGAGTCGTCGGTGAAAATACTTCTAAAAACCGGTGCACGACGCGCCTGCTGAGGTCACGGACGCGATACAAAAATAATACGGTCGTTTGGTTTTATTTTTTTTTTTTTTTTATGTACATTTACCGGATAATATAATAACACGAAACGACGACGGAGAAGAAGGAGGGGAGAGGGGCTAGGGCTGCCGGGGTAGACTATCGATATGACGCCGATTTCTTTTAAACGTCAATGTCCTTAAGCTGTTGGAAAACCACGTCGACGTAATATTATTATCGTCGTTAGTCAGTGTGTTTCTGTGGTGATGATTAGAAAAAAAAAACAAAAAACCTCTCGTAACCGATCGACGATCGTAATACCTTTATTTGTATACATACTGCATTGCAATATTATGTCGTTCAACGGTTCTTCATACTTGTAGACGATTTCATAATTACTCTGTTTGTATTGACCAATTTGTTTGAGTTTATTTTACTGGTGTTTATAATAATTAAAAACCATACGATTAATAATAATAATAATAATATTATAATCTCGCGTTGCGTCGTGAGTCAGCAACGGAGTTATTGAATGGCGCAGAGAAGAAGGAGTACAATAGTCCGTTAATCGTTATTGTTGAAAATTGTTCAGCCGGTGCATAACTATTCTCTACGTGGAGACCACTGCATTATTTCCAACCAGCATTTTTCAATATTTTCGCCGATTCGAACTCGACATTCGATAATAGCCACAAAGCGGCATCTCGAGACGAAAAGTTGAAAACATGGACTAGCACCCTTCTTTGCCTTTGCCCTCCAATTATTTGAACATATTAATTTCAAAGTGGTTGTCCTATAGTGGTTGATGGATGTGCCATAGTTATAATTCCATACGGCCCCGGACCCCGGCCTGCAGTTTGTCATTCACTGGAATCGTTTTTATTACCCACTTATGTCTGCCCGGTATGTTTGCACGAATAATAATATGCAAAGTCCGTTCCACACAATTCGTGTAGGTAACCAACTGATATTCGGTAATCTAAACTTTTAAGCATCTTTTAATAACTGGAAACTTTACAATCTATTGCCTGTGTACTCTAATTCGATATTGACCCGCGAATTTGTGTGGGCAATGAAAACTATAGGGAGAGAGACATTTAAATCTATGGTAAGCATTACCATAGATTTAAGTACATTATAAGTCTAGTCCTTAACTATAGTGTCACCAGATCAGAGTTCCTTAAAACATGCTCTGGCCCATAAACATATATTGCCCATATTATCCTATATAGTGTAAATATTTAAAAGAACAAACTGACTGACTGACATATCAATGCTATTCTCGTGTAGCCAAGGTAACTCAGAAATCAACAAATTTAAAACCGATGTAACCTAATTACCTATTTTATTGTCAGTTATTTTCCAAATTTTTTTTTTTTTTTTTTTTTTATAAAGTACGACTAGGCGATAAATCCGCATTTTTTGTAGATACAATTTGGAGCATTTTCACTAACCGAAAAACGGAAAAATTGGTTTCCAAGAAGAAAAACACATCTCAGTTAAACTCTAATAGCTTCTTCGCTATATTCGAAACATAAAAAAGACAAAAACGCCAAAACCGCGTGTAATAGTTTGTTTCGTGCAGATCCGTTTATAAAATATTATCATAATATCATGTAAATAAATGTCTATATTTGTATGCACCCAGACATAAAAAATAATAATAATAATTGTAAAATGTAAAAGTACACCGCAAAGATATTCCATTATCGGGCACTCGTCCAATCGATTATTGTTTCTTGGCTCACCTTGGTGCACGATAATGTAAGTAGGTACGTATATTTTGTACTTATCTCTTTACCCGTAAGCTGTTATTCAAGCGCGTTGACAGCACTTGCCAAAAATGATTTTAGGTCAATATTTAAATTCAATCGCTCTATATTCTCATGGTTTCGGGTTTGTAATTTTCAAGGAGTCCAACTACGGACAACTCAAAATTAGAATAGTCCGTATACTTAATTCGCCCGTCAATAAATTTTTACCTCGAAATTTACTATACGAAACGTTTTGAAAATGCTAATGATGCCTCCGAATCGAGCCCGGACCAAAAGAACCGGACATCATTGTCACGGCCGCCATCTCTCTCTCTTTGTCTCTCTTTTAAATTTTTCGCTGTTTAAACTAAATTAAAAATATTGTATTTCAATTGTTTTATCAAGTTCAATCTTCCATCTGCAGTGTACGTCAAATTTAGTTGTTGAAATTTGACCGCCTTCGTGTTATCTAAACGAGTTGATATTCTGCACACAGCTTTATAATGTTGACAACATCGAGGTAAAACCAAAAGTATGTTATTAACATTGTCAAATTGATAAATATAGACTATAATTCTGAAAGAGGATGTTTTTAAAAACATTTTCCGTATAATTCGTTGTTGTTTTCAAATGTGTTGTTACTGTATCAAGCGTGTGCTCAGTCGCGTAAAATCTTGTAAACTACAAAACACCACAACATTATAACGTTATGAAATTTGTTGATAATTTCTATTGTCCGAGAAAAAAAAAAATGTCATACAAGTTATAATATCGAAATCAAATTTTAACACGCTTACCGCGTTGTAACAGAATTAACGTTCTATGCACACGATAAAATCTAAAATTGCATAACAATTATAATGGTATGCCCAGTGGGAGATTATTCAATCAAAGAAGCGGTCGTATATTATGACGATGTCATTACGACAATTCAGTAGCAATGACTTCGGTAGGTTGGGTTATATTATTATATTATATTAAATTAAGGTATTGATTATCACCACATGTTTCCTAATGGGTTTTCGAAATTTTCATTTGTGTCTGTAATATACCATTTTATCACATTTTTCCGTCGGCAGGTAATCGATATATGTTGTTTACATAAAATTCTAATTTGTTTAGATTTTGAACGGATGTATTGGTATTGCTATATTGTATTTTTTTTGAAAACAACTATTCCAACAGAAATTTTACTCCTATCAAAAACATTTTAAGAACGTTCATGTAGGTACCATTTTTGATCTTGTTGGTGCATTTTGAAGGGGTCGTTTTTCGATTTTCCTCGTAGTTTTCTTAATAAATGCGAAAAACTTGAATTTATTTGACATTTTTCTGAATTCCTTGGTTACCCTGGCTACAGCGAAAAAATAAACGTGTGTACAAATTAGAAAACAACGTGATTACATTGTTTTTATCGGGGTAACGTTGAAATTTGCCGTTTTTCCTGTAATTTTGTTTTCGGTTTTTTTCAATTATTTTTAAACCGCCAAAGAAAATAAAAAAAAAAAAAACAATTACTTAATGCACCAGCTAAATCCAAAATTCAACAAAAAAAGCCTTTCGTCATTTTTTGATTTGATCAAATTTTCTATTCGAAAATTTGTTTACAGTCAAAACATACAAATCACAGTAAAACTAAAAGATAACCTCCGCTCAGAACATAAAAATTAATTATGTTAAAAGTTGAATTAAAAAAAAAAAAACACAAAATGTTAAAAGCTAATTTAAAAGTTAAAATTGGCTAAACTTTTTTAACTAGTACGGCCTTACTAAATGCGATGTAAGTGTAACTTAAACAGTGGCTCTAATAACACTGCAACATCCCAGCCAAGCCGCCGTTACTATCACGTTAAATAAATTCCAAAAATCGTTTTAAACGAATCGAAATGATCGATTTATTATTTTAAAAAATAACTTTATAACACGACTGCGTATTCGAGTGCTGGTACCGTCAATCCATTCGAGATGGTTTCCAAGTTGATAAGTACTTATTGTATCATTTATCTCTTGATTGATATTATTATTTTTTTTTTTTTAATATTATAGCGATTTATTGTGTGTAAAAACCATTTTTTTTTTCTGCAAATCTTCCACACAATCAACGCGAATAATATTATGGCGTATCGGTGTCTATAGTGCGTAAAATTTGTAGCTACACATAATATACCCGCATCACAATATACGAATATTACTGCAGGATTCATTACGGTCAGAGATTAATAATAATCATTAGTAATTACAGTCCGCGTGACTGTGAACCGCTGCAGTCTATTATTATTTTGGTCACGGGGAAAATTTTTAATTATCATTGTCAAAACGTAATTGCATTAATAATGTGTCAGGACCGTTGAGTTCGCGTGACCATGAAGGCCAGCGCGATACCGTCGCGTCGTCGTCGTCGACGACCCAATGAACCGATTGTTGATCAAATTTCTCCTCTCTGACGTATTATTAGTTGATTATCACATTATTATTGAATATATAATTATATCGTGTCGATGCTTCTATCTCTCTCTCTCTCTCTCTCTCTCTCTCTATCTATCTCCCTCTGCAGTCTGTCTGTCCGTCTCTTTCTTTCTCTCTGTGTCACTATCTATCTCTCAACACGTTTAACTAAATAGGTACTTTAATAGTGAACGAAAAACATTTCGAATAATATTACGTATACCAGCGATTCTCAACCTGTGGTACGCGTAATGATGCGCGGAAAGCTCGTAGGTGACACGCGAAGAAATTTGTTGACAAGTGAATAAAAAAGTTATTATTTATAATGTCCGTGTAATCCATAAATAATAACACAAAAAATAACCGTACTTTTGTATATATGCTGATAATTATATAGATTTAAAAATGAAAAGTTCCATGCGTCTAAATGACTACCAAAACACATTTTTAGATTAAGAGTATAGTGAAAAAACTTAAATTTGCTTTTTCTAGACATTATACAATTTTCAAAACATTTGAGCTATTTTTAAACTTTTTATAAAAATGTTAATATTTTTGTTGAAATTCAGTTAAAAATATTCGTATCGAATCTATAGACTTCAAATTTATTTAAAAAAATTATGTTTACTTTTTCTAGATGTGATAACATTTTCAAAAAATTTAAATTATTTTTGAGCTATTTATAGACATATTAATTTTGCAACTTTTGTACATAATTTTTATTCGGTAGGTAGATATTCTGTGGTTAAATTGTTAGGCTTAACAGAAATGCTTGAAAGCTCAATAGGAGGTTCATTAAAAGTCTTACTTTGTAGTCAAAAAAAAATTTAAGCTAAATATGGTATTTTTTTAAAAAAGAAATTTCAATATCAAATTTTGACGAAAATCTTTTGAGTAAAAATTATGTGGAACAAATCTCTCATTTTTTAATATTGCCGATTTGAGAACGATGGTGAAGTCAGAATGGGGGTCATCAACGTTTTTCAAATGTATTTTCTCTAATTCTATAGTTTTATCTGATTGATGAAATAGCTTCTTTTTTTTTTTTTTCATTATTTTAGGACGTAAAATTTACCTAGTTTAAAAAGATCAATTTTAGCGCCAATTCAAATGTGTCTTACCAAATATCAGGTATAATAAG